TGTTATTTATCCAACAAAAGGTAAACATTCTCGAGAACGGGAGCATCCGCGGTGGACCGTAAGATCTTTTAGATTTCACGCTGAAAACAGCTACATTAAAATATAACAACAACAATAACAATCGCCTGTTAATCCTACAAGCGTGGCCTGTCAAACTATGTAAGAACCAGAAGAAAGCGACATATTTCAAGAACAGTTCTTGACCAAAATGCACTGGAAAAACTAACGGAGGAACCGTTGCCAACTAAGAAAGTAAGAAGAAGAAAAAGGGGTCTGGAAGAAATAGAGCGTGCAAGTATTCGAGCATTGTATTTGACCTTGCGCGTGATCTATTTTAGCAACTTGTCGAATGGTTTCGAGATAAACTAACAGAAACTAACAGCGATTTTCCAAAAATTGCTTCTTTTATGGCACTGCTCAAACTCTTCAACACAGGATCGTGAAGACTGTGAAAAAAACATTCGCCCTTGTTGTTTGTCGTTGTGTCCCTGAGAGCGCCTAAAGATTGGTAAGTCGCGACGGCGGATTCACTCGTTCTCGAGGATATTTACCTTTCCTTGGTAAGAGAACGGACAAAGCAAACTTGAAACAGAACCATGAATCTTTCAGTTATTCACCCATTCTAATAGTCTCGTGAGTCTTCTCTTCTGAGATGAAGCGAGCACACTTTCCTTCTTTTAACTCCATGATAGTAGAGTGCCTCCATTCGCCGCGCCGAAGAATCGCTTGAATCCATTACTTTCTTCGTAAAGAACCTTGGCAAAGCGAAGATAATCAACTTTCGTCTCTGCTGGAGTTAAATCTCCTCTCTGATGGCTCTTAAGCACGTAACAACTCGACGGAAACCATATTGATCGACTGAATCGCTAAGACGCGCAGTCAAAACAAAACTATCGAGGCCTCACTAGCCTCACTTTCGCGCAACTAGACCCGGGCCGACCGAGAGATCCGCCATATTTGCATTCGGTGTATGCTCACCCTAAAAAAATTCTCTAAAATGCGCGATGATGCGATGATGATACGTATAAGTGTTCAAACAACCAGAATGTATGCTAATGGATTTAATACACCAAAAGACAATTGTCTCAACAGTGGCATTTAAATTTTTTTTATTTTGACTGTTGAGAGTTTATTTTCTATTTGAAAATTTCTAATTTTCTTTTTCTCTGAAAAAAAAAAAATATATATATATATATTTTCCGGTAAATTGCTTCAAAATTCTCAAAAAATATGCTGGCATACTGTACAAAAGTCTAAGAAGAGGAAAGCTGTTCAGGCTTACTTTATTATTTAGTCAGGGGGTGTCAGAGGTACATGTATGGTGGCATTTCGACTGTTAATGGCTTTACTTCGGCCTGTAGCTCAAAAAGCACCTGAAGTTAAATTATTTGCATAATTTATATTATAGCAAACAAAAATAACCCCAAGACTGAAGTCTCTAATAACCTTTCTGGAATGAAAAACATCACCCACGAAACAAGACAGTTATTAAAAGGAAACGAAAAATGAACACCTTTGCTTGACATTTAGGACTTCTTTTAGGTTAAGAAGAAGCGAGCTAAAATTTTTTACTCTGCTGATTCCCCCTGTAAACCATTTCAATTTTAACAATATCACCTATAATACGCAAAAAAAAACTGTGCATCGTTCATTGAAGCTCAAGAGGTGTTGACCGTTAACATCTGTCAATCAGTAGGATTTTAAATGGCTTCCCAAACGCTACCTTTTTCGCTCTTTTAACAACATCACTTCCAACTGCAAAAAAGGCACCTCTTTGCGCCTTTCATGAGATCACTTGAAAGCGACAAAAGTTACCGGAACCTCTTTCGCGTTTTAAATCATCGTCTGGTAAGGTGAGAAATGGATGAAGAGCGGACAATATTGACGTCAAAATACCATTCACTCGAAAGCTGAAAATACCTGACTTCTTTTTCAAAAAAAGGTACATTTTCTTAACTTTTCACCTAAACGACAAGCATAGACAACAAAGATAACAATTTTGCATTTAGAAGATGAAGAAATGATTGTCGCAGTGAACGCAATTTATGCAATTGCGTAAAGAAGCCTGAAAAAAATTCAGGACTTCAACGGGGTTTGAACCCGTGACCTCGCAATTACCGGTGCAATACTCTACCAACTGAGCTATGAAGCCACTGACGTTGGAAGCAGGTCAATTGTGGGTTCATATGTTCCCGTGAAGGAAATGAGTGTTAATGATATATGAACAACTGACCTGCTTCCAACGTCTGTGGCTTCATAGCTCAGTTGGTAGAGCATCGCACCGGTAATCGCGAGGTCATGGGTGCAAACCCGGTTGAAGTCCTGAATTTTTTTCAGGCTTCTTTACGCAATTGCATAAATTGCGTTCACTGCGACGATCATTTTTTCACCTTCATTTCATTTCCGAAGTTCATATATGATTTATTTCATATATCATTAACAATTTTGCATTTTGTTCTACGGAAAATGGTGGAATCTCGTGCGACTTCAATGGTTCAGGCTGCTGACTTGGTCGATTTTCTAGACATACAGGACAGTTTTTAATCTTCTCGGTTATCTCCACACTCATCCTGGGCCAGAACAATACGTCCCGTGCTCTCGCTATTGTCTTGTTGATACCCAGGTGTCCCTCATGTAGTTTCTCAAGCATCTCTCCACTCAAGCTACTTGGTACAACGATCTTTTGCTCCTTTACGGTCAGTCCGCGGGCTACTGTTAGTTCATCACGGTAATTTCAAGACTCCTGTGCATTGGACGGGCCTGACCTTTGGAATCTGGCCAACTCGACAAAATAACTTGTTGCAGTTCAGACAAAATCGCATCTTCCTTAGTTGCTTCAACGAACCGGGCCAACTGGCGGTCAGAGATAACATCCTCGACTAAGTTTACATCCAACTGCTCAGCATTCGTCAGCTGTTCTTCCAGATGGGCTCGAGACAGAGCATCCGCTAGAAGTAGATTTTCTCCACGCTTGTATACTACATTGATTCTTGGAAAGCGCTGGAGTTGGACCAACATCCGTTGCAGCCGTAAAGGTGCTACGTGTAAGCATATGGGCTTCTTCATAATCGCCTCCAAAGGTTTATTATCTGATTCGACTGTGACATCACCACCCACAATGTTCTCTGCAAATTTGGCACAGCCAAACACCACTGCCAAAAGTTCTTTTTCAATCTGGGCATACTTTTCCTGAGTGGGCGCAAGTGCTTTTGAGGCGTAAGCTATTGGTCGGTCTTTCTGAATCAATGCTGCACCCAGTGCAGTTGAACTGGTATCAACTTGTAGCGTCAACGCTTTCTCTGCATTATAATATCCTAACACAGGAGCGAGGACAAGCGATTCCTTGATTGCTTTAAAACTAGCTTCCTGCTGCTCTTCCCAGTGCCACTTAACATCTTAGTGTAGTAACTGTCTTAATGGTGCAATAAGGTCAGACATGAATTTACTGACATAGTTTATCATTCTCAACAACCTTTGCACACCAGATTTGTCCGTCGGCCTCGGCATTTCAACCATGGCTCTGACCTTTTCTGGGTCTGTCTTCAAACCGTCATGGGAGAACACTTGGCCATGGAACTTCACCTCTTCTCGTTGTATATGGCACTTTGACTTCTTCAATCTGAGATTGTAATCTTTGGAACGCTGCAAAACAGCCCTCAACCGTGTATCATGTTCTGCCACCATTCGACCATGTATGATTATGTCATCCATGATGACTTTCATGCCTGGCAAACTTCTGGGGCAGACTTAATCCCTATCGGCATCCTCAGGTAACGATACCTGAATGGGGCATTAAATGTCAGGAGTTTGCTACTCTCCTCGTCTAACTGGATTTGGTGGAATGCCTTTTCTCCATCCAAAGTTGAAAATACCGTGGCTCCTGAACGACTAGTTGTGATGTCATCTACTCCTGGCAGAGAGTAGTATTTTCTATTAATGGCAACATTAAGGTCCTCAGGATCTAAGCATGCACGAATAGACCCATCCGGGTTATCGACACAAACAAGGCTGCTTACCCAAGCAGCTGGTTAATTCAAGGGAACTTTCTCTATAATGCAAACATTCTCCATTCGATCTAACTCTTTCTTCAGTGGGTCTCACTTAGAGTGAGGAACTCGCCTGGATGGATGGACCACACGAAGAACAAAGGGGTCAACACTAATGTGATATATCCCTGGGAGGCACCCAAGTCCTTGGAATACTTCAGGAAACTCATCAAGAATGCTGTCACTTTCAATAGCATTTACGCACTGGATTAGACCCATATTCTTACAGGATGATCTACTCAGGAGGGGTATGTAATTTCCACCAACCACTTGGAAACATACTTGATACCTTTTCCCACGCACCCAACAAGGCAACTCACACTTTCCAACAGGCCTAATACAAGTTTTGGAGTAACTTTCTAATCTTGCCGTGGATGATTGCAAAGATTTTTTTGTAATCTTGTCATATGCAGCTTTGAGCAAGACATTGCAGTGGGCGCCGGCCCCGGTATCTAGTCTCAAGACCTATTGAATGCTTCCAAAATTGACAGTTTCAACCCAGTCATTGTCTTCTGTATTGACTGCCCCAATGAACATAACTTTAGAGTCAGAGTCAAACATCAAGAGTATTTACCTGCTTCTTTTTTTGCCCATCTGAGGTAGGACACATCCTTGAAAAATGGTTCATTTTCTTGCACTTGTGGCAGCGTCGCCTAGCAGCAGCAGGACATGACTCTGGTGCGTGTCGAATAGCACAGCTCCTACAGGGCATTCCCCATTGAAGCTTCTGTCCTTTGCCGTCTACAACATCCACTTTCTCAACTTTGCTACTCTCTTCTTTTAAGCTCTTCTTGTGGTGCTTGCATGTTTCGGCGATGCGAGCTGCTTGCAATGTTTTCTCTAAACTCTGTTCTCTCTCCATCAACCTTTCCTTTGAAAACGAATCCTTCAGCCCTAGGACTAACATGGACGTAATCCAAGATTCTTCTTTATCACCGAGGTCGCAGTTTTTAGCTAATGTTTGCAATGCGCTACAAAATTCATCGATTGTCTCGCCGTCTTGCTGTTTCCGTTCGATAAACAAATAGCAATTGAAGTGCCTCGAGTCAGTGGTGCACAATGAGCTTTGAACTTTTCTTCCACGGCCTCAATTTTATCCCGGTCATCTTCAGAATCCCACACAAAATTTGAAAAAAATTCCATCCATTCATTGCCAAGCACGTGGAGCAACGTAGCAACTTGAATGTTTTCATCCTTTTGATCGAGTCCGCTCGAAACTTTGTAAGGGCCCCATGACATTTTCCAGCGCCGCCATGCTTCGGCGTTATTCGTCTCTACAGACAATATCAGAGCTTCAGGCGGTTTCAGGTGCTCCATCCCGCTTCTGACACCATGGAGTGTTCTCCGGAAGGACACACTGACACACACAAGATGGCAGATGCATATGAACACACTTTATTACAGAAGGCATGCGCTAAATATAACCGCTGACCTGATACTACAAAGTTAAAACTGAAACTTCTGTACACTGCATAATAAAACGCATTCGTTTATCATGGACTAAAAGCACTGAGTTTAGCTTTCCTCACCTGAGTCAGAGAAGTGAGAAATTATGTTATTTATTATTCATTTCGGAAAAGAGCTGGCACCAACTTTGACTCAGTGTTATTGGTCCCCGAAAATAACCACCCTCCGAGAGTACCAACACCCCGAAAGTAACGAGCCCCAAAAGTTCCTGATTCCAAAAGTAACGAGGATCGCTACCTTGGGAACTTTACGGTATGGTCTTGAAACCACCGCATTGTAATCGGCAGCCACCCCATTTTGTTGAAAATGGATACCCTTCATTAAGGTTTCCAAATAAGGTAAAAGTGAATATTCACGAGCACTGAACGCGAGGTACACGTTTCAACCCCTTCATGAGTTTCTGTCAACACTTAATTCAAATCGGACTAATCAGAAACTGCGTAAGAAACTAGCCAATCAAAAATGCCGATGTATTTCCTTGCGACTCTACGGGATCCGATCACGATATTGTGCACTAATTCGCAGACGCTCTATACAGAAGGCTCGGTAAATAGTCATCGCTAGCCACCTCCATTCGGTGAATAATTGTTATATATTCCTAGACTTTCACTCAGCTAAACAGGGACTGCCATTGGTTGATTCTTGGTCACATGGCCTTGACTGAAATCAAATGTATCCCGATTGTGATATATCTGAGCAACTACTGTTCCCCGCTCGGGATACATTACAGCAAGTGAAAGTGGCGTGACAGAAGGCGGAAAAAATGTTCACTGCCAGTTTTCTTTTTCGTGAATGAACACATCGACACAATCATGAAGCCTCAAGCTAAAAAGGAACGATTTTCAAAGTTGTCCCAGAAGAGAAACAGTAGCCAGTAGAGGAAAAAGATTCAGATAGTATAAAGAAAGTACTTTGTTTATCATTCATTTAGTGGTTTTGAGAATTAAATTTGTGTTCTTATAAGTACCAAATCGACAGTTTTGATTTGCTCCTGTTATTCGTTTGTTGCTGTCTAGAAATATAACAAAACATTTCATGTCAGGTCCCTCGGGAAACCAGTAATTTTTGTTTTCTCTCAAGTCCTGAGCCCATCCCAATGAAATTGCTTAGTTTCCCATCGCCCGACTGACCCATTTTTTTCGAAAAGTCAAAAAAAAAAAATCCAGATTCACTAGTCAGTCAAAGAAGTAAGTACTTTAATTTACAAGCACACGATCTTGTTTCATCAACAACAATTGGTATGATGTGATGTTCTTGTCTTTAATTAACATGGAAACTACGTTTTGTAAAGGCTGTTTAGTTTGATAGTCGAAAAGACCACGTTTTCGAGTTGACTCAGTATAACCAGGTTTCCTTACTCAGCAGCCCGACCTTCTCTGGAACCCAGACCCCTTCAAGTGTTCATTTTCTTCTCGCCCAACCGACCGAGCGACCCACCATCACAAGAGACGGGGTGATGGGAAACGAAACATTTTATTCCGATGGCCTGAAGGAAAACAAAACTTAACTGTTTCCCTCTGGATCTGACATTAGGGACGACGACGGCAGTGAAAACGACGGTAAAAAAAAAGGAATTTGCGTTCTTTCAAACTTAATCGCGTCTATTTGGATCCGCTGAATATGTCAAATTCAAACGACTTTTCCTGGAGTTGAATTCTTAAGGATTTTATTCAGGCTCAAAAAGATGAAGGGAAATTCATCGTAGTTTGTCCATGTCCTCCATAAAGCGTCAAATTTGGAGGTTTCACGTCGTAGTCGTTCAGTGGACGTCAAAAAAATGTACTAAAAAGCGTGATGTGCGTGCAGAGCCGTTGTTTTGATCATTAAACCTATTGTTTTTTTTGAAGTCGTCGTTGTGGTCGTCGTCGTGTATAGTGATCAACGATGGTCGAAATAATCGGCGTAAATGACACCATGACGGGTTTTAGCCAATAGGTGATCAAAGGGGGTTAAAGAATGCTGATTTATTAAATAAATCTTCGTACTTGAAAACGGTAATTTGCCCTTGAAAAATTCTTGAAAAGTCCGTCAAATTTGTTTGCCTGAAGTTGTGCGAGTCATGAAATGGGATGGTTACGAAGCCTCTGGGATATCTTTGTTATGTTGTTGTTAACATTTTGGGTTTCACGCTCCACAGACCTTTCAAGTTCACTGACTTTGCTCTGACAAATATTTTAAAACCGTAGCTCCTTTGTAATTGTTTGCTCCAATGTAATTGGTCAACTTTTACAGTTTTTGTCTCCCATAACGTCCAATACTCAGTGGTTGAGTTCCTTGTTTCTTCCATAGTAAAACGTTCTCGTCGTTTCAAAGGCATCACTTTAAAATAACTAAAAAGAAAAACAGATTTATCACGCCATATTAATTCATGTCCTCCTCACAGCAGAATAACGGAACTGACACGGTATGTTCAATTTTCCTTGGTTTTCTGTATCTTAAATTTCAGCCCCGTGCAAACGGACGCAACATTGTTGGCCAACAACTCCCAGCATTTTTGGATGCTACATGTTGCGTCCGTTTGCACACCCTGTTTTTTAAGTAGTTTAAATCGACACGAACTCGTAAAAGAGATGGCCGTGCTATTTGACGCGGGAAAATGAAGACGCGAGCTGTGCCATGCAAGTACAAGTGTACGTATACCACTTGTTTTCCTGGGGGTACTCAAGAAATATTTATACGGGGAAGAGGTCCAATCCCTTTGTTACCCTTTTATATACGATTTCTGACAGAAAAGGTTACCTTTTGATCATTCCATTGACCCAGGGCCATTGACAAACCGGGTACCCCTTTCACCTACATGCTCTGAATTGTTTGTTTTTACGTGACGTCACTAAAATTCAAACTAAAAAACTATCAATCCTACTGAAATTTTACTTTCACGATGCATTACAGCAGCTGAAAACTAGTTTTCATACAAGTATTCGCTTCAAAAGGGTTCTTGGTTTTGTGATAGAGTACGCTTGAATTTCTAAGCTTTTGCGTGACGCGCTATTTACATAGCGGCCAAGAGAGCTGTCATGTAGGCTAAAAAAATAACTTATTTCAGGACATTTTGCTATCAAAACAGTTCATGTACTAGAAAAAGTATTACTTTAATGTTTATGAGTTTCTCGAAGAATAAATTCACGCTTTTGTAGCAAAACTCGGTAACAGATGTTTCTGTTGGTTTCCGTCCGCGCCATGTTGGAGCTCATCCAGGTGAGCACCAGCACGACGTCTCCATACAAATCTCAATGAAAACCACCTGTTATTTAGAAATCTACATAATAATGAAGCATGCACGAATACAATCTAATTTATTCAAACTTAAACACTTACTTAACATTTCTCACCATTGAGAATCATGTTTGAAACATCAAAACGTCGAGTAACGTTCAAAAGTTTAATTTTCTTATTTAGGGTGATTTAGGATGATAAAGTTGACTCCCGATAACTCGAACCCTCGCTAACTCGAACCTCGCGCAAACTCGAACCAAATTAAATCGATTTTCCCTGAATTTCCGTTATACATTGAAACCTGTATTAAGCGGACAGTAGCCGAAGTCCCCAAATTTATTTCCCTTATTTACTTTAAATGAAACCTTTATATAAAGGCGGACACCTCTATTAAGCGGACGCGAACACCTAAAAAGTACCTGAAATGGTCATTTCTATTTTTACCAACCTGTATTTTAAACGGACACTTGTAATTAAATTCCGCCACCCAACATGCCAGACACTGGAAATGCGAAAGACTGCCTCGAATTGCCACCCACAAATTTTTCGATTTTTACATTAAAAAACGTGACTTGACGAACTTATTTGATTAGTTTCACAGTACAGGCTTGTTTTCTATTTGTTTTGTTGGTATAGAGCTTGTTTCACTCATCTGATTTCTTCAAATTTGAGTTGCAATATTATGGTACTATGATCAATTGCTTCACTTTGATAAAGAAATTAATGCAAACGTCTATCGTCATAGTCTCTGGGAGTATTATAAACGCTTCCACTGTTCATTTGAATGGCATTTGACACCTCATATGACGTTATATATCGAAACCTGTATTAGGCGGACACCCTGTATTAAGCGAACACTACAGCCCCGAGGGTGTCCGCTTAATACAGGTTTCACTGTACATTAAGGGACCGGTCATTATTTATTTAGAGGGGGCGGGGAGGGGGGGGGGAGGGAAAAATATGTTGGAAAGATCAAAATTCCTGTAAGGCCCCCTGCAGACCATGTATATAGCAACTGACTCCCCTCCTTTATCTAGGCCTTTCCCGACTGGGCTCGTAAAATCCTAAAAAAGTGCTGGCAAAAATGGCTAAAAAGTGCTCAAAAAGTGTTCAAAATCTCAAAATAGTGCTCAAAAAGTTCTAAACGTTGTGAACAGTTTCCCGACCACGTGACTAAGAAACGACGGGCTCTGGGGACGAGAATGAGTTACCTCTAAGCTTTTCGTAAATATGTCAATTTTTACTGAAGTAATTAACAACCTATTTTGTGTAGTGTTATTCCACAGGTTGTTACGAAAGGTTGATAGACTGTATAGAACAATAATATTTTTAAAAAACTAAAGCCGGTTACGAATTGTAAATAATATAAATTAAGCACTACTAGCATCAGATGATTTAGAAATGAGATGACACACGCATGATACATCAACCAATCAGAAACTTCTGTTCTCACGCTCAGTGAGGATAAGTCCACGTGCCTTTCCATGACAACGGTCTTTTATTCTTGACAACATCATTAGTTATTCAAATTTATGACCTGGAACACGATTCTCGTTGCGAGCGACACACAGTTTTTGCTTTACTGCGCTTTTCATAAACACGCGAACTCTTAAATTCAAAAACCAACTGACGTTTGCGTTTTTCGCTGCCTTCAATCATCTTAACGGACCTCTTAGGAAACAGGACTTTGCTTAAACGGGTTCAAAAGGTCAAGGTTTGTGATCTGTGATTGGCGGATTTCAACGTCGTCCCCAGGGATTTTCCCTTAAAAATGGGTGGGGCGCCCCACCCATTTTTTAAGGGAAAGCCCTGGGGACGAGGTTGGGCGGATTTGGATCCGTTTTGTGTCTACAAGTAAACAAAAGAAGAAAATACATGCAATAGATCTCCGAGTTTAACCAAAGTTAACTTGTTTAGATTCGCTTTCTTATTCCTTCGTTACAAATTCCCGTAGTTGTGACATATTTATTTCTCTTTTTTCCAGATAAAGATATTAAGAGAGCGTGGGACTACAAAATGAGAAACGTTCGAAAGAAGTTACTACAATTACTCATTGCCGTAACGTTAGTTGTCCTAGCGTTTATATGGATAATTCACTCTGATTTCCTTGCTCCGGTCGATCGTCTTCCCGACAATCATGGTCTCGAGGCACGAAGATTGTCCCTAGAGAGAACGCGCGTCCCAAGCCAAGACACACATACCAAGCCAAGAAACCTCTCAGAAAGAAAACAATACCAACAATCCTTTGCAGGTAAAAGATGTGCTAATGCTATCTTTACTCGAGGAAGCGGCTCGACGTCTATTATATTAAATGGACAGATTTAGCAAGGAAAACTTGACGAAGCTGAAGACGCTGCTTGCGGGCCTTAAAACTGGCTTGACCAACGGCAGAGCGCGAAAATGAGCACCATAAGTGACTTTCAGTTCTCTTCATGTGATTTCGCGTTCTCACTATTTTGCCGTTGCGTTTTCTTAGTAGCTAGATCTGCCATATTCCGAGAGGGAGCATTCTATTGAATGAGTACGGTAGTGGAAAATAGCCTGAAAGCATCTTCTTTTCTCTTACAAAGACTCTGAATGAAGACATTAATTCTTCTTAATTCTAACCAGAGTGTCAGCTAAAAGTGAGTGATGATATTTTAAAGAATGAACTATTTTACTGGGGATATCAACTGCAAATGAATTTTCAAACTCGGAGCTCATAGACTGATAATTTCCTCGCTTCCTTTAATATATTTTTTTCCTTTTCGATCCCTTTTAAGAAGGAGCTGGTTGACCCACTGATCTGACTTCCCACTTCCATTCTATCAAAAATGGTCAGCAGAAGACAAATAAACAAGGGATTCTCTCTTTGTAGCAACAACATTTGTTTTAACATCTGAGGAAAGATGCCGAAAGAACGAAAGACAAATATTTATTGTGCCATTTTATATTTCAGCTCCGACCACAGCGTCAATGACCAGAATGAAATCTCCTCAGAGGCGATCACTCTGTCCAGCGGTTGAAGTAATGAACAGCTCCAAAGTGACCAAGTTGGGAAGATATCCACAAGATAAACGTAAGTAACTACAATTATTATACATTGTACTCACTAACTGTCTTCTCTTTGGCTAAGAGCCTACAGCTAATTTTGGAACTCGGCGCAAAATACTAGATTAGTTAGTTATCTGCTAGCAGATAACTGACTGAGTGGGTTGCGCGCGCATTGCATGATTTCCTATACTGATATCAATTCAGGTTCCTTGCGAGCGTGTGTTTGTCGTTATTTCCTTTAAAACAATGTATATTAAAACAATTATTAGATTTGGTTCTTGTGATATCCTAAATAATCAAGGAGTCGGTAAGTGTTAGCCTCGGCCTTTGGTTCGGCTAATAACACTTGCCTCGACCTGGATTAGTCCGGTATCACTAATAAAACCTAAACCGCATCCAATAATTGTTTAAAATCCCCTAACATTTACCAGCTTTATGGTAGCATTTCTGAGCCTTTTTAAAAAGGCGGCAAATCACGTAGTCATAGCAACTGGCACGCAACATATTTTTGGCAAAAAATAAAAAAACAATCCAACAAATTTACTCCGAACGGGGGTAAAAAGATGACCAGTTCAGAGCTTTTACACTTTTGGAAATGTGACTCAACAGCATGGCGGGTTATAAATAATGCATCATCATCGAGCGGATTCGAAATGGCGTGGGAATCTGTTGTGTTTCGCGTTTTTCCAGCAGTCTTTGCTCGCCTTTCTGTAACACAACAACGAAGAAAGTATGACCATATTTCGGATGGGTTGCGATCGTTGAAATGGCTTCCTATTAGAGAGAAACTCATTCTAAATGACGCTACTATGATGCACAAATATATTAACAAGCTTGTTCCAGACTATCTTGCTGATATGTTTAAATCACGTTCTCAAGTCCATAATAGACACACTCGATCATCTGGTGCTTTGGATATACCTTTATGTCGCCTGTCAACAGGGCAGCGCTCCTTTGCTTTCAGAGGAGCCAAACTCTGGAACTCCTTGAATGATAATATTAAGTCCTTAAAATGCCCTAGGAATTTTAGGCGTCATCTTGCAAATGTTTTATTAGGTTGATATATTTTTTGTAATTATAATATTATTGTTCTTACATTCTTAATTAATTTATATAAATTTGTATTTTTCATTCTATTGAGCTGAAAAGCCCACTTAGGGAGCATCAATAAAGTGTATGTATGTATGTAAGAAGAAACGCTAGAAGGCTTGTGCATAAGGTGATGAAGAATGGATTTGAAATGTTAGAGAAAGTGAGATATTTCTTTTCATGTACGTGTGCAAATTGAACTTGAAAATAATTTTCTACCCACCAGTAAACACAGAAACCAAAGTTCGTCGCTTTTTTGGTATTCGTTTGTACGACTGCTTCATTTATCGCTCAAATTTCGTCTTCCGAAAATTTCTTGAAAGGAGACGCTATCTCGTTATTAGTGAATAGCCAAGGATATTCAGAGTTACTGCAGCCAATCAAAACGCGCAGAAATTGCTATTCACTGATTTGGTAAATACTAAAAGGTGTTACCCCACAGGAATGGGATCCTGACCCCAGATCATTATTCCAACAAAAGAGCGGGAGAAAAAACGAAGTACAAACTGTATTTAAGGAATACGTAATTGTAAACAAAAACTAACCGCTGACTGTGTGCTTCTTTGATAGGATTTCTGTCCATTGGTATCGCGTCCGTTGCAAGACCATCGGGAGCCAACTATTTGCTACAAACTATTCAAAGTTTGATCGACAACACGAACGATGTGGACAAGAAAGACATTTCTATTGTCGTATTTCTGGCAGACATTAATGAATCGCCGAAATCAACGGCAAAGGCCGAGCTTACACAAAACTTCCGCAAATACATTGGTGAGGGTCTTTTGACAGTGATCGAAGCATATCCAGAATTTTATCCACCACTAAATAACATAAAAGAAAAGTATGGCGACTCGGATAGCAGGAGAACATGGCGATCAAAGGAAAACGTAGATGCAACTTTCGTCATGTGTTACTGCAAGGATCTATCACAGTATTACATTCACCTTGAGGACGACGTCATCTCTTCTCCTAGCTTTTTCCCTAAACTACAGGGTTTCATTAAGATTCAAAGTGTAAAGCCTTGGTTGATGCTTGATTTGACTAGCCAGGGAAGCAAAGCAAAAGCATATCAGTCGAACGACCTGGCAAACATCGCTTCGTACTTTTATCTCATGTTTGATGAAATGCCCATTGATTGGTTGATGGATTACTGGCGAAAAATCAAAGACGAGAATCAAGGTTCGCGTCGATTGCCTCCGGCGTCGCTTTTTCAACACATCGGAGATCAGTCCTCTCTTAAAGAAAAAGGGTTATCAGGAAGGAAGCAGAGGGAACCATTTTTTGACCAGTATGACCAAAAGTACAGGGGACGTAACCCTCCTGCCATCGTCACTTCGTCAATGTCCTCTAACAAAGGAAAACCACGAGATGCTTATGAGAAAGGTAGCGGCTATTTTTGGGCGAGTCATCAAAGAAAAGGTAACTACGTCCTTGTAAAATTTAACACACCAATTGCTGTAAGAAAGGTGTTTGTTGACACGGGCAGTTATGAAGCGAGTAACAGTTTGCTACACCATGGTGTTCTACAAGCCAGTTTCGCGTCTAGCAAGGGTGAAGCCAATACATGTCAACGTTTTAAGACTTTGACAGAATTCAGGGGAGGAAAAGCAAAGATTTCTCTTAATCAGTCCAGTGATAGAGTCAAATGCTTAAAAATCTTAGTCACGGAAGACTATAGTGAAGATATCTACCTTCGTGAGATTGACGTTTGGTGGGACCATTGATCAATCAAAAATCCTGAATGAGTGGACAAAACTTCCCCTAGTTTACTTATATTTGGTTTCTGGGAACCCAAATCTAGCTAAATGTAAACTTTTAAAACAATTCAGTGCCTATTGATCAAGAAAGGATAAAGGAAATGACTTGTCATTTGTGTTGGTCAAGTACTGCCTTAGCTTTGTTGGCCACGGGAAGAAATTCATCTTGTTGTTCACAAATAGCTTATGACTGAATCCTTCGCTTGAATTCACTCAAGTTTCAGTACTTTTTTTTCTAAGTTTACGGTACAAGTTTGAAATAAACGTTAAAAGATCCTTATTACCATGCGTTTTTCGTCTGCTGTCAGCACTCCATCCCTTTTAAAACGCGGAAAGTTTCATCAGAGAAGTATCAATGGATGGTCTTTGAGACGGTTTCCTCCTGCAAATTGCTGTTTTCAGTTAATGCCGAAATTTCAAAATACCGTACTTATTCGAATAAGCGCCCAACCTCGAATTAGCTCCCACCTCAAATAAGCACCCATCCTAAAGGCAAAAAAAGTTAATAATCGCCCAGTCTCGAATAAGCGCTAATCCCCACCCCACCCTCCTCCCTCCCGCTGAAACTCAAATAAGCGCATATCCCCAACCCCCTTCGCCCTTCCCACCCGCCCAAAAATTGAGTAAGTACTAATAAGAGACTTCCTCGAAAACTAACTTTTATTCTGAGTATTTTACAGAAACCTTGCTTTGTTATATCTTCGCGTTTTTTTTAATACCATTTATTTTTTGTTGCAAAATAAACATACTGGACTTGCTGAAAATGGTGAAAATTTAATGAGCGCCCAGCCTCGAATGAGCCGCGCCAGTGGCAGCGTACAAGGCAAACACTCGCAGTCGAGAAAGTCGATTTTCAAACTCGGTAAGGAAGATATGATACATATGATATCTAATGTAGAGGGGCAAAGTGAGGATGGAGATAAGGTGAACCGATACTTGCTGAATTTAAAAGTATTTCTGTTAAAACTTGCTGTTCACAACAAGCTGGGGCAATAACGGCAAGACTGTTATCAGCATGAGCTTCCAATACCGTGTTGGTATTCCGAAATAATATTCTCTTTCGTGTAATTGGCTTCACCTGCCTCCGACCGTTTGTTATGTTTGTATAAATTTATAAGGACCACTGAATGACCATTGAGAACGAAGCTACGATCAAATACGATAGTTGTGAAGTAAGCTATTTGTCTTCACACACTAAAAAAAACGGTGGTCAAAAATGTACTTTTTGACAACTATTTGTCGTCGACAACTTAACAGTTTCCTTAATTTCCGAAAAGGGCCGAAACTGCTTAGTTGTGGACAACTGAAATTTGCGTTTAGTTGACGACTACTCGCCTCACAAGCTGCGTTTTTTTCGTTGTCGATAACTTTTAGTAGTCCAGGGGAGGGGACCCCCCCCTGAAATTTGTCGGAAAAATTGGCGATCATTATTACATCCAAACACGGCACAAAGATCTTTTTTCCCAATACAATCTTATTCAAAGAAAACTTTGAGAAAAAATGTCCCGAAAAGCGCTCGAAATACAAACGAAATGTGCTCATGGCCCCTGCGCATCCTATAATAATCCTTAAATCGAATTAATTCAATATGGCCGCCGTATCGGTTAAAAGGTCTATTTAAGGGCCCAGTGAACTATCTTTTGAAGCCGTTGCTAGGGAAAAACTTTGGTGCTGTAGCTTGGACTCCTTTCGTCATGCATTGGTCATTTTATAGCACTGTACTTCCTGGTGATATGCAAATATAAATATGACGTTATCGGACTACGCCCACGCTCACGTGACCAGAAACGAAAACGTCTAAAATCTTGGAAGTTTATCATTTCAACCATGTTTTTTTCGTGGATATTTTACTTTTGATTAATTTCTCATTAAACTATGCATCGTTTTTGTTGTATTTCCTTTGAACAAGATTTCTAACCCAGATTTGAGGTACTGAAATGGTCATGATTTGCTTCAAAGAGACAAATTCCCGAAACTGAATGCATAGTTTTTTGCGGAATTTCAGTCTAAATTGTCCGGTACGTTTAAAATAGAATCTGAGCCAAAACTCGCGATTAGTTTAGAGGTTTTTGTTAACCGGAAGTGGCTTTCTTAACGCATGCGTATAATACTTACCCAATATGCTGTGCGTGCGAACCGACAAGCGGTGGAATAGTTGATCGTGGCGTTGTTTTGTTGTGGGTTTTAGGACTTCTGTAAGTTTATTTATATATGAAATTACTACGCCATGGACGAAAAGTATTCGTGAAAAGGAAAAGATTTACTTAAGATTCTTTTATGGGCTGAGAGACAAGATAAAATGATAGAGGAAACTGTTTCAGGTCCCTGGCGAACCCTAGACGGTGCTCGTCGCGGGATTGTCGGTGTAAACAAGGTGAGGAAAAAACTTTTAATTTTGCCTGTAGGTGACCTTTGGGTGTAGTTTCAACGTAAGATAGCTGTAAACACACTATTTACTTCATCACTGGGGGATTACTGGAGCAGTTGATAAATATCCTGTTAAGGCGGCTTGGTTTTCGGAAGTTGCTGGACCCCTTTGTTCGTAGTAACATGGAAGCTTATGTTTTCAACTGTTCATTTATTTTAGCCTGCGTAGCAGGCGCTTGGAAGTAGTGGGCACAAGAAAAAACGGGCGCGCGAGAAGGAGACACGCGAGGGGAGAGGAAGCGCCTGCACGGAAGGCCCCCGAAAATCGTTTCCCGCCCCCTCTCTAATTACTTGACAGCCGTTGCGTGATCTGTCAAAATTTTTGACAGAAAACCACTGACCTCGCACAAACAAAGCAAGCCGCCAAAAGGCGTTGTACATTTTATCTTCAGTCTAAATATATCTGTTATAAAGATCAGCTGGGTTATCTGATTATAGAGCGATGGAGCAATAAACTGATGGTTAACACACAGCTTTAAATCGTTTTTTAACGTGGGCACAATAAATCACAGGGAATTTTTGGTGATTGCCAAAGTGGGAAAAAAACAGGAAATTCGTGGGGTTTTCTTGGGTTTTGGTTGTAATTTCCCAAATTGGGGAAATGCTACCAAAACCAATATTGGGTTCAAGTAAACCCAATAAAAACCTGCAAATTGGGATTTTAGTGTACCAACTTTAACCCGGGAATGGAGTTTTCGTGTCCCATATTTATCTCATTAATGGGATTTTACCAACCCACAAAAACCCCAAAAATTTGATTCAATTGTCCCAGTTGAACCCCAATAGTGGGTTAATACTGGGCCATCTGAAACCCAATGTAGGAATTATATTGGAACAGTAATACCCCAACCATGGGTTTTTATTGCCCCAGGTAATCCCCAATTAGTGGTATAACATTGGTCCACTTTTATCCCATTAAAGGGATAGTATTGGACCAATTTAAACCCGAGTTATGGGAATATATTGGGATAGGTACACATCCAAAGATGGGTTTTTATTGCCCCAGTTGATCTTCAATAATGGGATAACATTGGCCCACATATTTCCTGACTTATGGACTTACGAATGTAATTGTAATCAATCAAGCGGCTTTTAAAAATATTGGTCCAGTTGTAAAACACACAAAAAAGGTTCGACAATATTAATATGGTTAACAGTAACATTTATTTTAGATGACAATGCAGGTGTCAATTCAAACTGGTTGATTGTTACTAAACAGGTATTTAATCTGGATCTCTTTATATGTAAATATAACATGCAAAAATACAATATCATTGAAAACTGTATCATAAAAATATATTAAACTGTTTAATTTAAGTTCATTCATCAATCATAGAGTAATGCAGTTATGCAGAGTCATATTGTCGAAGGCTATTCCATACATTCATCAAACAGCTCAATTCCTTTATGAACACATCAAATGTCCCTTAACTTCATTTTCATGGTTAATAGCAGCAACATTTATATCAGAACCACTATGGTATTTAGTTATAGCTAGGTCCTACCTGGAAAAAAACAGCGTCAAGTCATAATTATAATAAATGAACCAGTCTCTTGTATAGTTTTTACATAGCGGACGTGTCAGAACATTCTTATATTTCCTCTAATACATCGAAGTCTTCGATTTCAATATTCCGCCTGAATATGATTATTCTAATGGATTCCATAGACGATTTGCAGCAAAGACCACAGTCATCTGTATAAACAAAAAAGGTGGAAACTTCATCTATAAAAACGAACAAATAGCACCCGATAAGAGACGATCGAGCCTCGTACGATCTCAACGGAGCAACCAAACACGAGTTTCCACACATACCTTCCTCTTTAATGCGCGATCCAGCTCAGTCATTGTTTCATAGAAGGCGATTTTGAAACAAGACAAATGTAAGCAACCTCACAAGTGAATATTTTGCGTTAAAATCTTTGGATGCATTCATTATAAAGACAATCCGTTTGCAAACCACTGTTGTACTGCACAGAAGTCCGCCTAAAGATTTGAACCAAGAAAACTGATCTTGTACACATTTCTATTGGTTCAAAAGCCGCACGTGATCGCGCGTCACTAAGCGGAGGCCTGCACGCCAGTTCAAGTACCAAACATGGCGGCAATTCGACAGCACGATGAAGATTGTCTGTCTTTGAAAGCTTTAACTTGTGGTCCGTTTCAGAGTTAAATGCACTTTGCCGACGCTCGCAAAGAGTAAAGCAGTGAGAAGAAAATATTGCATTGTTCTCCCAGGAGAGGGAAACTTTGAAAAAAGGCAGCGGGCCTATTGACAGATGCGGCGAAAAATGTAGTTCGCCGAAAACTAGTTCCATGCAAAGCAATCTCATTAATCAGATTGGACTCGAGTAACTGGGCAAATTTCGGCTCTCAGCAGAAGACACCTTGATATCGAGAAGAGTTATGCGCCTAGTGGGATCATTCATAGTTAATTATATTGAAGCGGCTGCATGCGATCAAGTGCATGCACCGAATTACCATACTTTTGGTTTTCAAATAAGCCAATGAAACTTTAACTGTTTTGTTCTAAACTTAGCAGATATGATGTTTGGAAAATTAAACTTTTCAAACATTATTTGTACACTATGTATGTTGGTATTTCAAGAGCAACCTGTCATTTCTTTCAAGACTAAATTCATCATTTGGGAAGATTTACTAGTTACCAAACATTTTGTGTATGAAAAATATTATTCTTAATCCTTTTCTGTTTTTGGATTGAAATTTATTCAATATTTCCCATAAAAGAATATAATAATTGGCCTAACCCTTACATTGTAATGCTTACACAAGATTATTGTATTCTTTCCGACCCAATATAATAGTCATAAGAATGACAAATCTAGATTTAATCAAATCCTTTTCCAAGGTGGGGATTTCTTGTCCCTTTCATTTTCCAAAATTGGAAATAACATGCTGCAATATTTCCCAACTTGTGGAAAAATAGCCCCATTATTTTCCCATATTTTGGGAAATAAACCCATTGGTTTCCCAATGTTGGGATCTTGGAATCTGTATTGCATATTTTCCCAAACTAAACACGGTATCGAGAAAACGTAACCCTAACTTTAACAAACCCTTTCCCAATGTGGGGATTTCTTGTCACTTGCATTTCCCAAAATTGGGAATAACATGTTGAAATATTTCCCAACTTGTGAAAAAATAGTCCCATCATTTTCCCATACTCTGGGGAGAAAACCCATTGGATTCCGAACATTGGTATTTTAAAAAAATATTTTGCTTCATTTCCCAAAGTGAACCCAGCATTGGGAAAAATAAACCCAAACTTTTACCAATCGTTTCCCATGAGAGGAAAATGTTGTCCCAACCATTTCCCAATAATGGGAAAAATTCCCAACACTTTCCCAGTTTGGGAATTACAAAAAGTTTCCTGTGAATAGGAAATAACAAAGTCAAAACTGGGTACCTTTTAAAGAATGCATGCTGTGTATTATAAAAACTAAAAATATTGTTCTGGTCAGACACCAACGATCACAGCGTACGTGGAAAATGACCATATTGCTTTTACTGCGCTAACTGGCAGCCGTTTTTGGAGCAGACATGTCTTACTAAGTGGACCTAAACCTCAGAACACAAACTGTACCGACATGTTTTCTACTGCAGTAATAAGACATAAACAACAGACCTCAGGTCGCCTCCGAACGGCGAATAATACTATAGTGAAATGTTTTTTTCAAATTCATGCCCCTGGTGAGTGTTTCATTTCATCAATCATGTCCAAGTTTTGATGGTATACGTTCCATCAACAGCACAAGCCGCCAAGTTCTCCTGAGCAAAGAATATTTCCTCTGATCTTCATTGCAACGATTCGACAAATCTTTTGTCTCTCGCCACTTCTGTTGATGCGTATCCGATGTCAATTCTTTCCATCGTGAATACCGTTTCAACACTCCAACTTTTCTTTGAGATTACAGCCACATAGTCCCATTAAACCAGATTGAAGTGACCTCCGAGACCTGAACTTCGATTGTATACAATTTAGTGGTTTCAGGACCCAGTGGTGTAATGCAAGATCTTCTCTACGTTGTCCATGTACTGTTGATTGACAGGTTTCTCGCCCCGCGCGGTTAATTTTTCCCTCGGGAGCCTCTCGACCAATTGGAAATATCCGCACTCACAGAGTGCGAGTTGAAACGATTTTCGGGGGCCTTCCGTGCAGGTGCTCCCTCACCCCTTGCGTGTCTCCCTCGCGCGCGCCCGTTCTCTCTTTCGCCTGCTACTTCCAAGCGCCTGCTACGCAGGCTACATTTATTTCTTATTATTTACAATCATGTCTTGCTTCGTTTTGTACCAGTGCGTTTAGTATAATGAACCTGGCATACAATGCATTTACATATACAACTTCTGTGTTGTGAATACTGGTTTCAGAGGTTTTTCATGAAATTTTTCTTCCCGTGAGACGAGAGGCACGAGGGACAAGAATTAACTTTCATGATTCACGCGGCGAAGAAGACCACCTTCTTTTCCTCGCTCAGCTGTTTGAATTTTTTTCAAGAAAAACGTCTAGGACCGGTGTAGTATTACCGGTATCTACATTTTACACTGTTGGCAGTTTTCCTTTGTAAATAAGTGCACTATTTTTACTACCGTATTTTATTCCTCTCACAACTTGAAAATGTTTACAGGTAAAAATACATGTATGGCTTTTGTTGCCGGCTCCTTTGCCACCCATGGTTATTCACCATGATAAACTTGTAAATGACCCAGTATCTTGTGAACTATAATGTACATGTGCTTGTCTTTGTTGAAAATTGTGTCATGAATTTAATATTTACAATGATTTGTATTTTCTTTCTAGTATTTCCAAAGAAGGCCAGTCTTTTATCTAACCCCTTAGCCAATTTGTCATCATACTCGTGGTTGATTATTTTGATGTATTTGCTTGTGTTAGTTTGCTGAACCTGTTTCTCAACAACGTCAAAGTACTAGTCCAATCATAACAAAGCATGTTCACTGAAAAATCTGTTCATCTCAATAACTGTATAATTTGTGTGATCATGATTGTTTATTTTGAACTTAATTTTTTATTGAAACAGCTATCCTTGTGTTAGTTTTCAACTCAATCACAGAAACCTGATTACTTGAGGTGACCAATGCAGTTTCAATCATGTTTATTGTTTATAGGATAGACACGTCCTGTGTAAACTTTTCAGCTCTCTCGAACAGCACTGAAAAGTGGTTTATAAAAAAAAGGGAAAAGAGAATTCATTTTTCATCACATTTTACCAACTGCAAGATCATGAGAAAGAATACATCATAAAATACTTTTGGAATGTTAGGTGAACAATGTTTTTTTCGATGAGAAACAAGCCATGACCAAGCTATAATTTATTATTTTGAGCCCTGACTGTGTCTTCTTACTGCCCATAAAAGTACCCAGCTAGCTTTCGACAACACACTAGAGAAAGGCCTTTAGCTCTAAGAAAGTGGACAAATTGCTCCTGCTCTTGAAATCTAATTCTTAGGTTTTGTAAATCTCCAAATGAGAATCCCCGGCTAGCAACTTTGCGAGACATGCCCCCGGACACAGTACTTCCTAATTTGAGGAGGAGGATCTTGCTCTTTTCTCTTGTTTGTACCATGGCTTTAAATTTTTTCTTTTGCTCTTAAGCAGTCCTCAGGAGAGGCTGGTAGAAGGGAATTATATGCTTCAGGTCTGTGCAAAACAATACATCTCTCATTGCTTGCACATCAGCCAATGCTCTGTGGGCTTCAAAGTATAACAAAGTTTAAGAGTTTTATGCTAGAAATAAAAATATGAAATAATGCATGTCAAATGAAATTAATAGAATAAATTATGCATGCTTACACAGATTTGGATATTTGCATCTCTGGATTTAGTGAAGGCTATAATCATTGCCAGTTGTTCATGCTAATTGAGAAATGAGGAGGGAACTGCAGCCCAAATGTGTCCCACTGTTGTTTCTTATTCTGGGGTTATTACGGAGGGGGCGGTGGGTCAGCTATTGGCCATTATTCCCTGTCCCTAGTAAACAGTCTTTGTAAAAGTTAACTTGGCCCAGTTTATGATGAATGGAAAATTTTTAGTGCTCCATGAAACATCATAATATTGTGATGCAATCAGACTCTGCCCTACTCAGACTGGAGTACAAAGCATTGGTTTTGTTACCGCTATTGTTTACTGCAAGTTGAACTAGAAGCAGTTATCACATTTATGTCCCCAACAAATTCTGAACCTACAGTGCACAAGGTTTACCTTGAAAATTTGCATTTGGAAAATACAGTGCATGTAGTGCTGGCATGCCAAGCTTTTGGTGTTTTTGTAAGTTTAGTTTTCCTTGTTTCCTCATCTGTTTAAAATAAACAAATTGCTCAAGTATTAGTTGTCTTCTTAGAAAACTACTTGTTTGTCATAAGAGTGTCATGATTACCGGTATATACTTGTACTTCTGAGATAAAAAAAAACTACATATCTGTCCAAAAAATGAATACATGTACTTAAACAAAGAATACTTTAGCAACCAAGTTAATTCAGTGTTGTAAATGCAGTGTAATACCATTATTACAGAAATAAAGTAAAGGAAGCAATACATGTACACTGTATGACTGCATTTCTTTCTTAGCATTAAAATTAAAATCTCTCTATCTTACTGTTCGCAGGTTCACTAATGAATCTCCAAAGCAGATGTGTTTGAAGAGATCATTTTTCAACAGGGGATATCGTCTGTCCACCTCAGCAAACAGGAGTGGAGAGTCATAAACAAAACCATTATACGCAATCAGTACTGAAAAGAAATACAACAGTATTGTAAACTGTCTGTTCATGAAATAATCCCATTCCTATTTTACTTTTGTAGTAGCTTGTCATCACTATTTCTATAACACTTCTTCTTATATTTCAGAATTCTGATCTTATTTATAAGATATATTAATAAAATGACTTTATTTTTACATGGTTTTGGACTTTGTGCTTTTTTCTTATCTAGAATGGACTATTTTGATTTAATTTTGTATACAAGAGATGGACTGTCATTTCATTTAAGTAGTATGACTTTGTGTACATGGGAAGTATTTTCTCTTGGTTAATGTGGAAATCTCATTTGTCAGATTTTTGATCCATGATATAAACCTTGGAAGGACTTCTGATAGTTTTGGTTGGTTTAAAAGGTCAGTCTGTTTTATTCCACATTTTTTCACAACTGAAAAACAAAATATATTGCATGTAATGCTATTCAGTCTTGTTTTTACTGATCTTTAATCAGACAAAAACATTAAAAAATGGAAAAAGCATTATTTCACATTATTGATTACTTTCAACCTCTAACCTGGTGCTGCTATTCTCTTAGAGGTGTTGATGAGAGACTGGAATGTTGATGGGATGTTGGTTTCTACATTGCCAGGCAGAGGCTGAAGAACAGCAGCAATCTCCACTATGTGGTCCTTATAGACTGATCCCCCAGTACCTTCACAATCATACAGGAAGTACAGTGGGGAAGGGCTGTCTGTCACCTCATCACTTGATTCATCATCATCGCTGCTGTCTGTTAAATTGGAGATGAAGTTATCTGGTTCAGATAACTCATCTTCTGAATTTTCACTGTCACCATGCACTTTCTTCTGACTCAGAACCAGCTGTTCCACAGTAGGATGTTGTTACTGAAACTGCCTTCAGTGACTTCATAAATTCCTTCTCTTTTTCATGTTTTTTCATCTTCTTTTTTTCCTTTCATTTCTAAGAGAGAATATGGGATTAACCATTCTCTTTTGTAATACTACCCATTGTTTTGAATGAATTTTTTTGAACAATTTGTCGGCTTTTCACTGACCTCAGAGGTAAAATAGAGGTGTATAATACGGTGATTCACATTTTAGATGTCAATTTCTTAACTTAAAGTTTCGTTGTAGTAAAATGCACTTTACCTAGCAGCAATCGTTATACATTTGTATTTGTATTTTTCCTGTCTTAATTTTTAGTTGTAAAATATTTTTACAAAAATTAGCAGTTTATAAATTAAAAATAGAATTATAAAAATGAACCTTTTCTTTTGGTAATCTTGTGAGCTTCTCATATTGATCTCTCTGTCATATTGTTCCTGTCTCTTGATTATGCATTCAACTGACTTCTTTGGCATGGGAATTTGAAGAAGTTGGAAAAGCAGAAGTACCCAGATAGGACCAATGTTCTACAGAAAAAGTATTGTCAATGTATACATGAATAACTATTACAGCAGCTTTAGCTGGATATTATATTTCATCTTTGTTTATAGCTTTAAATGTTGAACGTTAAATTGTTTTAAGTAGTGATTTTTTTTTCAAATTGTGTTAGCTCTTTCAAATGAAATCTCTAGCATTGTTCTTTCAATAATGCTTGAAATTATCATTGATCAATTTTGTTTCAAAAGAATGATTATTGTGAAATAATTTTTTTAATTACACCATTTTATCATATGCGTTAATGAGATCACCATATTATTTTTGATCACCTTGTGAGGTATTGACATGTTAGTCTTGCATTTATAATGTACGGATCCCAGGTCAATCCTCTTGTTCCGGTACATTAAAGCAATCCCATGGTATCCCTCTGGGATGTTATTTGTTACTCTCCCATCAAGAGTAATGTACTCCTCAGGTCTGGTGGCCATTTTTTCGAGAAGTGCTTTAAACTCCCTCAGTTGTGATGGGCAGCTAAATGAATGTTTACAGTGGCAGGGCTTTCCATCTTCATCTGCCTGTACAATTACACAACCACAATTTTTTAAGAATAAAGAACCATTAATGCCAATAATAATAGTTACTGTTGGCAGTGACCAAAACATGTTATTATAAAGACACAAAAAGCTCTGACGGTACAGTTCTTAATCGCCTGGTTTTATGTTTTATGTTTGCAATGATGCAACAAGCACCAAAATATTTTTTGTGTATTACTACTACCTTTTTGTGAAATCTGCACCATGTTGAAGTGTGGTCATCAGTGTAGTGCTGATAATAATTTAGGATGGCTTTGCCAAAGTCCCCCATTGGGTCCTCTGGGGAGTAGATCTCTTCGCACTTTGTTAGATTTTTCAGACACTTTTTAGCGTTGGTTATCATTGCATCTGTCATTCTTTTGCACTTGGGTAGGCCAAGGCTTTTGCACTGTGGATATATCAAATGGTACACATGTCATGATTATAATTGAAATCGTTTTAGATTGAAAAAATCTTACAAGCAACCAAACTCAATTAGGAGAAAAATTCGGCAGTATGAAATGTCATTATTACGCCCAAAGAAAATAAGCACATTACCAGCTCCTGACATTACCGGTAATTTACATGGCAATGATAGCAAACATTGAACTTTTTGACAGTTGCGTTTCCTCTGCGGTCCGCATAAATAAAATAAAGTTAAACAGCGCCGAAAAAAGCATATTTTATGTCTTTTTTTTTCTAGCAAGTACGCTTTTAGAAAAAAACTTTGCCGTCTCGTGGTCAATGACTTTGGAAATAAAAGTGAACTAAATTGGGAACTGCGCATTAAAGGCGGTTAGGGACAAAAGATACAAAGCTGTACACTCACCTGACAAGGCGTTTTCTTCACTCGTTCCAACTCCGTATGGAAGGTTTTCGCTGTGTGGTTACCAAAAAACACTATTTCTGTCTCCGGGCTTCTTGTAAGAATGATCTCATGGCAAGAGGCGTCTTCATCAATTAACGCTTTCTTGATGGTCATACGCTCGTTTTCGATCAAATCGGCAAGAATCTCGTCAAGCATGTTCCCCTCTGCGCCATCAGATGTTCCCTCCCAGTTGGCATCCTGTCCTCGTTTAGTGCGATGTGCATAGCCGATGATGTTACCGGTCTTAGCGTCATGCATGGTGGCAGAAGAATTGTTGGAGTAGTGGCCTCTGGTCAAGTAGAAGCCGTCGAACATCACCTCGAGCTTGTCTTGATCTCCGCGCGCTTTTATCGCTTTCCTCGACTGCTGCATACTCCAATCGGCTATTTTTTGTACTTCCGGAGCAATCCACTCAATTACTCGGATCCACTGCTTTTTGCTAAAGTGGCTTATTCCTAGGGTTCCCATCAAGTGGTCATAGTCTTTATAGTACAATCCACAGGTGATGAACGCGAGGAGGACATAATTGGTCAGATAGCACTTTGGTTTCGTACGAGCAAGAATAGTCTCGCTGTTGCTAGATACACTGAACAGTATCTTACATTCGGAACAAATAAATTCCAACTTTAGTATTCCTGTCTGTGCCTCCGTTTCTTTCTTAAAAGCGAACTGCCCCGACTTTCCACATCCACTGCATTTGCTTTCTGAAACAGCATCTCGCATAACTTCAGAAGTCGAAATCAAAAACGACGATGGCTTGATGGAGAGATTCTTACTAGTTAGCTCATCAAGTTTGTGACTTTTGCTTGCAAACACACTCTCTACTTTATGAATTGTTCCGTTTTCAGTAACCTTTTCGGCAAGGCTGCCACATTTTGGAGCTTCTTGCACATCAGCGCTGGTAAAATTGACACAGAAGTCAAGTAATTTGTCCGCATGAAGAGCGAGTTCGCCGTGTTGTTTTACACCACTTACTTCGGACGAAGGAGCAGGTAAAACTGAGTCAGTCTGCGTGGCAATAGTTTGGGCATGAGCGGGTTGCTTGAAACTAATTTCAACTTGGCAAGCCAGTGCCGTAGCCAGACTAAACGGCCAACCGAGGCAGGCGGGAGTTGCTAGGAGGGTTCGGGGGCATGCCCCCCCGAGAAATTTTGAACTTTAGTCTCTCGGAAATGCGATTTGCAGCGTTTTCTGGGCCTTTCGGTAACTTTTTTTCGAGTTAATTTAAGTGGAATTTAAAAAGCAATAATCAGAAACAAGCTACATAATCTGGGTGACCGTTAACCTCGCCAATGGTTTTGATCAGTATTTGTTCAAAAAAAATTTGAGTTAACGTACGTAGCCCCTTGAGATCGATGACATGGTAATTTTTTCATAGTATATTGACTGAATTGCTGAATTCTTTGTAATATCATGATGCGTTAAAAATATCCGATGATCGCTTATGTAAAATAAAAATGATCGGCGAAATTCGTCAAAATTTTACCGAGGCGAGTGCCTCGGTTGGCCTCATACTAGCTACGGCGCTGCAAGCAAAATCCTTTTTCGACGGAATGGACCAGCGCGCCTAAGAAATTTCCAAGCAATGTCTTTTCCTCTTCACTTCCTTTCGGCCCGTCATGTTTTCATGTTGTTTCCGTTTTGTTTTGGTCTTTTTTCAGCTTTGTCAGTTTGTTTTGTTTTTCTTTTCCATTTGTTTACTTTTCCATATTTTCAAACCCGGGGTGACATGCTTCATTGTTTGAAAGTAGCAATTTTGCAAAATGTTTTCAAATCTGCCGGGCTCGCGCACTTATGATTTGCTGCGCGTGGCGTTGGCTAACGCCATCGACCGGAAGTGAAATTGCACGTCCTTAGCAACGCGCGAGATCACGCGAAAGATAGGTCACTGCATAGTACGCATGCGTTAATTTTTGGCGGGAAAATTATCGCTTTCCCCGTGGTGGACTGGCAGGCTACTGGCGGAGAAAAATTGTTTACAAATTACAACGCGTTTTCGTGTCCTTCTTTATTTTTTTCTTCGCTCAAATACAATGAGCACGCCGTTAAAGGTAAAAAGAAACCAGGCTTGGTCCATCGCGGAGGAAAAAGATTTTTTGTTGTTATGTTCGGAGAAGGCGATAACAGACCTCCTGGACAAATGCGTGATATCTGCTGGTGTAAGTAGACCCTCTTAACTTTAAACTATCACAATTTATATTTGCTAATCAAATTGCTATCTTCGTATTATAACTTAAACTTTAAAAGTAAGTTTAAGTATACAGAGTATAAGAGTAATAAGTATAAGACATCCTCGTATAACTGGTCCAGTTCGCGTCTTATTTTTTCTCGTATAAATGGCCCTAATAGCAAATAACAAAGGGTTTCCGAAAAAGTGGAAACAAATTCGCAATGTTGAAAAAGTTTATTCGATCAAAACTAAGAGCACTGTACGTTTTAGCTCTTTTTAGCTCTGGAGTCTCTGAAGTCTTTTGGAAACTGGACACTGTGTCTGTCTCGAAGTAGTTTCCATCTTTACTCCGTTGGTCCTTGTAAAAAAAACATAGCAAAAGGCGAAGGAGCTTTTCAAGGTAAATTTGTTGTCATTGTCGAAGGAGTCGCTCGTTAATTTTTTTGGGGGAAACCTCTCGAATTTCTGCAAATTCATTCTGGTCTTCAATTGTGACCTGTGTTAAAATTTTCAAACATTGACTAGAATTTTCTTCCTCGGTAAGGTTTTAATTTCTACATCAGCTTCGTTCTCATTAAACAAAGCTAGGTAAAAATTTGAAAAGGCAAAGTCAAAACCCATTCCTCAGGGTTTACAGACATATTTTAAAGTTTATTCGGTCAAAACTGAGAGCACTGTAAGTATTCACTTGCCAGTGTGACGCTGTAGTCTTTTGAAAACTGGACATTGTGTCTGGCTCGAAGTCGCTTCTATATTTCTTTCGTTTGCCTTTGAAAAAAGACTGCAAATGGCTAAGAAGCTCGTCAAGATGATCAGGTGCAGGTATGTTTGTTATCATATTCGTCGAAGGAAGTACTCATTTTTTCATAGGCAAAACATCTCGAATCTCTGCCAGTTGATTTTCGTCTTCTTAACTGTGTACTATGATAAAATTTTCAAACACTGACTAGAATCCTCTTCCTCTTAAGATTACGATTTCGCCTTCCTTCACACAAAACGTTGAAGGACAAAGGCAACATCCAATTCCTCAAGGTTGACAGACGTTTTATAACTTTATTTAAACCTTTTTTCCGAGGTGAAGAGATTAAGAGCTCCGAAATGAGAATTTTCTTTGAAATTTTGGTCCGTATAGGAAGTTTCCAACCGCAATCGAGCAACTGCATTGCGTTAAGTTCCTCTGAATTAGTTTGCGGACTCCCGCATCTGAATCAGATGATTGGTTTGCATGACGCGTCCTGAATTCGACGTTTGACCCAACAGGCGAACTTAACTTGATTTAGGTAGACCCAAATTAGAGCTCGTCTCACGAAAATTTCGACGTTTTCTCTCGGACTTAGGGAAGAAAATGTGCGCTCTGAAGTCGCCAATGTCACAGGTTATGTCAAAATACGTCCGTAAGAGTTTGTGAAACTCTCTTAACAGCGTTTTTTTGTTCGGCACCAAAAAGTCCCCCACCCACCACGCTGCTGCACTGCTCCACCGCTATTAGTTGGTAAAAATAATGTCCCTAATTAAAACTTTCGTCGCAAATGTATTTTCTAACTAGGAAGATTTCATACAGTCAAATCTTCATGTGCGACCGCATCTCGAAAGGTGTCACCTGTCATAAGAAACCTCCTGTCCGAAACTCCAAAATTTTCCTAATGAAACTCAAGAATTAGAAACTCTCGTAAATGATCATTTCTCCGAAGTGAGCGCGACCACCTTTTGCGCTGACTGTTTTTTTTCCATTACCTTCTAATAAGCGACCACTTGACGTCGGGTGTGATCTCTTTGTTCGCTGCATTTACCTCGTCACTAAGGGTGATACTAGGGACTGTCAGTGATAACATAGAAATACACATATTGTAACTTAGAAATTGCATGCAATAATGAAAAACCGTTGAGAATAATTACTTTGCTGCATTTTTGGAATTACTTTTCTTCGTATAAATTTCAGTTAATACGTTCTGACCAGGAAAAGTTTGGTTAACGAAAAATATATCGCGTACAGTAACGCGCGAGTGGCACGAGAATAGCCCACTTTCGATATATTAACTTTCTAACATGACTACGAGGCTTTCTGGTTATTTTTCTCTATTTGGTTTGATTTTCTTTGTATTCTAGTCTCTTCTGGGAATTGCGAGACAATGGAGTTGTTAAAAATTTGCTGTTTTGACCTTAAAACCTCAGAGTCATGGTAGAATCTTAATATATCAAGCGTGGACTATTTCTAGCTTTGTCACTTCCTCGCGCGTTATCTCTCGTGTCACCCACTCGCTCGAGATGAAGATTGCTGGCAAGCTAATGTGAAGAACAAACGAGAATATTGAAAAGAGATTAAACAATACTGACCCAGCTACTTGACCACTCGTCACAAGGCCAAAACCACAAAGCTTTGGTGCTGACCATTAGTATCGCAGCTCTAGAAAAGCCAGAGCGCGCGCTAAAGAAATTAACAAGTGAGGGTAATTGTTTATGACATCACTAAATTGTAAAAGCTCACTTTTGGAAGAAGAAGAACGTGACTGAAATTTAACGGAAGATTATATAGAGCGATTAAGAGATTTTTTTCTAAGAAAATATTTTTTAGGATGGCACAGATGTATGTCTACAGTTATGAACAACTAGTAGCAATTGTAAACCAACAGGCAAGTACCATTGCGCAGCACGCTGCAGTGATTAACAACCTGCAATCAGAGCGGCAGTGGCTGGAAGAGGATAATCATATCCAGAGAGAGGAGTTGGAAAAATCTCAAAAGAACCTCAAGGATCTCGAAACATCCAGGAATTTAACAGAAAATACATTGAAAACAGAGTTAGCGCGACTCAAGGAATCTCATTATGACATCAAGTGGAGGCATAGGAACGCCGTTAGAGAACTGGGTGGTGAGAAGAAAAGAAGTGTCAAGCTGAAAGCCCAGTGCACTTCGTTGCTAGATAAGCTTGATGAGAGCACCCAGGAGCTTCAGCAGAACAAACAAGAACTTGACCGAGCAAAAGAGGAACTCGATTTAGGGTACAGCGTGGGCGAGTGGATGTATCAACACCTTAGATATTATTACTGGGGGTACTTTGAACTGCTTAAGTACTTCCAGTGGCCTGGACCATCGTCTGGAGGAGCGACCATCAGAGAGCTCGACACTAATGATCGACCAATGGAAGGAAAGACGGTTGCAGTGCTGCCTCACAGTTATAACGTAACACAGGGAGTCCAGGTGTCACCAAAACCACCTAATTCAGAAAGAGCCAGAACTGTTTTAGACGGCACCGACAGAATAACTGTTGCTGTAAACATGGTGAAGAAAACGGATTTACGGACAAGTCTGATAGCGCAGAGTGTCATCGAGCTAGTTCCAAGTACCATCATCTGTCCCAAAACAGATTTCGTGATAAGACTTGCTCCCTCCCAAGACCAAAACCTAATCGAGTTCCTTTCGCGGCTTATTAATAACACCAGCAGCTGCCGGTCTATCCCTGAAGTTCCTGAGGTTGCTCATTTATCAGCTGTCTACAATGAAGTGCCCATAAGACCGGGCAGCCACCTACAGCAGCTCGCCATTTGCGCACCAGAGTGGGTAAATGCACCAACCACAATACCCACATTAGTGGCTGTAAAAGGAGCTGACCGTGCTCGTCGGGTACAGAAGAAAAAACGTTTAAATGCCACCAAGCTCACCAACATCACCTCTTGCGACAAGGCGTTTGAATCTTCGCCTCTGAAAATTAAAGAGAAACAAGAGAGAGGAAGTGACGAACCAAAACGTGGACATTGCCAGCCGACCACTGCTTCCTCCGAGCCTGACCAGTTCTCTCTCGCGAACAACCGTCAATCTGAAGACTCCTGCGATGGGGAAAAGGAAGTCTCATTTCGTAAAGAGGAAAGGAGACGAACTGGAGAGAAAAAAACGAAGACTTTGGTGAGTTGGTTCAAAAATTACAGACACTCTGCAAAATTGAATTGGCTTAAAACGGTTTCAGTAGATTAACTTATGAAAATCCTGGGAGTGTGGTAACGATACACAGCCTCACGACTGCGTATAATTGCCAGCAGTCAACTAATCAATCACTGGGGGGGCGTTGGGGACAGGTTTGTTGAGCAGATGCGTGTCATCTCTACAAGCATTACAACGCAAATATCGTCCTTTAAGCGATATTCAGATATAAAAGCAAGTGTTTCTCGTGTAAATGAGGTTTTGTTCTCAGTAGATGCGACATATTGTCATCGTGCTCATGTCCAGTCCCTTACTAACCTCTATGTCATGTGGTCGCCAGTGGCTCAGTTGCTGTTTTCTCGGACCAAAAAAGCACTCCTAATCAGTGTGGCGTAGCTCTTCGTCGTTCTTGAAGATAGCGTTTTTACTGTGTATTTTGGCTTAACAATCTCCTTTGGTTATATACTTTATCTTTGCAGAAACAAAGACTGACCAGATTCATCTGCTGGCTAGGACGCCATTGTTGCTGCAAACCGAAAACAGAGGAGTGAATAAAACCTATTAAATAAATTCTATTTTTCTGTATATAATTTATTTATTTCTTGCTAAGATTGATTCAGAATTTTATAAAGGCTGGTTTTTGCTAGCGACGGAGTCGGAGTCGGAGTCGGAGTCGTAATCAGAAGCGAAGATCTTATGATCGGGTGAAAACAGTGTTCCTTAATTCCGCTTACGACTGTTGCTTGCGTTCCGCTTATGATCTAGTGAAAACCAGATGATCGGAATCTGAAGCAGAAGCGAAAGAACTAAAGCAATCACAATACGTGGGAACGTGCATTGTGATTCGTTTATCCTTCCGCCTCTACTTCCGACTCCGACAATCTAATCATAATGATCATCAATTTTTGATTTTCACCAGGTAATAAGCGCTTTTACGACTCGGCTTTAAATACGACTCCGACTCCGACTCCGACTCCGACTTCGTCGCTAGTAAAAAACAAATAAAAAAACACAAAAATCGATAAAAACAAAACAAAAAATGCTAAAACTTTTAAAAAACTTCAAATAGTTGAATTGACAAAAAGAATTCAATAGCTTTCTGTTCTTTTTTTTTTTGGCATTTTTTTTTATTTTTCATAAATACTGTCCTTCCAAAACTCTGACAAAATAATGCAGTCGAATTTAAACAAACTGTCACTCCAACTGTTACTTCAACTGCTTGGGCTCCATCATGCCTAGCTGGCCTTGCATGGACCAAGAAAAACTGACGCGGGGCACCTGGGTGCCGATCGTGCGGCTTTTGATGGACAGGATCTATTTTGGTAAGGCTTTCTTTCGATAAGGGTCTTTTTAAGCTAGACACATCCAAGGGCAATAATGCTGATCCACCTTTCTAATGTATGCCGTTTTTCATGATAACTGTTCTGCGCGATTTTGATGCAACAGATCCTACACGTGTTGTGTGGAGCTGGCTCTTTAAACGTTGATTTGCACACCTCTTATTAGTAATGATCAAGAACACGGGACGTTTTTTTTTTCCCTCTGTTTCACTCATGAGTCAAATTAAGAGAAAAAACAGCTGCTAATTTGTCACTTACGGTAGAAAACGATCAATGCGTACAACCAAACTCAAACTGCTTTTCCAACGCATTCTTGGAGATGTAAACGTAGCTAATAGCATTTTTTTTATAGTTAGACAGTTAGTAGATGTTTTTGTGATCTATGCTTTTAATAATTTAGCTCTCGAATGTTGCGTCTCGATTGGCCGCATCAGTTTTGCAGGAAAACTCCTTGCACGAATTGCGGGCCTGTTTTCCATCTCTCTTCCGGTGTAGTTCTCAGTTCTCTCTCATCATAGTGAGAATGGTCACCTGACCTCAGAAACTTCCGTTTGGTTAAAACATGTAAATGCATGGATGCGATCTTTTCAAAACTTCACAATCATATTGCGAACAATCGACTCGGAAATTCAGCAAGTAGAGTTGAGGTTTAGTCGTTCATTTCTGTAGAACCTGATACTGGTGAGTCACTATCTCCTTTTCTTTCACGCACGAAGACACTAAAATTCATACCGTCTGTGAGATGGTATGAATTTGAAAATCGTTTTGTGGTGGTGTCTTCAATTTCGATAAGTAATTTCGATTGAGAGGCCATTTCTGGGATTTCATTAATATGGAAGAGTAATTTTATACACTTATCCATCAAAGAACGTCTGAAAGTAAGAGTTTACTTCGGACAAAATGGGACCAAGTTTGCTTTCCCGTAGTTTTTTGGCGATCAGTCTTCCGTGATGTCTTATTATAGCATTTTATTTCCAACCGGTTTACACATAATATTTCGCCTATATTTTACGCTTGTCAGGTTTTTAGCGAACGAAAGTCCCGAACAGATGTTAAGCATTGGTCCTTAACCTGCTTAGAAGGTAAATCAACCAAAAACCTGTTTGCTTGTCAACCCCCAATTTCGAATTCTGATAAGCTCGAAGACGTTCTGTGGTTGTCGTGCAACACAATTCAATCCAATGATTTTCTTGGGTATGAAAGGAGAACGCTAAGTTTTGTCAGCACCCATCTAATGTAGGCTCCTTTTCCTTTCAAATTTGGTTCATATTTGTTCTTTCTGCTTCATAGGATCGTACTGTGTTGATTTTCTTCGGTAACTGGCGCGTCTCGTCTGGCAATTGGCAAAGCCGTCGATTTCTGATACGCCGTTTTTGTTAAACTAAGTGAGGAAATCATCCGATTGAAAACAGCTACGACAAATTTCTACATTGGTTTTCATTTGTCTGGAAACAAGGAGGTCGCGTAAAACACAGCACAGCTTGGTCAAGTCTGGTATATTTGCAGAACGCCATTTTCTGGAGCTGCGAAATGTAAACACATCAACTTGTTATGTGTGTAGAGTACGAGTTGTTCAAGGGAGTGATAAAGGATAGAGTTTCTTTACATACGAGAAAGATTACTGGAATGCAAGGATTTTCGTGTGGTGATTTCAACGTTCCCCAAGTCACGTATGGCTTCTTTTCCTGAGAGAGATATTTGTGTATTGTTGGTTTTAAAAAGAGCCGAGCTTCTGCGTTTCTATGTGAATTTACCTTCTGGGTAAAATCTCCGATCAGTCATGGCATTTTGTGAAAATTTGAACAACAATTCCAAGTTTATAAACTGCCTTCGTAAATCTGTTCATCATAGAACCAATGAGGTAAGTCTTAAAATTATTTTGTTGTTAAATTAGTTTGGTATTTGTTTAAAATTTGTGATATGCTAGCAGTTGTGTATGATCGATGTAATCGACAATCAGTGTAAATTGCAGATGAAAAGCTGTCAGTTTCCCAATCTCAAGTAAAAATGTTATTTTCCCTCGCGTACAATTAGCGAATGTTAGTGAGCGCTATCGGTAAGCAAAATTGATAATAAACTTGAGTTTGCGCTTGATAAAGCTATTATATTGCCACAAGTGGACAGGAAACTTAATCAATATTCGCAGCTTTTAGAATACAAGACGATTTGGGGGTATTGCTCTTTAAATGTATGCAAGAATTCAACTAAAGATTTCGCAAGTGCGAATTCCATTTTTAACGGTTGACCTTGCTTGCATTATTTGGAAGTGACGATCTTTAATTTTAAAGTTTTCTGTATCAGTATTTTATCATTCTAAGATTAGATACCCGTTTGATGGTAATTTTATATATTACACTACCAGTGTACAGAATCATTACCCATACTCGCTTTTTACAAATGTATTTTAAGCGCCTTGTTATTTGGTTTGATAATAGATAAATGATTTTTCCGAATAATCAAACAAAGCGTAAAAAGGATTAATTTGTGGTTTTGGTTTCTTTTTATCCAAGTATTTATTTTTAACTACAATTTATTATTGTACCAACTTTGTGGCGTGTAAGCGAAAGGAAATTGTGCTTTTTCTAACTTTATGAGCTTTGTTAGCATTATTCAAAGTAGACAGACTGCAAATTATCTTAGTTGCTAAAAAATATCTACATGTCGCAACTTACGTCCCCTTCGAACTGTTAATCAGACTTTTGGTGCAGAAAAATTTGATAGCGAACCCAAATTTTAATTTCAATAGTTGTAAATAGGACTTTGGTCAAGTTGCCATTAACTATACTGATCGGTATAATCTTGTTAACAACTTCAATAATAAATTCATGATAGTGCTATGAAACAAATAACTATCCAAGTGTTAAGATTAAATCCAAGGAGTGGACATTAGGTGTGTTTAAATGTTTTACAGTTGAAACCCTTATATCAAAATGGGTGCTTATTTGTTTAAAATATTTTCTCGTGTGAAACCAGTATTTCTGTAGGGTTCCAAACATGGTAACTTAGGTTGATACAGACTGAACCTCTTTATGAGTACCTGGAACTTCGATTTTGTCATACGTTAAGTTTTCCATGCATTTGTCGGTTTTTCAGTCAAAATCATTGTCTGTCAGAATTTTTTTGAGGGGGGGAGGAGGCTAACATCACTGGTGAGCTCAGAGCAACCACAACGACAACAGAAATTAAAAAATAAAAAGAAGCAACAAGTTTAATGAGCAAATCTACTTTCACAGGAAAATAGAAGAAAAATAGAACCAAAAGAAACCCCTAGCTGTTTGATTCTCCACCTACTTGTAGTATTAACCTGGCAACTTGAAATTTTGGTGTCAACCCTGTTGCATGACTAATGTTTTAGTTGTGAAACTTGATTAGAATGGCAATGCTGTATGTAATCTCAAAGGTCATTGCTTCATCAATAGAGATCGTTGCACCTTTAGTTTCGTTGGAAATACCCATACAGAGGATTGAGGATTCTAGTTTTAAGAAAAGGGTCTAATGTTACAATACAGGAGAATATTTTGAAAAAGGCTCCACATCTGAATGAAAATAGTCACCAGCTGCCGAATGTTACCTGGAGAATTCTACGTAATAAACAGAAAATTTTCCAATCTCCAATGCCTAATGAACACCCTGAACACTTCTAGAGTTTACCTATTTTGGGCTAAGCTACAATAGTACCTGTTTTGGTTATAATAGATAAAAGACAGGAAAGGAAAAAGAGACGTGTAGGGACACAGTCACCTTTCCTGGGTAGGGTTTCTTAGTCATTCAGATAGGATATTGGACAGATTTTAGCTTGGAAAGTGTGTATTAAAAATATATTTATTTTAAATTATGAAAAATCTGACCGATTTTCGTAAAACGGTGGAAACTGGTGAGGAGCCGCACCTTGGTACAAAACCTGGAGGAAAAAAATTGTCATGTTCAAGTCATAATATTTGTGATTTGTCTCTGGACTGCTAAAGTGGTAATTATTTGTGAACCAAAATGGCTCCAACAACGTGTACCTTTTTTGCATAACATATATATTTTACAGTTCAAAATTAATTTCAGGTTATTTGTCTCTTAGTCCTAATTATTCATGAATTAGGGCTAGAAAACAAAGGAAATTGAGAATCAACCTACAACAGGTTGAAAAAATTTAACCTGAATTTAATTTCAACCTTTAACATAAATTTATCATCTATAGTTAATGATGGAGCAGATAATTCTTAATGAGTTAAGATATTCTTAAGTTGTCTGTAGTGTAGCAAAGCAGTTCAGGAGAAGGTTCTATGTAACAGTATACATCAATGTCACTTTACTGTTGCTATACTAGTTAAAGCTGGATACATGTACATGGTCTAACTTTCTATTAAATTACAACTGGGAAACATCTTCCTTTGCTTTCAATGCCCTATTAGGTTATTCTTCCTATTAGCATCATGGCCTAAAAACTAGCAACAGAAGAATAAACCTTTAAATCATTTTGAATTATTTCTCCATGCTACAGAGTTATGCGTGCATGTGAACCAGTGTCATTTTGGCTGGGAAATGTGATAGCCACTGTCATTTTATCTACTCAAGGTTTTAGCAAAAATATTTTAGTGATGGAAACAAGACTTAGGCCCAGTTCAAACGTCGAACTTTTTGTGTACTGGACCCCTAATCCTTTCACTTAAGTAGATGAAAAGATCGAAGTTTGAATCAATAAGTCCCAGACAACATCTAATTTGGGTCAACCCATGAATTAAGTTTGAGTGGCCCACATGGGAATTTTGACTGTGGAGTGACTTCATTTCAAAGGTTGAACTTTTAAGGTGCTGAACCTAATGCATAAATTACTATGATTTATTTGCATTGGTAAACATTGTAAACCATTGTACATGGTGAAAATGAATTGAGTCCAACTAATTAATGATATGTAAGTTCAAAATCTGAATCAATCATCAAACTTGTATCATTTGGGTCAACCCAAATAGGTATTAAGTGCAGTGCATAAAAACTTTCACAGTTGAACTGGCCCCTGAACTGTACATGTAGTTTTCAAAAGTCAGAATTTTTATCATTTTATTATCGGAAGAGGGCTTAAACTCCTTCGGCAAAAATAACTGTCCTAACTTTTCTGGTGAAAAAAAGGGCAACAAAGCTTTCTGGAGTGTCTAATAGTTTTTAGAGTAATGTGAAAAAAAAAAAAACTTGAAGTTAAACTTTGTCATTGTAGTCGTCCTTGCCCTCAAATCTACCGTACACTATTAACCTTCTGACATGTGATTTTGTTGTTGCTGTTGTTTTGATATTGAATTTTTCCTTGTTTTGTTTCTTCAAGGATGTGGAGACTATTTTTCGTTATTTATGTGGGATGCAAGCAGTTGCAGGTTTGCCAGAGTCCTCTGTTAGGTCAGTGTTAAGTACAGGCGATACATTTTTATTACCCAAAATTAAAGTGGTTTGTGTTATGGGGATAGTCTAGTAGAGTGGGGAATTTGTATGGGAGGGAGGATAGGGATGCATGTTTAAACAAATTCAAATCCACATCATCCTCCCTTCCCAGCCCTATTGATACATGTATGTTGTTTGTCTGAAGCCCATGTGTGGACTGTGGTCCTGATTATGGGTAATCTAATTTAGTTTTATCCATTTTTACTGCATACGAGTAGTTGTTGTTATGATGAGACACAAAGAGAGCAGCAGGAAAGGACTAGTAGGGAAGAGAAGAACCATATGAGCTACAATGCTCATTACAAATCTTGAAACACTTGTGTGATTTTCCCCTCCACGATGTTGATTTGCGTTTGCAGTCACTTCAGTGGTCCAAAATACGCTCGGCTCAACATTGGGGAAGGAGAGGGGCACATTTGAGTGAGAACAAAGGTGTGAAGAGTGAATGTAAGAAATTTGGAGAAAATTCAAGACAGATGGCTACTGTTTCAACGATTTGTGACGAGTATCGTAGTCCACCCAAGTTAAAAAGAACTCACTATGTATGAAAGAAATCGAAAAAGAAATTGCGAGAAAAAGCAAGTCATATAAGCTGTTAACTATTATTTAAAAAATGTAAAAAACTTCGATGACTATCATGCTATGCTCAGGTAACATGTGGGAAATCCAGGATCTTCCTCCTTTTGCCTCTAATAGTAGCCAAAGGAAAAAAAAATGCACAATTTAATTCAGATTCAAGGCTATTACTATGTCTTAAGGCCTGGGTCCGGGGGATTCCCCAAGTATCTTGAACTTGTTCCATGGTTTCTTTCATAGGGTAAAAAATGACAATAGCAGGGTTTGAGCTAGGATTTGATCACTGGGGGACAATTTGTCCCCTTGGCTAAAATTTTGGGGGACATGTTCATTTTTAGGGGGACAGAAATTTGTACACCCTTCTGCTGATGCAAAGGGGTTTGTCTTCTTAGCAGGGCTTCTGATAGGTCTCGGAAGAAAAAGTCAAATTTCGCAGGATTTTTAGGGACAAATTCGCGGAAAAATCAGCCGATTTCGCGGGAGTTTTGGGGCAAACTTCAGCGAAAAGCAATTGGTAAAAAACGGCCGATTTTGTGGTTATTTTCAAGGCAAATTTCGCTAGAAATCGATCGGTTTTGCGCTGATCAGACCAGCCTTTTTAACGTTTTTCTAACAGAGGTCATCATTTGCTCTTTCAACGACAATACGCTCCAGAAATGAACCAATGGCAAAGCCTTTAACATCATGGCTAGTGCCCAGTTTTTCGCAACATAATCTGTTTGCACGTTTCAGTGACGAAGTTCCAAGATAAATTTGCAAGTTTACGGCAAGTAAATAGCCCCTATAGCTGACATAAGTTTCAAATATGTTGTACAGACATGTATTTGATAAGATTTCTACCGAATTTCGCGGTATTTTTCGTGTTTTTGTGAATTTCGCGACTCCGCGACCGCGCGAAGAATTAGAAGCCCTGTCTTAGATTTCCGACAAAAATAGCAGTAGAGCGTGACTGAAACGTAACTTTGGAATGAACTTTAAAGGTGCGATAAAATATACTTTCCACGATCTGTTTCAGCTTGCAATTTCTGTACTGAAATAAATCTCTTCGTGTGTGCTTCCTTTCGAGTTTTTTCCCTAAATTTTGAAGGGGACAAATTGTCCCCTTGGCCGTTTTTTAAAGGGACAATTCCAATTGCAGTGCGGGATTGGCGCAATGGCGCGGCCTGGCTCAAACCCTGCAATAGAACTAAAGGACCTTCCTAACTGTTCAATTCCTTGTCTATTAATTCGCCACGTGCACATCTCCCATAATACACCTTTTTTGCCCCCCCAAATTTTGCATAACCTTTGCTTTTTATTTCTCTTGGGTGTTACAGCTGTCCCAAGAGAAATTGAAAACAATGCTTATGCAAAATTTTGGGGAGCAAACAGGGTGCATTTTGGGAGATATGCAAGTGGCGAATAAAAACTGCTTCTACAGAGCAACTTGAAGTCACAGTGATAGCCTTAAAATTTCTTTTTTAAGGGCTTCACAGATTAAATTATTAGATCTTCAGAGGTTGGCATCTCTGCTATTATATTCCAAGTGGTCTGGTAGACCAAAGAATAAAGCAACAACAATCAGTCATGATTTGGCACTCAAAAAGGCCTAAAATGAAAATGCAAATTAATGTATAATATTATTTTAGTGAGACATACCAACAACTCAGCTTGGATTTTATTCTCGTTAGTTCCCCAATTCTAGCAATAGACATTATAGTGAGCAGTAGCTGTTTCAGTTCAAACTAAATTTTCTTTAAAAATTAAAATGATCAAATGAGGCTTTAAACTGCTGTCCGTTTTAAAATCTAAAAATCCAAGCTTTCACCAATCGACAGCATTATCAGGGATGAGAAAGTATGCGGCATAAAGATATGTGTGTAAAAGTGTAAAAGTGATGCTAAGTATGCATGAAAGGTGTAGAAATAGAATTGAAAACAATGGTCTAACAACCAAGTGTCTCAAGACAAAGGGTCTCTTAAAACACTTTAAAATAGTCTCTAAAAACACTAAAAAGCACTAAAGCAGAAGGTCTGCAAATTAATTTGCTACATTCCTCACAGAAATTGAGGGTGGGCTTATACTTTCTTCTTTTGTTTGTGATTTTCCAATGTTGATGGTGGTGGATCTCATATACATATGAATTTAAACTGATGAACCTCACAAAAATTTAGCTTCATCATACCACTCTACCTACACAAAAATATATTAAACTCTTTTATATAGAACTTTTACATAGAGTAAATATTCTATATAAAATTAATTAATAATTAATACTTTAAATAATTATTATTAATTAAGATGAAATCCTTAGCCAGGAAGCTACAGACTGTACATGTATCGTAACTAAAACGTCCTTAAAGGAAGTATTCTGAAAATTTTGTTAATAGTTGTTCTTTCTTAGTTTTTAATTATTGCAATATTATAGTTTTAAGATTTATTCATTTATTTGTATGATTAAACAGTTTTGATGTCACTAGCCTGTTTTAGTAGTAGTAGTGAACTTTATTAATGTGTCAAGAATCTTTAGTGGGTTGGTGACACCAATAAAAGATAAAAATCAAATATTAAAATAGTGTTAAAACAATGTCAAAATAGTAATGCAAATAGTAAAAGCTAGGAAAGTGGAAAATCTAAGACCTGTGAAACATGTAAAAATGTATGTACAGTGCATATGATAACAGGATACATGTAAATTTTGCTTAATAACACATGCATCCAAACGTTTGCTTCTTTTAACAGTTAATTTGGTCAAACTTTTTCCATACATGTACATTCAACTACTGAATTTATGACATGTATTTGAAAATTGTTGTGGAATTCCTTATCTTACTAGTCATCAAACCCACATGTGCAAGATCTGCCTGCATGATATGAGCATTGGATTAGATAACAGCTTCATAGTGATTCAGTGCTAGACTCAAAAATCTTTTAGAAATCTGAAAAGATAATTCCTATGAAAACACTTTTATCAAATTCGAGGAAACAGAACCAGCAGAATTTTATCGACTGTTCTGTAACTGCCTTAATAACTTGTTATTTAATATTAAATTCACTACTTATTACCCATTGATGCAGCAATGAATCTGCTATATAAGCAACAAGTGATGGGATCAATTTTTTATTAGTTAGTTGACTTACAGGTTTGTCTGTAAGCTCCTTAGTTACCACAAAATTTATCCTCAATTTCTCATCTTTAGCATTGTTTACCTTCCCTTTCAACTGATTAAATTATCTTGTCAGATTTCTTTCTCTTTGTCTGTGGCAATGTGTCTAAAACGTTAAGCAAATTCATAAGTCAGTTATTAATGGTTATGATTTCAAATGTCCCTAATCCTCATTTGTCAACATTTTTTTTCAGGACAATGTCTGAGACTGCACGATATGTAGCTGAAGATTCAAATTATTTACTTTACGTGTAAGTTTTCAGATTAGGGACGGACCATTAGAAAACTTATGGGGGGGGGGGGGAAGAAAAAAAAAAAAATTGCGCAAGGGAAAATTTAATTTAAAAAAATTCTTGCACGCCAATTAACCCTAAGAAATATTCATGCAAGGGTCTGAAAAAAATTCATACAAGGAATTTGATAACGAAAAAAAATTCCTGCGGCTCGAAAATTCCCCTCCCCCCCCATAACTTTTCTAATGGTCCGTCCCTTAAATTGTCCCACATGGCTTATTAGGTTTAAATCAAGCCTAACAATACACTGGCTTAAACTGATTGAAATCCTTTCTATTTAAATCAGGGTAAAATTTTCATTTTATTTGCAAAACCTTGTCATTTTCAAGTTGCCTGGTAAATGATACAAGTAGGTGGGGAATCAGCCAGCTAGAGTGTTTGTTTGGTTCCATTTTTCTTCTATTTTCCTACAAAGTAGGCAGGATTCACATTTACAATGACCAGGGAAAATCCCAGTCCCCGGCTCTCAATGACTGCCCTGGGAATTACCTCACTAACCTATACAGTACCTTTTTTAAAGGCACTTACATACATACATACATACATACATACACTTTATTGATGCTCCCTAAGTGGGCTTTTCAGCTCAATAGAATAAAAAATACAAATTTATATAAATTAATTAAGAATGTAAGTACAATAATATTATAATTACAAAAATATATCAACTTAATAAAACATTTGCAAGCTGATGCCTAAAATTCCTGGGGCATTTTAAGGACTTAATATTATCACTCAAGGAGTTCCAGAGTTTGGCTCCTCTGAAAGCAAAGGAGCGCTGCCCTGTTGACAGGCGACATAAAGGTATATCCAAAGCACCAGGGCCCAGTTGTTCGAAAGCCGATTAGCGCTTAACCCGGGGTTAAATTTAACCCAGGTTTCTTTTTCTTATGTTCAAAAGTATTTTCGCGGATAATTTTCTCTGTAATTTTTAGAACTTCCAACCATCAACTTGTGGACAAAAAGAATTAAAACTAAAATGCTTTTTAAGCTTTCAAATCTGAATTCAAATCTCGCACTAACCCTGGGTTATCTTAACCCAGCTTTGAACAACTGGGCCCAGATGATTGAGTTTGTCTACTATGGACTTGAGAACGTGATTTAAACATATCAGCAAGATAGTCTGGAACAAGCTTGTTAATACTTTGTGCATCATAGTAGCGTCATTTAGAATGAGTTTCTCTCTAATAGGAAGCCATTTCAACGATCGCAACCCATCCGAAATATGGTCATACTTTCTTAGTCCCAGAATAATTTGTCCAGCAAAATTTTGGACTTTTTGTAACTTGTCAATATTGCTGCTGCTGGTATTACCCCAGACAGTTGAACAATATTGGAGTTTAATAAAGACAAATGACTTTATTACTAACAAAAGTGTTTTCCTATCCAGGAGATGCTTGATTCTGTTAATTTGATACAATTTAAAAAGGCATTTTGAGGCAGTCTCAGTGATATGTTGGTTATAACTGAGGCATGTGTCAAGAAGAACACCCAAGTCCTTAATGACAGGCACAGGTGTTATTGCACTTGTCCTCAGTTGTCTTCATCAGTGGTCCTAACCTTAACTGCGATTACAATTGACTACTTATTATTTTTGCTATTATGCTACTGGTCAATGACCTCAAATCTCTGCTCTTGAATTAAGATCAAAACTTCTTCCCTCCAAATCAACATTGCTGTTAGGAAGAAAAATTATTTGATTATTTTTTGACACTTTTTGAAAAATGCTTTTTAGGGAAGATGACTTAGCAAATTGCTGGTACATTCTGTTGTCTGGTTGTGTTTTTCTTGATGGCTGCATGTATCTTCCAGGGAGCAGGTATCAGTAAAGAAATAATATTATTATTATGAATGCTTTCACCATTTGTTGTCGCTAAGTAAAAGACATCCAGAGATGAAACCCTTTGAATCCTAATAAGGGACTGAGCAAGAGTGTTTTAGCCAGGACGGCTTTTGAGAAAATCCTTTATTTATTTGAAGCTTGCATGTCTTATAGCTTTGGCAAGCAGCCACTTGGTGCTAATGGCAAAAGAGGAACTGACTGCTTGGTGTTGGAATATTCTGAAATGATTGTGGTAAGAGCTCTAAATTTACTTGTTACAAGGGCTAAATAGTTTCAATCCTCCTCCTGTGTAAAGTTTATTATTTTGGTCTCAAAGATACCAAACAACTGAGTTACCACATTATGGACATCTCGACAATACAGACACACGAGTCTGTCCCTTTGGAGTCGATTTTGGTGTCTGTACTAGTTTTGTTTTTGAGTGGGTCCTTGAGGTCAGCAGCAACAGTCATAGTTAATGAGGCATGAGGCCTTACAAGAGGGGTGGGGGGTGGGGGGTATGCCAACTCTTTGTTGATCTTTTCTGAGACTGCCTGTGGCCTGGTGGGTCATGTCGCTGTCACATTTTACATGTAGCTAGGATGTAAATGTTGGCTCAGCATAAATTTTTATAGTAGCCAACTTGAAAAGTGCCTTGTAATAATTAATTGTTATCAACCTTTCTCCCTTGTGGTGAACGTAAATACCATAATAACAAAACGCTCCAAAGAAAATAACAAAAAATGTGTGGAAATAACGGAAGACAGTTCGCTATTTCGCTGCAGAAACAGCCAAAATGCAAATTAAAGTAAAGAGATGTCACCTTCACTATTTTCAGAGAGGATTGTCGCCTGTTGCTTCTCACCTTTAGTAGGCCTTGTTAATGGAACAGAATGGTTATAAAGCCTGTCAGAGTCCTTTGTTACACAAACATGTTTATGTTTCTGTGCGGGCTTAACGTTTCATAGCATTCCTATCATTATGGTGTTACTCAAACCAAAAAATTTAATTTATTTTAATTTATTCTGTCTTCATTAGTGAACAACAACATCAACAAAAAAAAAATTGTGCTCTGTCAGGTAGACTGCGAGCAGTCTCTTTTTTTCTTCAGATTTAGTGAGGGAGGTGCACGCGAGCGTTGAGCGGCGAAGCCGCGAGAGGCGAGAAACGAGGGCGGCAATCTCGCGCCTTTAGTCACGCGCGTGTCTCACACGTTTTGCTGGACGGACCAAGAAAAAAGAGAGACTGCTCGTAGTCTATTTGTCAGGGAGCTCTCAACATGAACGACAGTACTGTTGTTATTATCTTTGTTGTTTGCTGCCTTTCGTAACCAATCTTCTCTACTAACTGTGGCAGCAATATTCATTAACCTAGTGTATACAGGCAATAGTAATGGGCTAAATTATTTCAATTTTTTTTCCTACAGATTGATTTTCCAAACACAGGCCTGTTTCAGCCTTTTCAGCGTCACTCTTATTCCAAAAATGACCTAGAGAGGCTGCTTGCTCTTGAAACTCAAGATTTTAGGATAGGAGGGCCAATTCCAGATGATGAACAGGTAATGTTAATACACCAGATCCCTGCCTTAACTTCTTACATAATAGAGCTTTGGTGATTACGGCAATAACAGAAACGACCAGGTCAAAACAGTTTTCTTAAAAATGTGCTAGTAAGGCTGCAGTACAAAGAATTTTTTAAACCAGGCTTTGTAAAAAAATATTTGGTTTGTATTCAGCGTATACAATGTAGTCACAAAGCCTTTGGGCGTGCGAGGTGACAGGCATAAAATTTAGGAAAAATTCTTAGTTAAATTAATGTTAGATTATGCATTACGGTTACTTTCCTACTGGAGTGCAGTCCGCAAAAAAGTCTTTTTTTTTTTAAATTCGGTTTTGCAACAGGACGTGTGTGGCGAGAGAAAAATGTATTTCTCGCGTTTCTCCCCAGTCATACTCTCCGTTTTCACCCCCACTCCAGACCTTTCCATTCACCACTCGCGCGTGCCTTCTTAACTTGGGAAAAAATACGGGCTGTTTTGCAGTCTATTTGGGGTGTGGTTTTGCCTGATTAGAAGAGGTCGACAAGAATCTATTATTAACATTGAAAAAAGACATTCTAAATAACTATATCTTTTTGTTAACAGTTGCCTATGGAACTACAGCATGTTAAAGAAATAATTCTACGAAGCGACAAAAACATGCAAAGAAGTGCATCTGTGGAGGATTCCTCTTCCACGAACAACCTTGAGTTGGATCTGACAGGTCTCGTGGAAAGTATTGGTAGGATATTAATTTTGTAAAGCACTTGCTTGAATCAAACCTCCTTTCATAGAAATTCCTTTATCTAAAAAAACGACCAGAAAGCTCTGTTGCCGGGTATTTTGTGTACAAGGTACCTGGAAGTTCCAGATCTCTTTTGGCTGTAATGTTATGCGAGAAAATAGTCGGTATGGTTAATTCTTTAGTTTTTAACCCTTTCACTGCCAGAGTAAATAATGGAGTTTTGTAAGGTAGCTGTAACTTTTGAGTCTGTGGACGAAATCCTATGGTGTGACCATTCAAATGAAACCTCTCAATCTATACTTTCACATGGTGCTACTTGTTTTTCAAAATTTTACAAAATGAAATTTCGGATTTTCTATCGAATTTTGCCTTTGGCCACATTTGGCAGTGAAGGGGTTAAAGCTATGTTCACACTATGCCGGATAGCTTTTGCTCCGCCATGAAAATCATACCGGTTTGGGCTTCTGTTCACACACAAGAACGATTGTGGCGGCGTGATTTCTGTAACGGGGCGATGAGGTGCAGCGCCAATCTTGAAAGTGGAGCGTTACATCTCCGATAGGTTTTGTGCTATACCTTGGTGCAGTATGTATACCTATTCGGCCGGTCGCGGAAGTAAATTTAAGTAGGAGCGACGACTGGAACTCACTGAGATGGAAGAACATATTCAGGAGTAGAAACGGGAATTAAGGGCACGAAACCCTCTCTGCCAACCGCCCCGGCACGATGCTGGATGTGCGTGAACGACTTGTGCCGCCCCGGGCCGTTGCTGTTCCCACCATACCGGATAACTTATCGTGGCGCCATAATAAGCTATCCGGTAAATTGTGTACATAATCTTAAGAGTACAAATCCAGGTGAAACGCCCCAGCCGCTAAAAACTACAGCCAACTCTCGGTAACTCGAACCTCCCCCTAACTCGAAGCAATTTCATTCCCCTTCAGGTCATTTTCTATATAATTTTACCCTCAACAACTCGACCTCCCGATAACTCGAACTTTTTTCTATTTCCCTTGAAGTTTCGAATTAATGGGAGTCGACTGTATGTCATTATCAAACAGACTCTGATTTTTCGAAAAAAATTTATCCAGTAAACGCTCCTAGGGACTGCCTTTGTCAAGAGTAATGAAAGTAGAAATAAAGAACCCCTATGTAAAATTCTAAGAATAATAAACCTTACGACAGGGAAGGACAATCTGGAAGTTCATGCGAGCTTGTAGTTACTAACATCGTTTGGTTCCTCTTTCAGTTGATTCCGATGAGGAAGATGAGGAAGAAGAATCGCTTTCTTCACGCGAGGTAGTTACTGTTTTCCCTTTTTTGTCACTGGTAAATCATAATAAAATAATTATTATTTTTTTCTTTACGTCGGGTGTATGTGTTTGTCTTAAATGCCTTAACGCATTAAAAAACAAAACAAAAACAACAACAGCAACGTGCACGACACGACACCTACCGACAAGACTTTGCTTTAGACTTTGATTTGGGTTTGAAGCTTATTGTTGTACTACGGTTGCATCCATACAGTCGGTAAATCTGCGTTGCCAGTTTTGTGAATATCTTGAAGTTCGAGGGAGAGGTTTTCATATCATTCTTCCACAAAGCCTTCATCAAGTGTCCGCCATTTTTGCCAGTCTTGTCACTTAGCTGTGTCCTTCAGCGCGCTTTGTTCAATAACTCTTTGAAGTCTAGCTCAGGGTGGCCATCCGCGGCTAATTAGTATTTTACGTTACGACATGAACGATCATCTCAATCTGAATTGTTTGCAGTCTTTACTGGTGCGAGATGTTGTGCGAGACTGTCTGGAGAAAGAACCGGCGGATCGCACGGAAAGTGATATACGTGAGTTTTTTTGTCCTGAATAATTACTGTATTAGTATCTCTTTTTAAACGTTTATAACGTTTCCAAGCTGATAAAATACTGATTTAGAACTTATTTCTTGCAGAGGCCTTGCTGGACTTCATGCAACATCTGCCAGTAAGTTTTGTAACAGTAAACTACAACAGCAAATTGAAAACTGAGCCCAGATTTTTGATCGCTTTTGCAAACCTGATTTTCTGGATTTTCCATCATTTGGGTCCAACGAGGTTGATTCAGGTCTCTTTCCTAAGTTACTATCCAAATATATTGCCTTGTAGAAAACGACTTAATTTAATGCAAAGTGCGTATTAAATATTCTCTAAAAAGTGTGCGAGTGTCCCTTAAGTCTTTCCAAAACAAAACAAAACAAAACAAAAAAAGCTGAATAAGTAAATGGTCAAGAATCGTAGAGCTCCGAGTCAAGGCTGTAGACTTTTTTTACTTTCTTTAGAAGTTACTTTTGACAGGTCATACTAATGCGATTGGCAGTTTTCAGTAATTAAAAAAAAAATGCCATAGTAAGTGATCAAATTGCTCAAAATTCCAAGGAAGAGTTATTTTCACTACTGTCCGAAGAGACTGTAACGTTTATCATGGAAGTACGATCGTGTAAAACAAATTAAGAGGAACATTTTTCTGCAGAGTTCTTGCAGGGAAAAACAGATGGATTTGTTTCTTGTGTTTAACCTCGTTCCCAGTCTATCTCTTCCTACCCTCCCCAGGAGCGAGAGAGAAACCGGGGAACGAGGATGTTGATTTTTTTTTAAATGTCTAACCCTAACCAGGCTTTTGCAAATATGACCATGAATGTAAGACAAGAGCTGTGTGCTGTTATGGTGTTTGCTGTTGTGGACAAAGCAGGCTCTATAGTCATGGAAAATGAAGAGGAGGTAGGCTTTGATTCTGGATTTTTTTTGTGCTTTCGTAAAACTACATTAGGTAGCAGCGGTTGTTCCAGTATTCAAACGGGTCGTTCTTGGACTGTGAGTTAGGATTTTAAAATTTCAAATCAAGTAACAGAATGGTTGATAGATACGAAAAAGTTCTTTCTTCTTTGGCATTACCTAATATGGCAAGGGCGTATTCCCATCTTATGGCAAAAGCGTCTCGTGATAGGTCCTTTGGACAAGATAGCGTTCAAACTTCATGAGCGAGCATGAGTTCTCTGTCTCCACTTTTGCCTTGTTTTCGCTGGCCCTCACGTTGATTCCATCCCATTTAGTTTTCTGAACCCTTAAGAGATCATTATTTGAACCCCAAATGACATGCTTTGGAAATTGTCGAGAACTCTGAATAAATATGTAGCCTGTCCGACAGGGGTCAGTGGGGGAGGGTAAAGAAAGGTTTTCTCTTTCGCGCTTTTCTTTCCCTCCCCTCCCCTCTCCCCCTATGTTCGGCCTAGCTGGTATTGACGGGATGCTTCCGTCTTTTCCAATTCAGAGGAGAATTAAGAAAATTGTCATATTTTAAAGAACAAAGGAAATTCTAGTATTTAATTTTCCGAAGAATGATTGAAGTGCATCGTGGCTTTAGTAAGTAAAGTGTATTTTTCTAACGTGTATTTTCAGCTGGACTCCTGGTGTGTAATTCTCAATGGTTCCGTAGAAATTCTAGTTGATGGAGAGGAACCACTCACTCTGCATCTTGGAGATAGTTTTGGAGTGGAACCAACGCTTAAAAAGATGCGTCATAAAGGCATCATGAAGACTCGGGTCGATGATTGTCAGGTGAGGAATCCCAATAGATTCAAATATAAATTCTCCTTTTTTTCCCTTTGTGATTCTTAAAGTGTTAGAGGGGAAGAAGTTGTAAACGTCTCAAGCGAATTCATTATTCTTGATCATGTCCTTACTACTCATAAGCCTCGGGGATATACCGTGATTTATCAGAGATGCCAGCTGACGCCTCGCAGCTGTAACAAGGCCTCACCGGATTGATCGGAAAAACAATGAACGAACAAACATAACAATGGAACCTAGTCCCAACACAAAAGAGCTGTGACTCAAAGGAGTCCAATAGAATTAAAGGTTTAACTTTTAAAGAGGTGCGTGGCCGCTACGAGGAGGGAGATTCATGACTTGTTTCACTACCACACGGACAAAGCGCTGCTTTAAGCACCTTGTCCTGTTGTGCCAGTAACCTATTCATAGATAATTCCCTCCCAGTTCAAAACTGAAACAACAACATTTCTGAAACGTGCTTTTCCTATTCAAATGTTGATTGAAAAAGACATTTCGAATTCTCATCGCGCGCGCACTGTGAATAAAAATGACAAACGTTATAATGTTCATGAGACAGGACTATTCATATATGGAACAATGTTTTATATCGGTGCCTCGGTATTAAGTGCTATTATGCCTTATATGGACAACAAGAAGACTGAAATAATTAGAATCAACTCAGCAATATTAAAATAACCCTTTACTCAAGGCTTTCAGCCATTGACTCAAAATCTACACACGGAGAGTCACTGTGAAATTGAAAGGCTTGTCAAGAAACAGTGCGCCTCAAGTTGTTATTTCACTCCGTGTTTATTCCAGTTTGTGTGCGTGGCGCAAGCGGATTACTACAGAATCCTGACCCAGGGCGAGAGGAGCATTCAATGTATCGAGGAGGGTGGCCAGGTTGTCATGGTGACCGAGTTTAGGAAAACTGACGGGGGCAGCAGGCAGGGCCAGGTGGTCATTAAGGTAATTCCCTGGGATACTCGTGACGTTATCAAGGATAAAGCACAGTGGTGTTCAGAAGGCCCCTCTCATGCCGGCTTCAGAAGCCCGCATGAATTCGGGCCTGGGGCTCGTTTCTTGATAACTTTTCGGGCCCGAAAAGCTCTTTTATGTTTGTCGTGTTTGCATTCAAGATCAAAGTTTCAACAATATTGAAAATGATACGATAAAAGTATCAGTTAACGAAGCAAAATTGACGGGTTTGTGAGCTAGGAACTGTACTACTATTTAACAGTTCTTGATTATTTCAAAATTTGCCTTCGGAGCCGAAAAGTTCCCGGGCCTTTCTCGAAGTCCCGGAATCTTTACTGACCCGAAGTGTAAGATTCAAATAAAGAAGAATAAATCGCTGGTCCTAGCTAACATGAAACTGGTCCTTTTTGTTTTGTTAACTGATAGTTTTATCAAAGTATCTGCCGCAAAACTATTGAAAATTCGATCCTGAATCTCAGCATTAACAGCTTTAGAGCCAGTTCATTATCGGAACTTTCGAAAAACGTTCCCAGAATCCACCTAGATTAGAATCCACCAGAATCTTCCAGAATCCTTCAGTATTTAACCTTATTGTGCAAATTAGGCCCACCAAGCTTATTCAGTAAAGCTAAATACTCAAGTTTTCGTTTCTCTTTTTCTCGTTATCGTATTAGGCCACACCTCAGAAGCTTATAAGTCACGTGGTCGAGGAGCATTCGGCTATCGATCCTACGTTCGTGGAGGATCTTCTTTTAACATTCAAGACCTTCTTAGATCGGCCCTCAGAAATATGCAGCCAGTTACTGAATTGGTTTCTTGAAAGGCGGTTTAGAGACAAGGTAAGACTTTGAGTTTTACTCTTTACCTTCCCTCATACCATTAGCCTGCTTAATCCAACCAGTTAGTAGCGTCTGCGAAGCAGCGCTGATATGCTTGTTCTGGACCAGCCGGTCCCCAACGGACTCGACGAATTGCTGGAATTGCGTTTGGAATTTCTCTTTAACCTGATTGGCCAATCATGGCGCGTACTCAAATCCTGGTACACAGATGGTGGCCCAGAACAGGGATTTCGGCGCTGTTTCGCAGACGGACTTCACCAGAAATTAAGCTCCTTCTGTGGCGCAGACTATCTTATCATTGGTGCGGCAGCTCCTGGGAACTTCGCGCGTTGCTCCCCCCAAAATGCGAACCACCTCATTGAACACTGCCCCATCATTAGCGTTCCGAACAGTGTCTTGTGGCTTACCCCTCTTGATGCCACCACTTGTTCTCTTGCCCCGACCTCCCTCTTTGAACACAGCTCACATGCACGACGACCTTAGATAAAGATGTTTGATTGCTTCACAGATTTTTACAAAATTAGACTAAATATCCTAAGGAGAGTTCCAAACATCACCTGAGGAAGTACTACTCGATGATCGTCGATGGCGTGCCTCAAATCTTATATTTCATTTTTAAAAGACCCGATTTTAAAAGGGATTTTACTATTAAAAAAAAAATGCGATAAGATATAACTTGAAATCATTTTAAGAAATTTTGAAAAACGTGACAAAGTTTCGACGTTCTTGGACGTCATTATCAAGTCAAAAGAAAATAGCTTATACATTTTCTATAAATACATGAAAAAACAATAGATCATTAAAAAGAATAGTAACGTGTTAAAATATGTTGCGAGTTAAACAAAGAGTTTCGCATCAATGGTCACTCTGCGCATTTAGATTAGGCCTGAATTCATTAATCAACAACTGCATCTCGTAAATGAAGCAATCAAATTCTCTATGACACTTTAGAACGCGAAATTGACACTCTCGTATGAATGGTAATACAATAGGGTTTTATTTACAGACTCAAAAGTTAGAACTATGTACTAGATAATTAATAGTACCATGTGAAAGTACTGGTGAAGAGGTTTCACTTGAATGGTAACGCCGTAGGGTTTCATCTACAGACTCAATAGTTAGAGTCCCATTTGATGTCTCTTTGTTTCAATCTGGGAGTGAAGAGGTTTATTTTGTTGGTAAAAAAGGCAAGGTTAAATTTTTTTGACTCTGTTTTGTCAGGTGACGCGTGCAATGCTCCTATGGGTCAATAATCACTATGGCGACTTTGAAGGGGACCCTGTGATGGAGGGCTACCTCGAGACGTTTGAAAAGGGCCTTGAGCTGCAGGTATAAGCACTGACCACTTATCTTACCACTTTCAATTTTCTTTACTTTCTTAAGAGTTGAGAGTTGTTTGGGTCGGTTAGATTTTATCTGTCATCAAGTTTGGTATAATAGACTTCTTTAGCATCACGACTTGATCTTTTGGAAGTTTCAAGATGTAGATATACAAAGAAATGTTTGACTACAGAAGATCAGTGGTCGGCTTCGAGTCACGGATGGCTAATACGCACTTGCTGACGCGTTGTTGAGAAATAACTCACCCCTGAACGGTCACTAACAAGCTAGTTGTTTTTGTTTTTGTGATTGTTGTTTTCTCGTAACTTTACCCCCGTTTTTTGTTTGGAGCGTTGTTTGACCACTCATATAATTGCTGTGTTAACTCTTGAAAACTCTGTGTAAACTCTGGGAAAACCTCTTTATCGTATGTAGCATGTCTACCTGCGACATAACCGCCTGCAATGCTTGATGAGATACTGTTTCGATTTGAGAACAAAATGGGTATCCCACTTTTCTGCCAAGGTGCCTGCGAAGTTCACTTCAGTTCAATTTCGTGGGCGTACCGGCGCTAAAGACCTGCGATTGTCCTCGCTACCAGCGGAGTGTGTCCCGGTTTGACAGAGCAGTATATCAAGCAGTAACCGGGGAGGTCTTTCCTAGTCAGGTCGGCAGCGTATGAGAACCAGGCATAAGAGACTAATGTTTCTCTTTCCTTTTCGTACAATCAGCAAATGAGTGGTCAGCTTGGTCTGCTAAACATCGCATGCGCAGCCAAGGCAAAGGCACGTCGTATAACAATGGTAAGTATATTCTGCCCTCTTTTGTTCACCCGGCAATCTCTTATCCTGAGAATGCAGCTGCCTTTTCTGCGCTAACGACGTGAATGACAGGCTGGAGTGTTGATATGGCAAATATGTTACCTGTATGACACAGTGCAGTGGGGAGGGGTTGGGTGAGCTATGGTGTTTCCTTGAACAGAGCAAAACTAACAAAAGCACGCTAATGGAGCAACTGAAATTAAATTTCTCAAAACCAAGAAAACGCGGAGATGCTGACCATGAAAAGGTGCGAATGATTTAACGATTACAATTTCAAACCCAAGATTTGCCACTGATCCCTCGCGCGCAATACTCAGACTCAATTTTGTGCGCTCAAAATGTTACCTATGTCATTTCCATGACTCTTTACATGTTGTTTCTTAGGATCGTTCCTCTAGAGATATGCCCCTTGGTTTTACAATTGCCGGCGGTAAAGAGTCTGGTTTTGGAATTTTTATATCGAAGGTAAGAAAAATGATACTGTGATATTACGAAGTTGAAATAATAGGTATATTATCTGTTTGTCTTTAGCTGTTCTTACTGCTTCATAGATAGGGGCTAAGATCGGTAGGGTGCAAGGTGTTATCCTCCTCGGCCGGCCTAATCGGCCTCGGTGGATAACACTCTCCTCGATCTCCATAATTCTTCAGATGGTAGTTAACCTCATCCAATATTGTTAATTATTTTAGACGACGGATATCAAGCGATACAAACTAACTACACAATGATGCTGGTCGCGCCGCTCAACTCTAATTAACGACTGGTTAAAATAACACGTTAACTTTATTGTAATGTATTCTTAGGTTGAAGAGGATTCGAAGGGGGCCGAAGTGGGTCTCAGACGAGGAGATCGGGTTTGTGTTAATTATCTTTTGTCCTCCAGTAGTTTTGTATTTATAGTTTGTCCGTTGAAGTTTAGTCTATCCGTGTTCAAAATGGCGATTTATCTTTCAGATACTTGAAGTGAACGGAACCAACTTTGAAAATATTACATACGTAAAGGTATGTTTTAGCTCAAGTCGTCAGCGCAGGAATTCAATGACCGTCTCAGTTACGTGTGGAAGTCACGTGTATGACGCTTATATAACGCACTTAAATGAGATCAAAATCGGACGTAAGCTTTTAAAGGCACTTAAGGCCCCTTCCACACTAATGCGTTTTTGTTTAAAAATGCATACATTTCGATGCGTTTAGGCCTTCCATCCACACTAATACGCTGAGCATTTTCATCGAAGACGCATCGATTTGAAAACGCTCTTGAAAGTGGATCAAAACGAAAACGCATACTTATTGTATTAGTGTGCACAGTCGAAAACGGTCGAAAAACGCATCAAAATGAAAACGATGACCGAAAATATCGTAGGCGCGTGTGTTTGTAAGTTCGACTTACGTCACCTTGACAACGTGCAATTCTATCGTTTTCGAACGTGGATAGTCGAAAACACATCAAAACAGTAGTGTGGACGCGAAGCGATCGATGCATTTTCCATGACAACGAAAACGCATACTTTTGAAATCGCAGTATTGTGGAGAGGGCCTAAGACAGCCGCTATTGGCAAGGGCTCTCTGTCATAAGCTTCCTTTTTATAGCAGTAAAGCCCCATTTTATGCTGGAAGTCGTTTCATAAATAAGTAAGGGTCCAGACAGAACTTTCCAGCTAAATATTTAAGTGTCATACGAGCCAATCAGATGTGATGTTTCAGTGTGTTTTCCACTAAAACCATTTTTATAGTTTTTGATATTCAAAGACGCGGTCCCATTAGCTTTTAGTTGTCACTATCGTGTTAAAATGAATTAGACGCGATTAAAGTGATCGGATTATAGCGTTCGTCACACACGAATAGACCGCAAGATTTTTGACATTTTTTGTCATTAAAGATTGCTAAAAAATTTCCAGCTTCCTTGTTTACCTCGCCTACGCAAGTGTAAGTCTTACAAAATCCGCTAACAGTAAGAGCCCTTTGGCTTACTGGCGTGAGTTACTGGCCCACAACTCTCTGTTTCCACGCGATAATGACTTCTATCCCTCCCACCCAGCAAACGTCTTGTGAACTTTGAAGCGCAATTATTTTTTTATTTTTCTTTTAAAGCTTACTTTGATATATTTACGTTGTTTTCGGCTTTGTAAATCACTAAGTTTGACTATTAAAAGCGTTTGATACTTCTTGTTCGTATTTTCCGGGAAATAAACGCATTATGCAGGGCTGTTCCTCATAATGCACTCGGCTACGCCTTGTACAGTATTTGAATTTCGCATCCTTTTTAAGACCAGTGCGTGCGTAAAGTTGCCAGTTATCACTCAAATCATTCTCTAAGTATCACTTAAATAACGTGTTTATTCCTGTCGCCTTTTTCCTAGTAGGGCTGTTGTGAGTTGATACCATTTTAGCCCCAACCTTCCCCTGAAGACGGAACTGAACAATCACTTTTAATTTGTATTTTAGGCCAGAGAAGTCCTTTCAAGTGCAACCCATGTGTCTTTTTTAGTTAAACGAAATATGCCAGGTTTGTGAATAGCTTGTTCAGTGTTGTAGCTGACATAGTAATTGGATTATCTTTTGTTCACTGAGAAATTGCAGCGCAACTTACTCTTGGCCATCAAAGGTCGCAGTTTCTGTAGAAACCAACAAACTAACTAACCCCCCCTCCCCATGTGTCCTTCAAATTGCGTACGTTTGTAGTCTTTGTCAATATTAGTGCCAACGTTGTGCCAACCCAGAGACCCGCGGTGGGTCTTCGCTGCTAAGTCAGTCCTTCAACAATTTGAGTTTCATCCATAAGAGTACACAGTATAACTGTCTCGACAGTAAGAGGAAATCTAAAAATTTTTGTCTCACTGTTTTTCGCTGACATGTCTTCGAATAGTGTTGAAGTAGTGACTGTAGCTGGACAGAATTAAAGTATAAAAGTCCATGGTAGTGGTGCTAGCACATTCCGCATTATTCTGGACCTTCCGAAATGTAGCTTTTTTCATTCTGCGCATGAATGTGGAACTCGTTGCTGCTAACCTTGGATCAGGCGCTCCTTCTTCCCTTTTTGTTAAAAAATAACGTCTGATCACAGGTTAGGTTGCTGCAGAGCCATCAACCCTTTTTGACATAACATGTTACCCTAGAAACAGTTAAGCCTCTTTCAACTTCCCCCACCCCTCCCTCCCCCAAAATGAACGCAGTTGATTCAACGTTTTTTCTTATTCTTTGATTTCAACGCAAATACTTGCGACGTATTCCTGGAGTTGATCCTTCGTGTTAGAAAAATGATTAGTTGCTTTTAACCATATTTCCAACACTAATGGGTCCATTCCTTTGTTTCTGCTTTGCGAGATGTTCTGTTTTCTCACGAAAGCGAAGTAACACGCACAAATAATTTTCGATTTCCAATACTAAACTGAATTTTCTCGAAGCTCCCGAGTGCATTGTCACGCAATCCACCAATTAGAGTTCAATACAGTAGTTTCCTTTGAAAAGCGGCAATGTAATTATGCCTGTTTTTACACTCCGTGTTTAAACAGAAGTGTTTGATCTCAATGAAATCTTTGTTTGAACAGAGAATAACATGCCGCAACGGAAGTTAAAAGCCACGGCTCTTTGATGTACCCGAGCGAACGGGCCGTCGTGAAAAATACTTTTCTTAGTATTTGAGTCCCTTTTTTTCTTTTCCCATCCCACAGCTTTCAAGGAGATGCTAACAGCACCCCACGGAAAGGATAACTTAAGACTCACGCAATCCAAGGTAACCTTACATTGTTTAGGAAACGTGACGTGTTGCTGAAAGAATCTTAAATGTCCTTTGTTCCTCTTGATTCGTGTTGACTCAAGCAAATGATTTTCGTTTTTCCGAACGGAAACCTGTCCGTGCTGTTTTATGCGTGCCCGCTTCGCTCCTTCTGAATTTTTTTTACGTGTAACCGCGTTCTCTGTACGTGTGGAAAAATTCCATGATATAGTGCCAGAAATTTGATGAGGTCATGTTGGCCTTCTCAACCAATATCAGTACTTTTATCAATCTTGGGTTTGCTTCGAAGTTTTTGTTTTACGTTGGTCTCTAGCGGAAATAAGAAGCATGGCTACTGAGGTATATTATCAAGCAATCAGACAGAATTCTTTGAGATGCTTACAGTAGCTTACAGTGAAATCATTATTCATTCCTTGTTGTGTTTTGTTCTTCATCTTGTTTCAGGACATTGTACAGAGAAGTTCGTCGGACTGCAGTGAGAGGCAGAGGACCCTGCAGTCTCGCCTTTCCGTTCCTGAAATCTCATCAGGTATGCTTATTTTATTTACGTCAGATAAAGTACCGCACGAGGGGATTCAAAACGAAAACTTCAACCTCTTCACCAGTGAGTTATCGAGAGGTAGGGGTTTTTCAAGAACTTCTATAGTAAAATAGCAATGGATGCTATTATAAGATGAAAATATGACTCTATTTATACACACTATAAATTCCCGCTCGAAGTGCGCTCTTATGTTTTTCGTATAAGTTGCTAGAAAAAAGCGTGTAGTTTAAATTATTTAAGCGCGAGGTCGTTGCAAATGTCTGATTCGTGCAACAATAAAATCAGAACAAAAATGGTATTATCTTCGGTATGTTAAATATAATTTTATCTATAGCAGATTAATTATTGTTGGTATTCCCGTATCGATTCATCAGTGCAAATTACAATACGAGTTTAGATTTTGCTTGCGAGTAATCGCCTCCTCTCAGTAACGATTTATCGCTTTTTTCCTTCATCAATTGTATGAATCTTATTTTCAATGAAATACAACGCCTGTTTGCTTTTTTTCCCATTAGATCCATCGAAAAAGCCGATTCAGGTGAGTGCTGATCAGATGTCTCATAATTTAAATTAAAATTGATTCTATTTTTTAAGATCATTAAAAATATCCCGTCAGAGATTCTAAGCTCTGATTGCAATTATTCCACTTGATAAATTCCATCGAACAAATTGCCGCGTCGCTTGTTTCCGACACACTGCGTTTTGCGGAAAAGCTATTGTTTTCATGGCTAAAAAAAAGGTTAAAAATACTATGAGCTACTATGGTTTTTAGGCTCTTGCAGAAATAATTTATGTCTTAAAAGCGTATATCCTTTCACCTAATGAAGGTGGAATTTCCAAATCTGCAACTTTCTACTTATTAACTGCAGATGGTTTGAGGTTTTAGAAGCGTGACTTTTTTGTTAAATTTATTATTTTGCGATCATGAAACAAAAAAAGGAAAAAAGAACTGTGGACAGGAAGGGATGTAATTATTCACTGATAATTGCCAAGTAAACAATGGTAAAATATTTATATTATTTCCAACTCGACCTCTTTCAATACTGACTGTGCTCGCCGTCTGTTTCTGCAGTAGTCCTCTTGAGTGAAGTGTGCAGTTTTCTGTTAGGCTTCCAAAGCGAAATGGGGATTTTTTTTCCAGCTCCTATCAGTTTGTTTACGAATTTACTTAGGAAATCTAAATTAAATTCTCTGTTTTCATGAGAGATGTGCCTCGAATAGGCCATTTCCGAGTTCCCCCGGGCCTCTGTATCAAAACGAGGTTAAGTGTTCGACCTTTGATATGGAGTTGATTTTTCATTCTTATGCAAATACAACTCATTTTCACAAGAAAGGTTGTGCACTTGGCCTCATTTTGAAAGTGGGGGTTTTTGGAACTCGGACGTGGCCTATTAGTCTTTTACCCATTGCTCTAGAGCTAACACGCTTTTTTTCGGTTTCAACGGATGTGAAAACCGTCATTTTTTCTCCACTAATACATTTTCTCTTGAAGTCTTTAAGTAGTTTTCTTTGTTACCTTTTCAGTCCATTCCGGTGACACTATATCCAGCATTTGTTTTTTCGTGAAGTACATTTTGACGTGTTTTATTGTTGTCATCAATAAAACCACTTGTTTCAACATTAAGGAAAAAGCAGGTTATACCGCTAGCGAAAAAGAAATATCAATTTTTGACTCCGAGCATCTTAGAATGTGCGATGATATGTTTCATATAAAACATCCTTCAGGAAAAAACCTGTCTCCGTAGTCACTTGGTCGGTAATGGATACCATTTCAAGTACCTGAAACATGAATATTTGTGACAAGTTTTTTTTCATTTTGTAGCGGACGAAAAGTATAGGACAACCGGGCCACTTTCTGACAGAAAATGGCCAGCTCTGTTAAGATTATACTGTACTATGTGAAAATCAACCTTTAGTCAGGTGGATCTGTCGTTCAACATGCAGGGTTCGGTGCTATCAGGACAGTTACAGCCGTGACGTTACGCGGTTGAGATCAGCGAATGGTTAACTGATTTTATTGCCCAATTTTTACCAAAGAATCTGTTTTTCTAAGATATTGAGTATGTAAGCGCCAAGGCTGGTTTGTAATTGATTTCTTGCCCTGAGGGCAATTTCTGTGATAGGAATTCAGGCATAATTCATAACACAGACCTTTTTGAAAACCGTATAGCCATTCATTGCAGAACAGAACTCAAAGACCTGAACAGGCCTTAGGTTGCTTGCTTTAGCTTAAGCCTTGATTTTATTAGCGATACAAAGGCTACCGCAGGCAGATTCGCAAGTTCAAGCACGAAGATCAAAAATTTTCCTTGTCTTGTGCTCAAGCTTGTGGTTGTCTCTCTTGCGTCAGCGCTCGTTTTTACTTGGCACAGCTCTAATGGTCATACTTGCGCTAGTGTTGTGCTTGCGTTTCTTCTGAAAACCAGGAAATATTTGTTATTTAAAACGACTTTATAGATTTGAGTTTTACCAAAGTATGAGAAACATTATTGCCATGGGCGTATTTTTGAGTAGTTGTAGTCGTGTATTTTACCGGGAATTTTGCTGCAAGCTTTTTTTGGCCCGCAATGCGCAGTTACGGGAATAGATTGTTCACAGAACAATATTTTAATTATTAGTTAATTGTCATTTTCCAGTATCCATTTCCATTACAAAATGACAACAAAAGTTTTTTTGGAAGGCAGGTGAATTCAGTGAGTCACTATTTAACCGAAATTCTTAGCATACCGAGAGCGAAGTTTAGAGGAGGTTTTTTCGTTTTCGTTCCTTTCATGGGAGATGAGCTTTTTTCATAAGTCAGGCTAATATCTATTTCGGTCATTTGCTCAAGTAGGGTAGGATTTTTTACCCTCTTGGTTGAAAGGTTAATGGCTTGAGAAACCGCGCCGGTAGCCTCTTTGGTTGACTTGGTATTCAATGAATTTAAATACAAAAGGCTTCTATTGCTGCCACTCAAAGAAATTCCTTGATCATGCAACTCTAAAAAGACGGAACAAGGTTAATTTCTTTTGTAAATTAATTGAAGACTTTATTAATTTTGCCAAATCTGTGTGCATTTGTTCACGTTTATCTATTTTTAGTTTATTTGTGTTTCCGCATTTCCGCTGGTTTGTTTCGTGATGGTAAACATCTATTCTGGTCAATATATTTCCATGTTTTTCCCACGCGAAGGGGAAAATATTGGTTCTTTTAATGAACTTATTTTTCTAGCCGTTGTCTGTAGCAGCTTGAGAAAGACTTGACTATTAGAGGCGACGTTGTGTGGTAATGTGAATTATAAAACATTACTACCAGAGGAAAGCTTGGCCTTCGATTTTTAGGCCCCGCCCGCCGACACGTATCCGTATTTTGTGTGATGAAACGGAGATTTTTTTTCTTCAGTGGCCTGCCGTCCACACGTTTCCGGTGAAAACGGCCACCGAAAACCCGTGTTTTCTAAAACGCTGTCCAGAGTGGAAATTTTTGAAAACGCTGGCTTCTTGACTACGTGCAGGCGGACGAAAACGGAAGTTTTCCAATATGATGATGTCATACATCATAATACTACTACCAGCATTACGCATGCTCTGTGAGGGTTGCTATGGTATTTCCATCGTTTCAGCGTTTTTTGGTGGACGGACCAAAAAGTATCCAATACGCTACGTGTGGACGTGAATTTTTTCGGACATGGAGGAAAAAATCTCCGTTTTCAAAAATATCCGGTCACGTGTGGAAGGGTTCTTAGCCTCGGCTTGAGAAATAAGATGTTTGTCTGTCGGAATTACTTCCAAAATTTGCTAGATTTGAAATTTTGAAATCAGAAAAGTACTCAAACTGTGGTGATTTAAGGGTAGTTAAAGCCATAGTCTATGTACTGAGGTTTTTAAGAATTTTAAGCTTACACGATCACGGTTTTTTCGTTCTTCTGAGCTGATTGAACCGCACCGTCTTCAACTTTAAAAAATACCACTTTGGTATTAAACTTCGGAATTGCTATATCGTACAAGTCAGCCGCAATGTCAACGCTAAAAATGAGAGCAACTCTTTTTTTTTTGCTTATTGAAACATAAAGGTAATGATTACACTGGAAGTGATCACCAAGTTACGCAGGTCTTGATTGTTGAACAAATTCTCCTGATGAGCACAATAGGATATGTATAGGAAATGGTGAGGAGAATATACCTGCGTCGATGATAAGGTTAAAAGGGGATAACTGCTAACCTTCATTTGAACATGTTTTTGAGTAACTGTGCCATATACTAGAGTATCTTTTGCAATGAGTGGCAAACGTTACCGTGGCCTATATATTTTCACAAGCTTTCGTGATGTATAGGTTTTAAGAGGTTCGAGTATATTCTGGTTTGTTTACGGTCGTTCCCAGTGAAACTTCCTTTCGCGAGCTAAAATCAACACGTTCATATTATCCTTTCGGAATTTTTCACTGCCACTTTTACCCGCATTTAAACTCTGAAGCCAACTCTATGAAAAAAAGAGAAACACAAGCGAGACAGTATTAGCACCAGTTAGATAATCTAGTGCAATCGGGCATGGTCACACCTTGTCGGTTGTATTCACACAGAACTCAAGGGTGTGTTTGCGAACAGTCGAATCCAGAAAAAGATGCGAAAATAGAAGCTATGAAGGAAATTTGAAAAACATTTGCATATAATTAGTAATCCCGGATGACACTTGTCCTTTTACCACTAAAATCTGATAAGCTTTTGTGTTGACCGCGTACCCAGGAAAAGTTTTCCGCTGACGTGAAACTGTTGTGAGCCTTTCGTCAGAACTCTTTAAAACTCTTATCCACTGGAACATTGCCTTCATAGCTTTCGTGCCCCGTACGTGACGCGATTGATGTCTGGTCCCAATACAATGAATTGGCTAGTAACTTCAAGAACAAACCGTGTCAGTGCAATATAAACATGTGCACATCTTAGCGGTTTACGATGTTATACTCGTTATGACTGGGTAAAAAATCATCTTTACGTTACAGCTCTGCCGTCGAAAATTCTTTAATTATGTGTAAATCACTTGATTTTGAGGGAAGATTGCATGCTGTAAAACGTGTCGTCCATTTTCCTTTTTTTTTTCTCTTTTTACAAAAGTTTTTTTGTTAATTTGCTGTAAATGAACAATTTGACCCCAAATTTCTGTTGTTAACGTTCAGAGATGCTCTCCAACCTCCACTTGAAGAATGCGCGTCAAAAATGCAATATTTTTTCCATAACGTTACGCAGTATGATGGATACGATTTTGACTATTTCGACTTCTTTGCAAAATCAACTTCGAGACGATAATTATTGCAAGCGTTGTGAAAGATTTCAAGCCCAGATATCTACACAGAAGAAAAGAGATAAAATTAAGAGCCGCAGTTTCTTAGTTGTTGATGCTTTCATTTGATTTCCCTGAGCCGTGCGAGTAGAGAATTCGGGCGTCGAATAAATGGTGTTCCTTTTTTTCTTAAATAAAATGGCACCCCTTTTCTTCACTTCTAAAATGCGTAAATTTTTTCTTGATATACATCGCTTGGATGATGTATCAAGTATAAGTTGTATCCTCCTTCGTTATTTAAAGGTAATGTTACACGGGACGATTCGCAACGACGATTTTTAGCGCAACACAGCGTGGCAATGTTGGAACAATGTTGTAACCATTCGAAACAATGTTGCAACAATGTTGCAACGCTGTGTTGCGCTAAAAATCGTTGTTGCGAATCGTCTCGTGTAACATCACCTTAAGACGATATAATGCGTTTTTTCCCGGATTGTTTTTCATCATGTTTTACCTGCCTGTCAGATTGTAAACGTTAAATTTGCAGGGTATGTAATTAATCACTGTTATATTGAAATTCCTTTTAAAGATTGAGCACAGATGACGATGTAATGAGTTATTGGGCAATACATTATGACAGCAATATTAGAACCTTTCATTCAATAATACTATAATACTATTTACAAAAAACAATGAGAAATTATATAGTTTTCTTATCCGTAATACGATTTTTTTTCGAAGTAATGTATGATGATGATGTAATAATTGTGATTGTTAAATCCTTTGAATTGCAACTGACAGTTTGCGATCATATCCTTCCCAGGTTAAAGTTTGTTTAAAGAATGTCGTTTAAGTGTTTTCCATTTTTTTTACGAAAAGCTTACCAAGAAAAATAAATGTGCAATAAATTGTGCAACACATATTTTCGGCCCAGCTGAAACCAAGATGCAAGTAATACTGGAAGTTTTTTTTTTTTTTCATTATAACTGTGTAGCAGAGCTCAATCTTTGGGTTTTAGTTCATTCATTCTGACTAATGGCTCGTGCTTAATTCGTAAATCTTTCATACCTGTTATGTCCTTAGCTCAAAAATGCTTTCGCTCCCTCCGGTAAACAAGAAACTGGAGTCATTGTCGGAGGTTTTGACGAACAGTCTGAACATAGTGTTTCAGACAAATCAATATATCATTACATAATTCTTGCTGCATCAGCATGAGTAGTTCCGTTAAGGCTGATGTTGACGATATCTAGAATACGGTTTTTTGCTTTGATCAATCACCCACGGGTTCCAACGACCTCTTGAACCACTGTTTGTTAGAATTTCTCACCACAGACGATCAAGAACCCGAGAGCAAAACAAAAAAAGGTCGCCATACTCCTAGTTCAGCCCAGCACTAGAATCCCGCTTTCCTCTATCTCTTTCTGTAAGAGACGATTGTTCTAAAATCCCCTGTAATTAATGTATTTAGAAGTCTTTAAAAAGGTCATTGACAGTTCACTTGTCTGAGTCTCCTGGAAGTTCCCTCAATAAAAGGTTTAACTTTGATTGCGGCTTACAAGTTTATTTACCATCCTTTGTTTTTATGATTTACTAGTTAAAGCTAGTGAGAAAAAGTCCTTACCAGAAAACTATTTAAGTTGGAGTCATGAAGATCCTAGTATTCCAATCAAGTGGAAGTAACCTCTTTCTTTCAACCTGACTTTCAATTAACTGTCCTTCCGTGATATCTTTGGTGTCTTCGATCAGTTTCTTGTTGCCGTAAGGGGTGCATGAACTAAAACCAGACCAAATTTAGTAGTTTGCCGCTTTGGCGACGTTATCAGATAAGAAACATACTGACCGAGCCACGCCTGCATGTTTTTCGCACTTTTTTTTCACTCTACGCCTTAAAATATTGGACGAAAAACAGGCTCTGCTAATAAACTTCTGCTCATGACGCAAGTGAGCTTCCGCTCGGCTGAGCCTGGCGCCCACGCCAGGAAGTCACGCAAAAGACTGCGATTTACCGCTGGTCTCTGTTATTGTTTTGCAGAAACGCTTGAATACCTTTCAAAATAGCCAGAACTTCGTTTGCCTGTGGTTACAGGAGATTAAGTAGAGTCAGCCTGCGAGACTGTCTTACTCAATTGACCATTTCTTCTGTTTTGTTATTCTATCCAGCATCTACATCCGTCTAACAGAACTGAAAAAGTGAAGAAAGCTCTGAACCGACTCAGTGCGCTTGGAACACTTTCGAGAAATAGCAAGTAAGTACATAACAGCGATAACTTAGAGAATAATAGTGTGTCCTTGATTGATCATGTGTTCGATTTGGTTTGCCTTTTTAGAAGCAAGATATTTGTGTTTTTTTTTTCAGTCTATAACTAGACTACTGGGATTATATGTGTTATTTTATGTGAAATTTCCTTTTAGCTAGTGGTTGCGTTTTGTAGAAAGGAAATGGTCAATTAGAAAATACGAAATTCCCTTCGAAAGCGGTAGTACGTTGTCATTCTATTTTTATCGATGCAAATCAGTTGAGCGACAGACATTCCAGACGAACTTTGTCAGGAAATGTTCTTATTACTCTGAATGAGCCGACCTCCCTTAAAGTGAAAACTTTTGGAAGAAACTGAAATATGCCAAAAACGTGAAATGTGATGACTTCCACTCACATTAGTTTTAACTTATGACGTTATTTCAGTCATGATTCTTTGAGGTTTGGTTTCTTGTACAATATATACTATATGGAACGAAATGTAATGGTAGATTTTTTTAATTGACTCACTTTCCAAAATGCACACTTCCACATTTTATATTCCATCTGATTTTGCTGTAGCGGATTCTACTTTAACAGTTCCATTCTCAGTGTTATTTCGACCTTTTGCAGACGTAAAAGCGAAGTTTATGATAATAATAGTAATGCACTTTTTGTCGTGATCGGTTAATATCAAAATAAGAGGGCATATTTCTTCTGGCTCTCAAATTCTTTCCATCGATTCTTTACAAACTTGATTTTATGATTCAGCTCTATTACGCGTTCGAGTCTTTTGACGAAAGGCTTGACGTGTGTCCTCTAAAGAACAGCTATTAAATAGTACGTCGCCATGTTATATACGTTATTAAACTTTGCACGATCGCTCGAAACCTTCAGTCGGTTTATTGAATCGTGGCGTTCAGTCATTCAGTTGAACTTAACCAGAACTATACATTGACCTGTTCTAAGGTAAAGTTTGTAATGCTGAACGTGGTGGCTGTAATTTTTTGGCTTTTTTGAGTGTTTTGTAAGTGTGTTCATTGAACAAAAGCAATGAATGACACTTTTGAATGGTGATATTTGTTGTTTGGGAATGTCTAGTAAGTAATAAATTATAAATTTTCCACTTCATTAGCCGTTTGCAGTTCTCTAGTCGGCTTTTTCCTTTGTTGTGAAATTTACCGGAAAACGTTTTCTGTTTTTTAAGTCAATTTTACGTGTACTTCAGTTTCCTTGTTTAGAATCTTCTCTTACGGTTCAGAGGTCTCATCCACAGGCTCTTTTGAACCAGTCGATCCAATACAATTACGTTCGCAATAGCGGCATATCTAAAGACCTCCTTTCTGTGCTTATTAACATTGTTTCGCTAATGATTTTTCCCGTGGGTGTGAAAAACATGTGGTATATAGAATACATAGATTTGTTTATGACAAAACAATTTGCGACTTTGTTTAGTGTTGTGGAGACCTAGGGAAAAATTACTGCTTTGTTTCGGTAACAAATATTTCCAGCCTTGATATAACATGGATATTGTGATTTGACTAGCTGCGTCAAAATTTAGTGCTCATTGCAAGGGGGCATCTACAATAACCTGTTTTTAAGCAGCGACAATTAATTACTATTTGGGGAAATAGAAGTCATTTAAAGTTTCAGTCCTGCCCCTTCAAATTGTTTTTAGACGGTTTTCTTATTTTAAACCTGTTTTTATCTCACATATTGATGGAAGGGGCGTTCTATTTGTACCTCATTTGCGAGGCAACCTTGAACTGGAGCTCTTTTGATCTTACCCTGCTCCAAACATAGTCAGCTTTTTGTAGAATCTCTTCTTTAAATAAGGAGCAAATTTCAGAACTCAGTTGTCAAAACCCTAGTTTTCACTGACGTTGAAAGTTTCCACTTTCAAGCACATCAGGGTACCCACCACTGCTTCTTACACCTTTTGTCAGAGGTCAAAACGTTTACTTGGCTTTTCTTGTACTTAACCTCATATCTCGCACGTGTTGTAGATGCATGCATGGGAGCTACGACAACCACATTGGCGTGAAGGACTTTATTAAAGGAAAAACAAATTTTTTATGCACGTGAACTGCACGTGTATTTGACATTAGGTACATTTCTCTCCCCTCTTCTGCAAACTGTAGAAAAATAAAAAAATGTCATCAAGTTTTAGAGTTTACTTAGAAAGGGCCGTATTAAAACCCTTTCACTCGCAGAAGGAATTTTATGAAGAACGACGTTGTGATTCTATATTTTGAGTCTTGACGAAAGTGGGCGATGTGACCATTCAAGAACAACGATTCTTGGACACCGTTCTTTCTTTTGTACTTTTTGTTTTCACATTTGTTTGTTTTGCCCTGAGTTTTGATGTTCTCCTCTTTGCGGGCCGAATTCCTATTAATTCAACAGACTGGAACTGTTGCATAGGCAGTTAATGATTGCTTCATTTGCGTACATCTTTGCATTGCAAGTTAAAATCGGGCTTCAAAGACCTCTGCAAGATATCCACCGCCTGTTTACGATCCGAAACCGACAAAAACATATCCGGGGCGACTTGTTACGTATCTGCTCTGCAACTGATGATAATACCGCTTAGGACTGGAGGGTCACGCGAATATCACTAGAGTGTGAAATGACTAGATCAATATCTTTATACCTGTGCTATACTCCTGACAACTTATTTGGCTTCGTAAATTTCGCATTGTCATCTAAGAACCAACAGGTTCAAAAGGGAGAAATTCCCCATTTGTGGGGGACACTGGACGTGGAGCATTTTCATCTTGTTATGTGAAACAGTTGTAGTTTCAATAGTATTCTCGATTATGATCTGATAGCGACGAACGTTTTGTCGTAAAAAACCCCTGCTTCTTCTCTCCGGGATTTGGGTGAGTTGTTTAGTCGAAAACTTTTTCCCATCATTTGGGTGTATAACGAGTTCCGGCCGCATGGATTATCCTTCCGCCCCGGGGGTTGAGGCAATACTCCAAACTTGCTTTATGTTCAGAAACCGGTCGACCCATTCTAATTTTAAGGCTTATCGTTTGCCCAGTATCCGAAAACGCGTGAGTGCCAATATGACCCGCTGCATCTTGCGCGATGCAATAACAGATGCAGTAACAGATGCAAATTGATTAGTTTGCGTTGGTTCGGTGGTGAAACACAACTGCTTAATTTTATGTTAGGCAAACTGGCCATCGTAAAGACAGTCAAAAGCTAGAACGGAAGTGTTAACGACACAGTACGCGTTTAACATGACTTGTGTGAGTTATATCGCAACGTATGAAGATTATAAAAGGTTTGTTTGGGAATGCAACCGATTTAATTTTAAAGGTCGAAACTAATGTTTTGCTGTGATTTAATTTTAACTTGTTATCCTTGAAACCTTTTTCTCAAAAGTCCCGATATCATTTCGTCCCTGTAAACCATCTGAACTATCTTATGTCATCTGCAATCATGTGCTTCTATTCAAGTTACTTTGTTTTCCAAAGAAATAGCTTCGAACTTTGGCTGCCTGATTAACCAGGCCGCAACTCCTGGGCTAGCCTGGTCAATGAAGGTGAACCGTGATCTCGGAACGGAGCAACAACCAGTCGCAAAATGATGGAGACACTTATATAGAAACCCGCCTTCCTTACTTAGTTGCGCTTTAGAGGAAGAGAGTTCTTAAGAATGATTAGGTCTTTTTCCTCTCTCTCCGGTCAAAGGAAGTCGTGGCAAGAGTTGAGTGAGTACGATCTTGGAGTCCTTACAAGTTGTGTTAAAAGCGGGAGGGGAGGGGAGGGGTGTGAATCGTGAAAAAACTTCTAAAGTCCATTTTCGGCTTAACACGTTACAGTGTCTCAAGCCATTTTGCAACTAGTTGCGGTTAACCTCACCGGCACAAGTGAAGAGGGTCTACGTTAACGAGAGAGATTTTGCTCGTTTGTGGCTAAAATCGGGACGCGAAAGATTAACGGGACTTTCGAGAAACAGGATGTACAAGACCTTTAACTAAAATCCAGTTTTATTTTTAGGCTTATTTCTAAAAGCGAGAGGGATCTTTTAAGTGTGAATCACGACACTTCTGATGATCTTCACACCATGGCCCGTCTCGCAGTGAAGAATAAACGAGCCACTCTACCGCGAGGATTTGGCTCCACTGAATGCATATATACTAGCGATCAGTCGTTAGACATGCCTGATAAAGTTATTAAAGTTTACAAAGCGGACCAGACCTGTAAATATTTTATGGTGTTTAAGGTGAGTTAACTACAGCTTTTCGAAAGAATATCTAACTAAAATAGCCAAATTTTTTCCAGCTAGCTAATTCATTTCCATTTTCACTCTCAGGCGAGTTAGATTTTTGATGAATTTTCAGCTTGGACTATGTTAGGAAACGGTTTAATCAAACCAAAGTAATTGCCAGAGTAATTAAACAGACGCAGCCATTTAAACGGATCTTGATGGTGATACATGCATCTAGCGCTAAAGCTACAGTAAAACGGGTAGCCTGCGTAGCAGGCGCTTAGAAGTAGTGGGCGAAAGAGAGAACGGGCGCGCGCGAGGGAGACACGCGAGGGGTTGCTGCCAAACGAACTGAATACGCGTTTTAACCTGATTTGTTGCAAGACAGGCTCGAACGTGGGTGGTAAAACGCGTAACATCGCTATACAGCTCGTTTTGCAGCAATGTTGCAAAAAAAAGCTGCACGTTTTTTGTTGCCAATTCAAAGCCAAAGCAGTTTAACTTGGGTTTTAATTTCAAAGCATCCCAAGGAAGATAAACAACCAAAAAGTGCGGCGAAAAACACAAAGAAATATGAACTTGGTGCAAGGCTAAAAGGGGAGAACTGGTTTACAACTCTTTATTTTTGATCGGTACTTATAAATCGATACTGCCAACCGGGACTCTTTTCCTTCACGTGCGCTTTAATATAGTTTATAAAGCAGATTTTTGACACGTACTGTATATATTTTTTGTTTATATTGCGTGGCGCCGTGCACTATACAAAACTGCGAAAACAAGAACGTTCCATGGTTTCGAGGCGTGCATGACCTGTTGTGCTCTAGTTTAAACATTTTGTCCTTTTATTGTTATTTATCTATTTTTAGGAAACTACAGCGAGAGAGGTCGTTAATCGAGCTGTGGATGCGTTTGGAATTCCAGACCACCCAAGGTAAGACTGATTGAAGAGCTCGTGTTAGACGTCTATCGTTATTTTGGTGTTCAAGGGTGCTTGTATGGCTTCAATATTGGTCTAGTACTGATCCACCTTGTCCAATGTTGTTAAGACGCAACTGACGTAAAACATCTCTACTTCAGCTATTTTAGGCGCTAGACAATAAAAAAGTACCAATTACTTTTTAGATAAGGAGCGAAAATGTTGTTTCCTGGTATTGCTAAGAATATACTTAAGGAAAATAGCTACATGTTAGGATCATAGTTTCTGCGTTCATTTCAAGCCTGTCAAGTGATTAAGATCAGGTGCCAGGTTCCTTCCCTCAAGTCAAGCAAATCTCTCCAGTGATTTAACTCGACATTTTGTCACGTGAACTTTTTTTTTGCTTCACGTGACTATTTTTTGCTTCACGCGACTAACGTGTTATCAGTCACTCGACAATCGGCGCCAATAGGGCGTCGTAAGCTCTCACAAACATGAATTCAGTACTTCACTTTGAAATTTCTTTTTTTCTATTTATAGTAACTACTCACTGTGTGAGATTACTGTAGAGGATGGTGGACTCATCAAACAAAGAAGACTGCCTGATATGCTTCCAAATCTTCCTGATAGAATTCATTTGAATGGAAGGTAAGTAGTAACCTATTAGCTAGCCTGTTGTAAAGATGTAGCACAAACGTACCTGTGTTTACACATTACCGCATCGACCGGATTGACGTCATTTCTATGGACCATGGAGAATTGTTGCCTGTTTGTTAAACAGCATAAAGGCTATTCAATTTAGTGTGAACACATTCTCAGTTTGTTGTGACCACCTGTACGTATACGATTACGTTTGTGAATGCACACACATGATTTGTCCACACGAGCGCAATGATCTCACGGTTGTCCACACGAACACGCAAAGGAATTTTAAACGCGAGTTGAAGTAACAGTTAAACGAGAGAGTCAGGCGAGGCGTGTCACCCCATCATTGAGAATGTAAAGTCTAGACGAAGCGCTAAACTACTATCTTTTGTTACAAGGTAGTTCCCTTATTATAGTTTTGTCTTTCTTCTGCAGGTATTACTTGAAGAATAACGAAGTGTCGGGTCCTTTGCTCCCAGATGAGGCAGCTCAGGTCAGCGAATTTACATTTTTTGAATCCTTTTCTTGCCGAATGCGCTCTAAACCACACTACCTCAGACTCGTTTTCGTACAGGTTTTGTTTTCGAAAGCAACCATTCTGAACCATTCAGTAGGACTCTGAAGTGCTTTTTATAATACGTTACCGTGATGATATAATTTAAGGTTCTGTGGACGAAACTTTAGAATTAAGCGAAAACCTCTGAAAGTGTTGTCCGCTCTAGGTTAAACTGGTGTTTATAGGAACTAGGAAGGTTGTGAAATTATGCTTTTCTTTAACATTACACGCAACGGTGCAACGGTGCAATAGCTAGACTACTTTCAGTCCGGCGTGAAAACTAAAATAACTCGAAAGTTTTTACGTTCTGTCTTTTTTGTGATGCAGGAGCTGGCAAAAGAGTCAAGTTTTAGTTTGTTGCAACTCAAGCCGCGAGATTTGGCTAAAGAAATTACGTTACAGGTAAGAAGCTAAAAATGAAAAAAAGAATGTTGGTCGATTAATCCGCTGTAGCGTAAATGAAGTATTAATTTTAATCGGCCTTTCTTAGCGAGTTAAAAACTAGACTATTCCTCCCTTTCTGCAAGTTGTTGTTACTTTCCGTATGCAGTAGGAATGTTTTTTTTTAACCTTTCTCGATGCTTTTGTCCTCTTTAAAGTGATACAGTTTTTATCATTTATAGGCGAAACAACGACAACGTTTTTTCATGGATTAATCATCTCTGCGTTCTGTTAGTAGCTACATTATAAATACCCTTTTCCCGCGTTTCAATTGCTTAATTACGGTGCATTTTAGAAGTTTATGACTTGTCAAAGCATTTCTTGGCATCGTGAAAATTAACACAACAACTCTTTTAGCGGTCTTTTAAGGACAACATATGTAATATATTGAATATGATTTTTTTCGGATCTTTTGGCTGTACATTCCTCCATTTACGCAGAAAGTAATCGTATTCCAAGGTCCTTAACAAAATCAGTTTTGTTTTTCTGAAAACAAAAGGCTTTTCTGTTTTTTCGGTAGGTTTGTTGGCAACGATATGTTATGAGATGAGTGTCTGATATTTTAGTTTGATAAATCAAGTTCCATGTAATCCTGATCAGATTTTTGACGGGTAAAGAGTTTTATTTTCCTTCAGTTTTTAATCAAAACATGTAGCCAGTTTATTTTGTTGCAAAGCACTATTCATTAAAAGCAACTTGCACAGAAGGGGAAATAGTCCATTTTATTTTTCCTGAAGAGCTAATTGTGGTTTTTATCTTGTTATTCTAGGACTTTGAAATTTTTAGAAGTATTGATCCCCGAGAATATATCTACAAGTTATGGAACTTTATTTAAAACTGACGGAAAATTTAAGAAAATTTTCTGAGGTAGGAATGAGTTAATAGAGAAACGCTTTTCGCACTAGCCTGCGAACGCAGTCGTCGCTTCTCTCCATCCGAAAAGTAACGAGCAACGACGGGAAATACGTGTGGGTTCGCAGGCTATTTTTGCACTGTCTTGACTGATTTTTCCCGTTTTGTGACGATTTAGTTCAGTAAGCTCAAATTATCCTGTTTTTGTTACCGTTGCAGATTGTAAATAAAGAAATGTTTTGGGTTGTAACAGAGATATGCAACGAATCAAACTTAGTCAAGAGAATGAAAATAATCAAGGCTTTTATTAAAATTGCAAGTAAGTGCTTTTCGATGTTTTTTAAGTTAAAAGGTTTATATTTAGTATACGACTGAGAAACTTGCATTTTTTTCGAGGAGTTAACTTGGCGTTTACTTCAATTTTACAGGGCATTGTAAAGAATGCAAAAAACTACAATTCATTGTTTGCAATTGTAAGGTAAGTTCTTGAGTTCATTTCACCCTCTTTGGGAGAATCCAAGGTTAGATTCTTGACACCAGATTCTTTAAATTTTTAGTCGTTTTGATGAAAAGAGGAAATCTTTTAGCGCAAATGAGTGAGAACGCGGCATGCCTCATATTTCTCAGTACCAGTACACCGCTTGCCAATGCACTGTTTCGAATCCGTGCTCAAAGAAACCCACGGGTCGCGATATCCGTAAAAATACAGCATTAGAGTCCACTCGGGGTTTCAAGATTCAAAATCAATTTTAAGAATCCTGATCACATTCACTGATGAAGATTCCCTAAGGAAACATATTCAAAGGGAATGCTGCAATGAGTGATAGTTTTACGTTAAGACTGTTTCTATCTTTTACAGTGGTCTCGGACATTCAGCAGTGCAACGGCTGAAGAACACATGGGACAGATTACCCACAAAGCATACCAAGGCATTTGAGGTGAGTTTAGGTCCTACAGGAGCTTTTTCCATTGATCATAGAATACATGTGCACTTTATTTATGATGATTTATGATCTATCTTTGTTCTCTTTTCAAGGATCTTCAAGGTCTTATGGATCCGTCGAGAAATATGTCCAAGTACAGAAATCTGCTGAACGGGAAACACGGCGAACCGCCTCTAGTAAGTTAAGCCTATCGCTCTGGGCCCGGTTCCTCGAAAGATAGTTAAGTTTAACGCAAGATTAAGCCAAATTTCAAGCACGATTTTCTCGTCTAACGACATGCAATTCGAGGTTACAAAATACTGTTGAGCCTTTACTTCGAGGTGCAGTAATGATAACACAAAATATTACCCTAAGCAATGCATAGGAACGTAAAAAACAAAAACGCAACAAAATTTTAATCCTGGATTAACGCTAATCGGCCTTTCAGGAACCGGGTCCTGGCCCCAGTTGTTCAAAAGGTGAATAACGCTATCTGCAGGTTCAATCACTATCCAGTGGATAGCGCAATTGGTTTCCCTAATACTTATCCGTTGGATAGTGATTTATCCTGTGGATAGCGTTATCCATTTTTTGAGAACAACTGGAGCCTGAAGTTTCTGTCCACTTATAGTGGAGATCTTGCTACCCCAGTAATGATTTTTGACGCATGCACTAGTAGATTGACAGTTGCCATTATTATTATTCTAAAATTGTAAATTCGATAAAATCATCGACCCATCGTTAAGTCATTTTGTTCAAGACTTGTCTACATGGGACGTGCTCGTATTTGGTGTCAAATATCGACTAATCTAAATCTACTGCTTTAACAGACAGATAAGGGCATCTTCACAACGAGCTCTGGCTCTCCACCTAAGAACTCTTCACGATACGGTCCTATTTTAGTAGCAAAGCGGCCAACCAGAGGTGTCTGTCACATAGATGGTTAAGTTACAGACAGTTTCTCTAGACAGAAACAGCCACTGATGAGTCCGCTTCCATAGAGTCAGGTTAACTTCTAGTAGAGAGAATTTATTTTTGTGTTTAATACTGAGGGGCATTGTAATTTTTTTCTTTCAGATTCCATTCTTTCCCGTCATCACCAAGGACTTGACATTTATCCATCTTGGAAATGATAGCATTGTGGATGGATTGGTAAGCCAAATTATCTTGCAGCTTAAAACTCGATTTCATTAGCAATAAGAAAATGATTAAGTATTTGACTAGACTGAAAATGGCATTTTTTTATGTAATACTCAAACAAAGTAACCGAACTATAGACTCACAAGTCTCTTCCATAACCACTACAGAAATGCCTTCTTTTCAAGTATATAATATTCCAGTACGCTTATATTTAGTCACACAGCACTAGAAATTACGAACTTTCTCACACTCCATGAGAATAGAATTGTTTATTTGAAGGTTTGCTGCATCAGAGTATGGCATGAAAATATTTTTTCTTTACACATTTTACAGGTAAACTTTGAAAAGCTTCGACTCATCGCAAGAGAAGTTCGGCAGATTTCAAGTTTAACTCCATCCCATACGTAAGTCCTCGATTTTTCTCAAGTTCTGCGTTGGCCCACTTTAATAGCCTATTCATTTTCTCGTGAATTGACTAACCGTTCTTTTTATTTAATTTTCAAACTTTCAGGATCCTGACACTATGTTTGAAGACGATACAAACAGTCAGGGAGGTCCTGGTAACCAGAAATTGGTTGGCATGGTAACAGGTAGCGGCCGAAGATCGTTGCGTGACCAGAATCCTAAAAGGATGTACGAGGAGGTAGGATCATAGAAAAACAAGTTCTTATTACATAATCTGTAAGATTTTTTATCGTACTTAATGCAGAATTTACTAACGCTGTTGCTTTTGTCACGCAGTCCATGATGTCACGCAGGGTCCAGCAGTACCTTACAAACCTAACTATCATTGAAGACGAGGAGAAGTTGCGTGAAATGTCAAACAACTGTGAACCTCCTCAGGGATCCGGTATGTTAATCCTTTCATTCCAGTCTTTCTGTCTCTCTCTTCTATTAACAGTTAGTAACTTTTTTAGCGGTTTAATTCAGTTTTCCTTTATCCCTCGGCCAGCTCAGTGCATAACTATAATAATAGATAGCTAAAACGTGATGTTTCTTGAGTGAGTAGTTGTACAGGCGACTCGGAGAAAAAAAAATCCGAATTTTCCCAACAGAAGTCGAAGCTTTGACCTTCCGGTTACTAGCTCTGTTGCTCTGCCACTGAGTTATGGAAGACTCGTTCGATCTAAGGCCATAAACCTTATGTTTATGTGACTAAAATTCTACATGAAGCGTTTATCTGATAAGTGTAGCAAACTAGCGTGGAAAAAAGCGTGGAGAACACAAACTTAAGATCTTATTCCATGATAATGTTCCTTTGCTGATACGTATGGTGATGTTAATGTAACAACTACGCGCAAGTCCCTATAAGCACTACGGAAAGAACACAGTATGTAACTCTGTTATTCTTTTTCTCTCCTCTTATTTCAGCTCCTCCGAGCGTACAAACTCGCAGGAAGAACTCGCCCTCGTCCTCGCCGGTCGCTAGTAAGAAAGATCGGAAAGGAAGCAAACCAAATGAGCTGACGGGTAAGATAATCATTATAAGTGTTCATGAATCAGTTGATCTCACTTCCGATAAGCATGGAAATACACCTCTCCTCCCTTTGGTGTTAGAATTGGACGATTAAGGAAAGCTTTACTGTTCTTCAGTTAGCGTGTTTCATCTGGATGCTAACCCTATTTTTGTTTTATGTCCTAGTTCCATCGCCATTAGCACTCAAGAAGGAACTGATTGCAAGTAAGCTAAGCCTTTGTTGTTGTTATAATGTTTTGTTCAAAACCTAAGAAGTACATAGACTTAAAATTTTGGAGACGTTTCCTATCTTTTTAAGTAAAATACGCGTGGGGCGGGAGGGGGGGACGGGGAGATTCCATTTGAGAGTAGTGCACAAGAGGCTCCGTTTGAAAGGTCATATCTACAGACTTGAACGTTAAAACCACATTACATGTCCCAAACCAGCCGACTGTGGAATTGTTATCATTATTCTTGTGAGACAGTTATATATTAATTCCGACCAAAGCAAACGAGATACTTCTGGTGAAAATCGTGCTGTGGTGCCCAAGCGTGGAAAGGTCACCCAATGCCGAGCCAATACCGAGGCCTGGTTTGTATCCGATGATAATTGCTGAAGAACCTGCGTGAATTTCAGAACCCATCAAAAGCCAAACAAACGTCTTCGTTGAAAAACAGTTTTAAAATGTCCGTTTTCCCCTCCTTCACTTTATTTGCTTTTTTCCTTTCGGGTTTTGCTTCTTACAGTTTCTTTGCGTTCCTACACGTTGCAGGTGATCGAATCTCGGTGTCTTCTACAGCAAGTTCATCGTCTTTTCCGGAGGTTCAATCGCCAAAAATTCTACCCGAAGGTAAACACTCAAATAATATAATCATCATAATCGCAGACAGTTCCAATGCCACTAAGCACATAACAACAACAACAACGACAACGACGACGACGACGCCACTCATTTAAGGCGGTTACTGACCGAACCGTTCATTTTGGAAATGAATATTTAGCCTTTTATCGCAATTTTCCTTAAACCCACCTCTGCGAGCATACCATAACTGATTTGGCTTTATAGTGGTTTTAAATAGTGAAATTCTCTTTACAACTGGATCGGTTTGGCCGGTCAGTACTAACAAATAGGAAGCGCCCTAAGGCAGACGCCCTGGCTTGTAAAATGTTTTCAAATCGAAAGTTAAAGTGCAAGTAAAGGAATTCTTAATCCTCATTGGTGTCATGTTCTCTTAACAGAAGACATACATGTGTTCCCTGAAAACGACAGAACGTCTTTACCCGAAGATACAGTACACATGCAGGAATTAAGAAGACTTCACTACAATGATGATCATCGAAGACCTCACTATCGTCATCCGCCAGGTGAGATAAAAAAAACCGCCAACGACTTTGTAGTCAAGTTATCGTGATTGATAAACTTTCTACGCGACACAAACCACTTGAGTATTACGCGGTCTTAGCCTTTAAGATTTTCGGGCAACTATTCTTGCAACACTCCTTGGATAGGACGTTTGTTTTCCGCAAAGAGCTACATCCTAGCATTATCGTAGGTATTACCTTATCCTCCATTGAATGCCTCTTAAGAGGACGCGCGCCACACTAACGAATAGAATTTTTGGTGCGAGACTTAGTCAGCCGATTAAACAGCGCAGCAAAGTAGTACCAAGATAATAACGATTATCTGTTATTACAGACATAGAAGCGAGGCGAGGGGTTCATTTTGCATTGCATCAACCGATAAGCTTCTTTTGTCTTTTAAATGACTGTATGACCGCAGGCTCAACTATAGTGAATAAATATTTATTTCTGGCACTCAATTAAAAACGTTTATGATAACGATAAATTTGCCTTTATTATCTTGTAGGCGTGGAAGTGATTAGACCGGTACATTATTCAGGTAACTATATTTTAAATAATCTCTTTTGTCGGGGAATACAATGTCTCAGTAGGACCATTGTTTTAAAAATTCAAATGAATAAGAGCTTCATCAAGACTAAGGCAGCGTTAAAAAAAGAAACATATCGATCAGCATGACATTTTGCGGTTGGACACGTTAGATAAAACCGTGCACTTTCGAAGATTCTTAGGAAACTACCGAGTCTAGGTGACAATGGGTGCAATGTCGGTAGAGAAATAAGTTAGCTGAAGGGACCAAATATTTGAGCAAATAATTATCTGAATTGTTGGCTCATTTTGTCTTTTTCTGTTTCGTAGAATCAGCAGAAAATTTACCATACAGTCCTACGCACCCTACAGCCCCTCAAGAACACCCCTACCACCCTGGTAAGTTGTATTTTATGTTTTTTTTTGTCATAACTCTTGAATTGTAGTTAATAACTCCAGTAGGCCAGAAAAAACCTGGCCTAAATGGTTGTTCGTTTGATTGGTCCTATTCGTATATGACACATGAGCTGTGATTGATTACCGATTTCTTAAAATAAACAATATTTTCTAGCTGTATTCCTCTCCAAAACTCTAGACTACTTCTTGGTTGTCAAAATGATCCCAGAAATCCAAATGGCAAAAGCCAGTGTCCGGTCTCCCCAATTAGGTAACGTGATCAAGTGATCAGAGCGCAGTAGGCCCCTTTTTCAAGTCCCACCCTGGCCCCTACCTGGATTTGTTTCTCTGTGATAACCGAGCTCAACCTTTCGGCCATGGTTGTACATGGCCAGTTGGTTTGCCTCCTGTCACTTAGGATTCTTCACCTTGTTATGTTTCATTTAAATAATTCGTTTTTCTCGCCACAAGCCTTTCTGCCGAGTTCCAAAAACCCTCAGTTTCAAAATGAGGCCAGGTGCACAACCTTTGTTGTGAAATTGAGTTTTATTTGCACGAGAATGAAAAATCATCTCCATATCAAAGGCTGAGCACTTAACCTCGTTTTGATACAGAGGCTCGGGGGAACTCTGAAATGGCCTATTGTGATACGTATCTCACTCGTACCCAATCTCCTCTCAAGGTTGAATTGCGACTTGCATTTTAAATAATAAGATCGTGTTATGAGTTTATTAGTTACCCGTATTATCAACGCCGGGATGTTATAGTGGGTACATCCTCTCACAGGTTAGGGTTTTCGCTTGTTTTCCAGGTGTCACGTACCCGTATGGAGGGTATCACCACTATCCAGTTGACCAATACAGAAGAGTAGATTACGTAGATAGTTACGACGGTGAGTCTCTCTATGCTTATGAAAGCCTTGTGTATGTTCTTCTCTTTGCTTCTCTTTCGTATTTGTCCTTTCCTTCCATGTCAGCTTCGAATTATCTAATTTTTTGTTTTGTTTAATTTTACAGAGGAAGAGGGTCAAGTCTCGGCAGTCTGACATCGTGTTAGGTAAGAAAAAATGTCGGCTTATTTATATATCTAGGAAGAGAGAAATCTCAGTCTAGGCCTTGGTATATGTGAATTATTTTGCTAAAGTTATTTTTAGACCAATTAAAAGCTTGAAATTTAATAATCTGAAGCTGGTTTCCGGAGGTCCACAAAATTTATCTGCATTTTCTGCTTTGAGACAGTGGCGCGTGGACTTGGTGATGTTTCAAACAATGGATTTAAATATGCGGTTGTCTTAGGAATTAGGGCTTACGTTTAATTACAGCCTCTAAAACTCACATATCCCGGCAGACACCCTAAGATTCCCTGTCTGTCCCATTATTCTTTCTTGATATTTATATTTCTTTATGTTTTCATTGTTGCGTTTATTCATGCATTTATTCATCATGGTCCACGTATTGTGAGCTCGACTTTAAGTTTTTCAGTCGTTTTACATAAAAATGGAGATTTTAAGGCTATTTCAAGAATTATTTTTGTGGTATAAAAGACAGTTAAAACTGTGTTTAAGACTTAACTTTTTTGTTGTCTTTCAGGTCTCAAGAGCTTTCTACGGAGCTGAATTCCTCTCCATCGAAGTAGATATTTCAAATCCAAGGCTTTTTGCGCAGCGTGCAAGCTTGCCGAAAAAAAAGAGATTTTTCTGTTCACTTCCTGTCAAGCCTTAAATTAAGAAATGTAATTTTTTAATGTTCAGTTGTTTCAAAGCTGAATGTATTTCTTTCCTTTTAAGCTTGCGTGGTCAGAGATGCGTGGTGGTTGTGAAAAAACTTAAGTTTTTGTGGGATTCAAGTTAATTTAGATTGTCGTTGTTGTTGTTTTTTCTTTCTCTTGTAAAGAAATGTTGAAACGAGGCTTTACGAATAGGCCACGTTCGAGTTCCAAAAACTCCCAATTTCGAAACGAGACTAAATGCCAAACCTTTGTTGTAAAAATGAGTTTTATTTGCATGAAAACAAAAAATGATTTTCGTGTAAATGGCTTCGCGCTTAGCCTCGCTCTGAAACAGAGGCTTGAGACAGCTTGGAAATGGCCTATCCACCTTGTTTGTTGTCCGCATGCGTAGTATTCGCAAGACGCGCAATTACGCATGTACGTCTAGCGTCTTCTTTAATGATCTGGCACGTGCCACACAGTAAACAAAACGCATGTACAGACGTAAAAAAATATATCCCTCTACAAAAAGAATAAAAACAGCGGGTGTTGATCGCCTGCCTAGCTTCATAGTTAGATGTTTATGTAGCTTAAAGTCTAATTGAGTCAATGTAGGACATATTTACTCAGAAGGAGGGAAATACCACCAGTTGTGGTACGTAGTATGGGGAACCATTTGCTTGTCTCGATGACTCGTGAATTAAAATAGACCTAAATATTCAAACCTTATTAATTTAGGTAGAATCGTGAATAAGAAACTACAATAGTTATGAAAAAAAACATACATTTTATTTTAATCTCAAAAAATTAAGAGATGTACCTACTCATGAGTTTACGAATCTTTTCTACTAACTGTAAATACATCATAGGTTACGATATAAGTACAGATTATTAAAAAACAACTTTTGTAAGCCAGTGCGTTTATTTTGTTGCATACGTGATAATTAGTAATTCAAAGACAAACAAATAAACGGCCTCTGGTGATTGCAAATTTTGTGCTAACAATATTTGGTTTTAAGGAATATTACAGCCTCTTACTTTTCTTTTAAATTTTTACGTTGTAACTTAGAACGTTTTCAGCAAGTGGAAAAGGAGCTGCCAAAACTAGACAATCAGTATAAAAACGAGAGACCTGAAGATCATGTACTCTTGGCAATTTGCAACATATTAGCCATGCCTAACATCCCCTGAAAATGTTACATCAAGCGTCTCACAGAGTATAATCAAGTATACTTTTAGTAAAGGCTATACCATCCGAGGTATGATTATTCCAGGGCATGTTGCACTAGACAATGCTTATGCAACTCTGACTCGTCTCGCAATAGCGCAAAACAGACCTTTTTACCGATACGGCGGCCATATTGAATTTATTAGATTTAAGGGGTATTATGGGATGCCCAGGGGACACTCGCGCAGTATTTACGGGCGCTTTTCGGGCAAAAAAGAGAACTTCAATGTATTTTTCTCGGGAGGAGAGCATGATAACATCCAATCCAAAGCCATCGATCGGCATAACGATCTTTTTTCCCCATTACAATCTTTTTCTAGGAAAACTTAAAGAAAAATTGGCCAGGAAAGCACGCGTAAATACTGAGCGAGTATATCGGATCGTGCTCATTCCCCCCTGGGCATCCCATAATACTCCTTAAATCTAATTAATTCAATATGGCCGCCGACTCGGTAAAAAAAGTCTATTTTCCAGCGAATTCGTAATCGAGAGCGACTAGAGCGATTTTGGTTCCTCGCAAAGGATCATGGGAAAGGCGAAGAGTCTCACCCAACCTTCCCAGCGCCCTTTGAAAGAAAACTTAGCATTTCCATGGTCCAATGCGCGATACTCCTTGGTTGCTCTTGAGACAGCTCAGAACGACGCAGGTAACAGGGCCTTAACAACAAGATCTAAGTATTTCTCGGCTCTAGGCATTGTTGAGCTACCCAGGTAGGTAAAGGCAAAGTCTGCAATCTGCGTGCGCAACAAGTGGCTCATTCCCAGGGAGCAGCAGAGGCCCTTCGATCTTTCCGCTCGTAGGGTAGGTAGCTCATGCAGCGACTAAGAATTTTTCTACCGTACTTTCCCCTCTGGACGCGATGTTAGTCTATCGTTCGTTACCCCAGTACGCGTACGAGTCCAACGCGCCAACCATTGGACCACCGTGCCTCTCTGTTGGCTCCTAGCGAGCCTTTTTCAGTAATTTTGATACATTTAGCAGAAAAATTCCTTTGTACTAATTAGGTGACAGACCACAGTGCATGTTTGCGTTAACATTCAAAAGGCCTGTACTACTAATGCGAGCCCATTTGCCAATAGGAGAAAAGTCAATGAAAGGCTGAACGTTTCATTAAGGTTTAGTGATCAAATATAACGTAAGGAATCTTAAACTATTCAATACCGATTAACTCGGTATCAAGATGATAGGTTGTCGAGGCTCCTGATGGCTCGCTGTGTACGTCAGTGGGATTGTCATCTCGTGACTGCTTAGATCGCAAGCAAAGTGACCTTACTCTCCCCCTCTTCTTTATACAGCAGAACTTGGGAATAGTCGCGTTGATTTCTTCTGCTGCGCAAACAACACTTGTTAAAACACTGGAAAGAGTTGACAGTCCGATGATCAACAAGACAGCTCGCATAATTATCATACCAATCAGGTAATCTTCAGTAGGTGCTCGGCCTTGATTCGGGACCAGATCGCCAAATCCGATGGTGCTGAATACAACGAAGCAATAGTACACAGAAGCCAAGAAATCCCAATCTTCTGTGTAGTTGTACAAGACTCCGCCCAAGATCAACTCTAGTACCATCAGAAGGGCTGAGAAGATCATGGTTTTTATCTTAAGGTGCGCTGGCTCCCTTTTGAGAACTTTCCTCTCGAAATTCGTGATCAGTTTGGTGAGAAGCTCATTGATTCCGTCTCCAAGAGCCTTTAGAGTAAGAAGGTTGAGTGGGATTCCTATAATGGCAAAGAATATGCAGAACAAACGTCCAGCTGCAGTTCGCGGCGATATGTGACCGTAACCTGTAAAAACCAGATTAAGAAAATTAAATGAAAGTTCACTCTCTGAGAACCGGTATTAAGTTCTTGTCTTATAGAGAAGTGTCACTGACCTCAGTAAGAGTGAAGGTAAAGCGTAACATACATGAAGGCAGCTCCTCTTGTCTAATTTAGGGAGGTGGCTAGCTTTCTTTAATTATAGCTGAAGTGTCTTTTAAAATAGATTTAGAGTTAACTGTAAAATAATAATGACTGAAAATATTTAGCATTACTGAAAGACCTTTTGGTGTAGATAAAAAAGGGAATAACACCCGGCTATTTTGAATTGAAATGGAATCTCAATAAGAAATAATCAGAAAATCAAAGGGAAGAATGTAAAAATTCTGAAACAGGGGCGTAGCTAGGATTTTTCAAAGGGTGGGTCACTGAGTCACACCCAGGGTAGCTGCCAGATTGACATGTCAAGAACCAGGACGTGTTTTAATAAAAGTGACATTCTTTTTTCATATAAGCAGCGATTGTGGGGGGAGTTCAAACCTACAGGATAGCTGCATAGATTAATTAAGTTCCAAGCAGCATAAACTACTCTGTTTTAGAAGGAGCCTCGTTTTAGTTACGAACAAGAACGTGGTCCACTGCAGATGTTTGGTCCTGCAAATGGAGAAACCAACAGTCTTGCACTGGAAAAGATTTATGGCATGTTGATTCTTCAGATTCGGATGCGTTTTGCCCATCTGAATTATAGTAACCTGAGATCAGGCTCTATTTTCGTTTCGCTTTGAAAATTACATTCTTGCGGGCAAAGCGGTAGCCGTTAGAGAGAATGTATGAGAACCGCTCAAATTGGGCCTGATCTCAGGTTAGAATTATAGGGACATAAAACAATTATATCACAAAGGGGTGGGGTGGGGGGGATCATGAGCACCTCAGGACAACCCCCTTGCTACGCCCCAGTGAACTAGAAGATTTAACTTTCTTTGGTCGTGCTTTATCGCAAGAAAAATGAAACTGAAATAAATTTTTCTAGACCTTTCAAACTCTGTCTTGCTTTGTTTACGGACCATCGAATACTAAGCCTTCAGGACGATTATTGAACTAAATTTCTTTTTAACTTACCTATAGTGGTTATAACTGACCCAACAAAATAAAGCGATGAATAAAGAGTCCACTCTGTCTTCTGGGCATTGCTTTCTTTGCCAACAATCTCTCTCACACGCGCTAAAATCATCACCAATTCTTGCCTTGTTGCATTGAACTTTTGAAGTAGGTCTTTTTCTAATGACTCGGTCAAGTTCTTGGTGGTAAGGTCTTCCCCAAGGCGATTTTCCAACGTTTGAAACACAACCGCGCCAAAAAGCATGTAGAGAGAGGTTAACAAAGATAATAGCACTAGATCTCGCAACAGTTTGTGGTCCATGATCGCGTAGCGTAGGTACATTAAACAATAAGTTCCGAGAACACCTGAATAACTCTGACTTTCAACCACAAGCCGGGTTCATTTCTTTCCAAGTAACAAATTCCTCGATGAATTCTGGCAGCATATGAAGGGTAATTCCTCAGTTTTCAATTCAGTGACTAATTGGCGGGTTTTCTTATATAATTAGTCTGAAAACTCACGTAATCTCGGACAAAACATCACTTAATTACCACCAGTAGTTCAGTTTCTCAAGAAACCCCCCGCTATTTAAAACTCTCGCCCAAACAAATGTACATAAAGTAAGAAAATAAACCAATTGGAAAAAAGGAAAAGCAAGTCAGTGACTAAACAGCATTAATTAAAGCAAAGTTAGGTCAAATAAAACATGCGAAATTGAGTTCGTTGGAAGAAAAATGGCAGTTATTAGCTCTGAGCCTTAAACAACGAGTTTTTATTCATGTAAAGTGGAGATTGAGTTAAAGTAGTTGAGAATAACCGAGAGAATTCACAATACGTTTGAAGACGAAGAAAAGAAAAAGAGAAAGTTTTTACAGTTAATTACTAAGATTATCAGGTAATACAAACATGGCGCCGGGCTTCTTCTTATCCTTGGAACTGAAAAGTAAACTTTCGACACAACACAATTAATGTAGGCTGCCCGATGAGTTTAATTTGAAGACGGTGACAACACTGGTTAATTGTATAAAAGTAGCAATAAAGCACCTGGAAATATTGGGTGATTATTTACTTTAAATAGAAAGTAATCAAACTCAGGGCAAGCGGATCCTTACAATAGAATTATGACAAAAATACAGACGAAAAGCAAAAATATAATGAGAGCAGGCTCGTTTGCCATCACATTGTTTCGCTTCGAAAAACAAAGCTTCTTTGGCAGCCAACGTTAAGGATTGGATCAGTTCTAACTTTAAAGACATATTATTGTATTGAAAACAGTTAGAGCATAAAGCTCGTCGATCGATAAAGCAATGAATATGACTGGTAGGCGGTTAAACTAATTAACCAGTAACTATAGTACACGCTGTAACCAGATTTAATTAAGGAGTTTCGTCGTGTCATTTGTAACAAGTTGTCTTTGAGCAACGGAAAAAAGTAATTTACTCTCGCAGTCTCTTTTTGCACATATTTGTATGTAGTACTGAATATCACCGGTATCATGACTGTGCTACGCAGAGCTTTCTGTATACAAGATTTCGGTTAAATTTTAAGTTTTTTGTGTAGCCGCTTCCTTGCCTAGGAATGGGTAGGGGTATAATCAAGCGTAAATAAACACAGTCTAATATTCTCGCCGTAAAAGATAACCACACATCCTTGCAATTTCCTGGTTACCGATGAAAGTGCCGCTTAGATAAGTGTTGAAGGAAGGCGGGAGCAAGAGCGGTGCAAGCGTGAGGTTTATAGAAAACAGCAAAGTTCGATAAGGAGCTTCCTTTTTTATGCAAACAACCACGTCAATATACTTTTCCAAATTTTTTTGCATTGATTCATACTTTAAGAGCTTCATGAGAATCATGCGCGATAATAAATAGAGCGTTTATATCTGCTACTGTGTTCGAGAAGTTGCAGTCGCACTTCTGACATTTCTGTTAGTCGTTGTAGTTAGCTTCCGCTGTTTCTTCGTAAGAAAACTTAAAAAAATCTCGTGAATAATAAAGAAAAGTGTTCATTAACGAAAGATAATAAATTGATTGTCGTGTCTTGCGTCAGTAGAGCCAGCGAGGATCATCAATCAACGGCGTTACTTCATCCGAAGCAAATCGCCTGAAGGGAATTACGGAAGGAAAGACAATGGTGTCCAGGCCGCTGGAGACTGAGTACAGACCGTCAGTTTTAGGACCCAGTTCGTCTGAAAAATCACTGCTTTTACGTTGACAGCAAACACCTAGTGATAGTGAACATAGAAAATATCACGTTTAAAAGTTTGTTCATCATACACTCTTACGCTGTTATGGCGGCAGTAACAGTTTTAAATTGCGTTCGACATAAGAGAAAACAATAGAGTGTTTCTGGGTGTCACAGATAAGAAAATTGGAGGTTTCGTGGACAATCCTCTGGCCACCTCTCTCACAATTCATGCAGGGATATCTCGAGTTATGCCTTATTAGCACACTTGTATTCACAGCGTCACTCGGTTTTGGTGACTAATACCATAAAATTCCGAAAATAAGCCCCGGGGCTTATATTTTTCAAAGGCCCTTTTTGAGGGGCTTATTTTTGGAGGGGCTTATATTCGGAGGGGCTTATCTACGGAGGGAAATTTGCGTTCCATAATCCGTTGGGCTAGCCTTATAGTCTGAAGGAAATTTACCGTTTTTGCTTTGTTTTACTGTGTATTTGAGGGCTTTCCAAGTACATGCCCCCCGGGGGGGCTTATATTTGGAGGGGCGATTGAACGGAGGGTTTTTGCGTTACGAGTTTTGGGGGGCTTATATTTGGAGCGGGTTATATATGGAGCGGCTTATTTTCGGAGTTTTACGGTACCTTCTTAGTTTGTCTCATAGTCAACAAATGTAGCCTTCTGAATACAGCTTAGCGGCGTTTGCTAATCTATATTAAACGTGGTCTCTAAGAAAAAGCGACAGAGTTGCAAAGGACCTGTTGTTTCCCATACAACTGTTTCACGTATAGCATGCATGTACTTCCAGCTATTTTTCAGGGCAAAGTAGTCACTATCGCTCTATTCATCTATCCTACTATATTTTCCACAAGTGACCACTTTTTAAAACGCTAATATTTCTCAACTGTTTTCAATTACATTTCGAAAAAAAGTTTATACTCTATTTATAACGGAATGTATAGATAAACATACCGAAAGCAAGCTTTAGTATTTGACGCTAACTCCTAGTGAGTCATATTCTTTATAGTTTTCTAATAACCATTCACTTTAATATTATTTATACTCACATCTTGTCCGCCTACAACAATCCCATCCATCCAACACCTTTAAGGCAGATACCACAGACGAAACAAGACTCGACACCAGGACGAGGCCAATTACAAGGTATAAACCCCGGATGATATATTCCAGTGTTTGAATCGCTGATGAGGGTGCGCTGCCTTTTGTGGGGACCATATCCCCAAACCCAATGGTACTCAATGCTGAAACAAACACGGTATAATGAGTTCATTTTAGGGCTAAGCATAGTTCATTGCGTGGAATGGTTAGGAAACCCGTCAGACTCCTTTGTTATATGTTTTTGTGGACCTGAAAGTGCACAACGTTCAAAAGAATTCCTATCATTTTGATTGTATTGACCAATAAAAACGTTGCATTAATTTATTCCGTAACAATTTGCCAACAGAAAACAAAGGATTGTGCACTTTCACGGTACTTCCAACATAAACTGCAGCACTGTTGTTCTTATCATTGATGTTTGCCGCTTTTCATAACCAGTCTCCTCTAATAACTGTGGGCTAAGTGAGTGACACTGCCTGTGTGTTATCCTTATATAATGTTGCCATTGATCAACTTCATCCGCAGGACTTTTTCTTCAATTAGAAAACGGAGAAGCCCTGTTGACGACGAGTATGAGCACAAACGGGTTTAGGAAGCTTAGTGACGTGGTCAAACGAGTAAAATTTGTAAAAGTTAAGCAACTGAAAGTAATGAAAAGCTAAGGTTTCTACTTTCTACTAATTTCTTGAAAAAAGAAAAGATATTTGGATAAAGTAATTATACATGTATTATACAACCTTTCCCAAGTTTCCTCTTATAATTAATGGCAAATAAAACTCAACAAGAGCAAATATCGCGTAAGGGGTTTGATCGCGATAGGATCACTAATCTACACTTCTCCGAATAAATAATGAATGAAATTCCAAGACCTCTATTGACATGCGGTAGCTCATTATAACTTTACCTATAAAGCAATAGTACACTCCATCGAAATAGCTCCAGTCCTCTGATAAATAAAGCGTTCCTCCGAGAAAGAGGAAGACTAAGACTAGTCCTGTCAGTGTTAACATGACTTTGATTTTAGTCCCCTTGCCGTCTCTGAGCTGGCGTTTGGTACTGATCATGATGAAGAAGCTTCCCAGTAGTTCGTTTATTTTATCGCCCATCACCTTCAGTGTTAACATGCACAAGGGTATTCCAACTAACGCGTAGAAAATACAGAACATTCGACCAGCGAAGGTTGAGGGTGTCATATGTCCATAACCTGGAATGAAATAAAATAGGTGATGAGTATCCCATGGCTTAGTGGTAAGCAACCTCGATTTCCCTGGGGACCCGGTTAAGTGGTAAGAGTCTGCAGTCCGTATACTGAAAGGGGGTAGGTTCGGTGCTCCGAATATTCCCTTTGTCGGAGTCGATTCTGAGTGATTCAAGATTTCGTTGAGATTTGCCAAAAACCCGTACAAAAAGTTACGACGGATTTGAACATGGCGTTAAGTAATCTCAGCAATTCAGTGCTGAACAGGATGAGTTATACTCATTCATACTCATTTATGTCTTTTTCAATCCCTTTTACGTCGAGGTTAAAAGGGGGGTCTCTCTTTCTCTGTAAGTGAAACATTCTTATGCCGATCATGTTCAAAGTACGCCCATTTATAGCTACTTTCCATACAATAGTCCGTCCAGTATGATTCGTAATCCAAACCTTACCTTTATTCTAAGATTACGTATCATCATATTTAAATTATCTCGGTACTTAGCCTGGCCCGATGTATTCCCTCATCGGGAAACGCAAAGGGAAAGATAAGCCTTTGTTTTTAAAGTACTCTGAAAATTTAGGATTGATACCCTGTGAAGGCTGACACTTTGTCGCACCATGGCAGGAAGTAGTATATGCTTAAAAACCTACGACCACTTCTAATTGAGACTTATAGATAATGTGAATGTCAAATTATAAAATACATACCAATAGTTGTTATAACATTTGCTGAAAAGTAGAGCGAACCGGAATACGTCCAGTTATAACTACTCGATGCTCTTGATGGACAAGTTACCTTCAATTTGTAAACGTTTTTTACCAAGTTATCGAATTCATCCTTCAGCATGTGTACGCTCAGGTTTTTGTGTAAGCTATCTAAAGTAGCTTGATTGATTTGTTCGTAAAATTGGTGATCTTGGCCATACTGGTTTGGACTTTCGAGGGCGTGAAAAATCCCTGCTCCCACAAATAGAAATGTAGCTACCAAAATATTGAGAATAATAATGTCTCTAACGGTAGCTTTCATGACGAACTGTTGCCTTGGAATCCACTTTAAACTTTATAAAAATACTTATTTTTTATAGTCCTGGAATAAGTTTCTGGGGCAGCCGCAAGGATCATCTACAACTTTCCAACTGGCTGGCATACAACTCTGATGAGTCAACACGAAACTGATTCGAAGTTTCTTAGTGCTAAGTTATGAATGAAACACGATTAAGAATTCCTCCAAATAGAAATGTGTTTTGGTTTAATCATTACCATGTTTTTTACCTCAGAAACTTTGTTTTTTTTACATCCACCAATTATTATAATGGCCTCCTATAGAGGGTTGTTGCTACAGCAACAGGGATTTATAGAGTTAACAAAACTTACTGTAAAAAAGCGAGACTTGTAACAATTACTATAGAGCACTGTAAGATTCGAACTATCCTCTCGGTTTAATGCCTATTTAAATATTCTTTCATGGCGTGTTAACGTTGTAAGATCTTGAGGAATTGTAATTCCTCATCTTATGAAATATTTACGAGTGAAATCAAAACACTTCATTCACAGTTGAAGATGCATTCTCATACAAAGGACCAGTAGAAACATACAAAAATAAATCTGTGAGAGGAAATAGATATAAGGTCCGCTAGAGTTCCACTGAGGGAAGTTATGATAGTTTCTGGGAGTAGCAAACTACGGCATGCAACGTTCCTGTGCATACTTGACGAGACAAAAGATTACAAGTAGTGACAAGTAATCCTCTGTATAACGGAGTTGGCCGGGTATTTACCATTTACATAAACCACCGTGGTGGAAATATTGTTCATAAACATAGAACTATACAATTTGATGCGGTGGGAGAAGGACGTCCCGCTCGGCATTTATTCCTTGACTACCTCGGAACTATCGATAACAATAAGCGCATAAAACATGGGTCACGGGCTTTATTCCTCCCGAGGAAGATTTTTTTAAAAACCTCGAAAATTACACTGTGCCTATTAAGCATTGTGTTGCCTATTTATATGCGTTTCCTCCTTTTATAAATGTACAAAAAACGTCGGAAGAGGCCGCTTCGACAGAGAGGTTTTCAAGGGAAGATAAGTTAGATTTTGGAACACAATAATTCCGACTTCCTCCAAGCTACAATAAATCGAACAATAATTTTCGTTGTTATAGAATCACACAGCTTAAAATTACCGTTTTACAGTGCCGAAACCACAGGGCGCAGAAGAGTTCTTTGTGACCTTGATTGTTGATTTTAGTTTTTAAAAATTTCACAGTTGACACCACCCATCGCCTATGTTTTTATACCGTAAAAACGAGCAAACCGTCATTCGATGAACTTATCAACCTGGGCCCAGTTCCTGACAGGCCGATTAGCGCTAATCCAGGATTAATTTTTTTTTTGCACTTTTTGTATTTACTTCCCTGTGTATTGCTCAGAGTAACAATTTGTGTTATCATTACTGTATTTCACATAGGTGTACGGGCAATTTTTTGCCAGGGAGGGCGGTAAACCATTTGCCCAAAAAATTCTCGCAAGTTGCCCAAATTTTTCCGAAAAATTCGAAAAGAAACGAGGTCCATACGATGCAACAACCTAGGTCGTACTGGCATATGAACTTGACTCGATACAGTTTTTCAGGATCAATAGCTCCCAAGATCATTGAGCATAAACTACGTCGCCATAAACCCAAACATTTGGAAAAATTGCCACCACAGTTGAATCCACTCTGGACAAGGATTCATCGGCTCATTTCATCTACCATGATCCGAATGATCTTGGATCACTGATCCTGATCCGGATCATCCCAAAGGAATGCACCCTTAGAGAAAGATGAAAATTTGTCATGATCAGGGTTGCAATTACATTGGAGTTGTCGTAGCAACGAAATGACGCCATTACCCATTTTACTTACAGCAATATTTCTCGGCACTGGGAACTGTTCTTCCAAAATCGTTCACGGGAGCTTTAAGTTTTCATCGGTGTTCGTGAATTTAAAGCGGAATCTGTAAGAGCGTTATCGAGATATTTTGGGATGAAGTTTTTATCGTTAGAAAATCTTGGTGTTTGTCCGTTATCTGTAGAGAACAAAGCGCTTTTGACCATGCAATTTCAACTCATAGTAGTTTCAATCTTTTTAAAAACGTGTGTGAAAGATCATGGAGATAGCTTTGGCCGATTGCTAGAAAGAAGTATTTGTATAGTATGTATCAAGGCGCTGATCTTGTTAGCGGTTTTGTAAACATTTCGGTCTGCTTTAAGAAACTAGGGAATAATTTTTAAACTGCTCGATAGATTTTTTTAAAAAAACTTTAAGATTCTTCTCGCGATTTAAACTGAGGATTAGTCAAGGCAATTCTTCATTTTCATACCAATTGCAGATGTTATCTGCCATACACTGTTCTACAAACGGAGATGATTCTAGAAGTTTATTCTAATCAATTCACGACTGAAAATAGCCCATTCCAGCTAGAGCAGTGCAGTACAGTGCCCAACAATAAAAAAACCACAAATATTTAAATAGACATAATGATACTCTTCCCTAATAACCAGAAACTCATCACCTGCTAGGCAACCACTGTCTCATGTGAATGTAACTGGTTTATTACGCTGACTTCAGGTTAAAATAGAAAATATTTATCTCGTAAATATAATAAAAAAAATCATGGAAACGTCTTTAAAAACTGTCTTTGACAAAATTTTCTCTTGCTGCCCAAAAAATCTGAGTTGCCCAAAATTTGGGGGGGCTGCAGCCCCCCTCGCCCCCCCGCCCCGTCCGCCTATGGTTTTTCAGAGTAAGGGCTTAACAGTATTTTGAAAGTTTGAGTTACATGACTATTCTTAGAAAAGAAAACCTTACTTAAAATTTGGCTTAATCCTGGGTTAAACTTAATCATCTTTCGAGAAACCGGGTCCTGCTAATATATTAACCAATGCTCCGGGGCTTATTTTCTGAATTTTACGGTATAACATTTTTCTTCTCGGCTCTTCGTGCCTCGGTAGGAAAGCTTCGCTTTTCAGTGACCCTCAGAAGGTTGACTTGGAAGTACCTTGTGTCTCCGTGGGAATGTTGCCTAGTTCCTAGGCCTAATTATTCCGCGCGGGCAAAGCGTTTCGGGTCAGGTTTGTCCAAGCGAAAATGGGATGCGTTAGCCTGCATAACAGGCGCTTTATGAGACAAGCGAGGCAAACATGGCATTTGGGCGAAGCGTGAAACTCGAGACGATGGGAGGAGAAAAAAAATAAAGCGCCTGTTGCCAGTCCATTGTTCTGGCTCTTCCTCCCACGCCTACGCCCACAAATATTGACTGACGGCGGTCATGTCAGAAGGACCAACGAAGAGTTGAAAACACGATCCATAAACCACAGGAAATAACTACTACGAGGACATGAATCACCTTCAATAATGTAAGACTCAGTGCGGCAAAAATAAGATTTTCTCAGTCAAAGTTCAGTTCATGTCCAAACACAGCGTCGAGAAAGAAAAGAGGGAAAACCTGTTGTTCAAACTAATTCCAAGGTCACGCTTCACATTACCACGAGCTTATGAGTCGTGTTTGGCCTGTTAACGCTTTCAAAAAGTTTAACTTTTTCCAAACCCAGTTGGAAGCAATCCAAGAACATCTTTCCTCTTACTGCACTTTTCAAAAACAAACGAACTCTGAAGTTTAAAAGCCGCCTTCACAATTGCTCTTTTCGCTGCCTTTAATTACGATCACAAGCAGCGAACCTTGAAACAGAAACACCAAACGGATCGAAATCCGCCAATCACAAGCCATGACCTTGGGCGCTTTCCATTTTGTCGAAATTTTCGGAAATTTTAGCCTGCGAAAACATCCATTTCTCCTCGCTTATCGCCGCCGCGCGAAACGTCCCCAGCGGCGAAGAGCGAGGAGAAACGGATGTTTTCGCAGGCTACGGAAATTTCGGTTCGGCAGTAAATGGAAAACTTTTCGTCGGCTCTTCCCACTGGAAAATTCCCTGAAAAAGGGGAAAATCTATAAAGGTAGGCCCGTTTTCCGGTTGGAACGTTTCGAACGGAATTTCTTGTCCCATCTACACGTTTCTCGCGGTTTATACCAGTTTCAATTGTTACCGACTCGGCAGCCATCTTGGTTTCCCATCGGGTAACGGGCTCGGCGCCTCACGGTCACCGGGGTTTACGATCAAATGGAACAAGTTTTTACCTATCGTAAAATCCATGTTTGTTCCCACCGAATTTTCCGGATTTTTTTACCTAAATGGAAAGCGCCCTTTTAAACCCGTTGAAGTAATACTCTATTTCCTACGAGGTTAGCCTGAATTTCATCCGATTACCCCGAGTCGTTATTACTCCCTCAGCGTGAGGGAGTAATAACGACTCGAAGTAATCGGATGAAATTCAGGCTACTACGAGGTCCGCAGCAGCGAAAAACGCAAACGTCAGTTGGCTTTTGAACTCCAGAATCCGCGTGTTTTTGAAAAGCGCAGCGAGCAATAAATTTAAACATTTCTTTTGTTTTTCCTTTATCTCTGGAACATTTGGAAGTAAACAAAGAACTTTCTCTAAAAGAATAGTGAAAAAGACATGACTGCGTCACGTACGGCCATTTTCCTTCCAAACAAACATGCCAGAATCTCACCAGAGCAACACGTCATCAATTAACCAATTGCAGCACGACGTTCATGTAGTGAACGTGGAAGGAGCCAGAACAATAGACTAGCAACAGGCGCTTTATTTTTTCTCGTCCCCTCGTCTCGTAATGCAGGCTAGTGAGGCGTTCACCTTGGCCTCAGTGAATTGACCGAGAGGGACTGGGAAAACGCCGTACGGGAAAGGCAAGGGGGAAATGGACGGCATTTCATTTTCCTCAGTAAATGTACGACGGAAAAGTGACACAAGGAAGGACAGAATAACAGTTTTCAAATGACAGTTCAATTGCCAATTTTTAAAGGTAGGCGGAATATTTCAATGGTGTCGATTAGACGGCACAATGCATCTTGGAAACATTCGCTCTTGTTCGATGATCGAGCTCAGCGATCGCCAATGTGCTGGTGTTCAAGCGAGCTGAATACAACGCAAAACGGGCCGGGTGAATGTGACAAAATGAAAGATCTGCAAAGGATAGTAATGATTGATCTATACCACTTTGAGTTATAGGGAAAACGAACTTTCGCTGGTGAAAAGCCCCAAACTGGCAAGCGAAATACCTTTCGATCAACAATGACTCTAGTTTTCAGGATTATACCTCTGGCCTTAGTGAAAGATTCCAGCTCGTCTCCACTGATAGCAATCAGGTTCTGTCTCTTTTTTAAAAAACTGAACAAATCTAAAGGAGCTGGTCTCGATGGAATGTCTAGTCGGCTTATTCTTGATTGCGCTGATTTGATTGCACCTCATATTTCAATTACATTTGATAGTTCTTTAGCTAATGGTTTTCCCGCCGGTTGGAAGTCTGCGAGGGTTGTTCCTCTATCAAGCATGGCGAAAGAAGCGATATAGACAATAATCGTCTCTATAACTGGTAAAGTATTTGAAAGAATTATCTATAATCAATTCTTTGCCTATTTATCGGATCATAATAGCACTAATCTGGGCTCTGCATGCTTCATTCAACAGTTACATCCTTATAGAGTACTAAAGTGTGACGTCATAAAAATGAAATTTCTGAAATTATGGGATTTGTCAGGATATTCTGAAAGAACAATGTCCAAGAGGCCTACTTGCAAAAACTTGCCAAAAATGAGCATTTCGGGGCAAATTGTCTCTGAGATAGTAGCCCAGTTATACTTAGAAAACTCCAAACAAACCCTTCTAAATTTTTTTGGGTCGACCCAATGTTTATTTTGCAACAAAACAATAAATGCTAATAACAAAACGCGAAGAAGTAACAAAGCAAGGTTTCTGTAAACTACTCTGAAGAAAACTCCGTCCTCGGGGAAGTCTCTTATTAGAATTTATTCACTTAAGTGGGTGGGGTGGGGGTGAGCGCTTATTTGAGTTTGATTGGGAGGAGGAGGGGGTGGATGCTTATTAACTTTTTCGCCCTTTAGGATGGGCGCTTATTCGAGGTGGGCGCTCATTCGAGGTTGGGTGCTTATTCGAATAAATACGGTAGGTCATGTTAATGCTGTTGTTTTCCTCACAGTCGATGACCACATTCTATTGTCTAAATTACCTCTCTATGGTCTAATAGGTGTTTTCCATAAATAAAGATATTGTTCTCCTCCTAATTAGATAATTGTACCCAGAAATGCGTTGTCAATGCTTCCCTTACAGAATGTTGCATCCTCAAGTGTGGTATTCCCCAGTTAACAATATTAGGGCCTTTACTGTTTCTGCTAGTATATCAATGATTTACCCAATTGTCCGTCTCACTCTGTGCCAAGAATGTATGCTGATGATACCCATCTGACTTATTCAAATGGTAATATCCCCTCCATTCAGTCTTCCCTGAATGAGGACTTGCTCAGCATAAATCGCTGGCTTACTGCAAGTAAATTAACGCTAAATATGTGAGTTCATGTTAATCGGCTCAAGGCAAAAGCTTAATAATCTACCTTCTCTGCCTTCCTTGAATATAACTAATGCTCCAATCAAGCATTCTCATTGCTCTAAGTCTCTTGGCATGCTTATTGACAAAAATCTAACATGGGAAAACTATGTTGATGCTTCATCTAAAAAAATTGCATCTGGTATTCAGGGGTTTCATTAAGCATCGGAGATCGAAGAATTCTCCATCTACTATGCATAATTCTCCTGCTAAATTTCTGACAATGAAGTATGGCTATTTTTTATTCAGACAAATCTGATTTGGATACGTTATGTAAAAAGAAATTATTCCCAGAAATGCATAATTTTAGCACTTAGCCACTTGCTTTACATTCCTAAATAAATAACTAATACATAAAAGACCTTATTTAAATGCTAGCAGTTTTAAGCCCAGCAAAACTAACAGTGGAGATGTAAAATATGAGACGGTTTGCTGAAGAGTTGAGAGTTGACTGTATGCTCGACCCTTTTTTATTCGCACATGAAAAATTATTAAATGAGTAAATGCTAATGAAACAAAACGTGAAACAAAATAAAGTACATGATGAACAAATCATTGTGGGAAAGTTACGACAAGAAATGTTTAAGCAATAAGAATCAAGTACCTTTATGAATAAAAAGAACGATTTCTTTGTGAACTGCTATGGAAATAAATTTGGCGATTTTTGCCGTATAAAAACGACAAAGTATTAAATTATTATGAAGCAAATGCAAATTTTGATTTTTCTATTTTAACGATGACTTCTAAAACCGCACATTATAAATATTATTGTAACTGCAAAATCTTTGACTGGCTTTCGGAAACTGTTAATTTCTAGCTTGAGCACCGCAGTTATGCAAAACAGGCTTTAATTTTATAAATTAATTTTATTTATTTATTTATTTACCTTAACATTCGTTGTCGTAAATGCTATTATCGTTAATTTTATAGTTTGTAAACATTTTTAGGATATTGTATATTATTTTACAGTCTATTTAACCTGATTGTTTTTACCGTGTATAAATAAAAGTGATGTTATGATGATGATGGTGATGGATACCGACACATATTAGCATCTGAGATGAAGCTCTTCTGATGTACACAGCCCTGACTTTTACAATTCTCTGACATGAAAAATAAGCTTACATTTTCTATTGACTCGAATCTCATGAGAATAAGGCCCATAAGTTGTCTCTTTTTATTGGAGCATTCCTGGCACCTTTTGTGGAATAACAGAATATTAAAGCTATAAGAGTGGCAATATTATTAAAATAATGTTGTGTCACCCTGGGGGGAGGGGGTGTGGGAGACTGGGACTGCCATATGATGTGGTGGGGATGCTTGTCGTCTTGCTTAGGGGTGTAAATTTCAGATTAAATGAACAGTCTACGCTTATTAATAATAATTGTTACAAACTACAATATTATTAAACGCAAAAAATTATTGTCTTTTAACACAGTAGTTTTATGATGATTGTGTTTTAATAACTGTATCATTCGTTATTTAAAATACAGTAACCAACATCGCTCCTGGCAGTGAAACAATCTTCTGCTGCCATGGCAACCAACTCAGAGAGACAGATATGGGAAACACTTACAGACAGCTTGTTAATAGATATATTGACCGAGGGATATCTACCTGATGTATCTGCAGCACACCAAGGTAAATACCTCTGGTATTATTTAAAAAAGACACTCTATAACCCTTGACTTATGAATTTGTACTGGAGGACAAAGTTTTAAGGCTGTTTTTTAATTATTGGCATTGGGATTGAAAGGAGCTTTGTCAAGCTATTTGCTATCTTTTTAGAAAGCTAAACCTTTGTTTCCAGCTATTGAATTCCAAAAATGATGGTCCAGTTTTGTTATTTAAGACTATAATAAATTATTTAGGCATTGAACCTGTTTCCAGTCATCTGTTAGAACTGATGGCAAGGATCATGGACATGAATTAAAACTTGAAAAAGTTTTGGGCCAACTTTTTCAAATTTTGATGCCTTGCCTGTAGAAAGAGAAAAACAAAAAATATAATTATTTTGTATTTTGTATTTTTTTTTGTACTCCATCCTATAATACATTAGTTGTACAATAATACAATAGTTGTACAATATCAATAATACATTAGTTGTACAATATCAATTGGTATAAAGTTGCTTAAACTATGTGTACATAATAATAATAATAAAAGAAGAAAATTACAGTGGAGAAGGGCACATTATAGTAAAACTAATCATGGCCCTTTAACAAGATTGACTTTATTCTTTTGTAGTTTTGTTATTCATTAAAACACAAATTAACACGCACTCATTAAAACACAAATTAACATGCACGCATGCACACACACCTGCCCAGAAGTCAATATTGAGCAAGATAATATTTTTTAAGTGCCTTTTTGAACGATCGTCATTCACGTCTTTCTTCTTTCCTTTCTTTGACATATTCAAATAAAAGACAACAGGAACTCTTACACAGGAACTCTTACACGAAAAAAAACTAAAGAATTTAAAGTCTCAAAAAGGCAACAAATAACGCAAACTACCCAGCTTCAAAAAACGCGGCCATCATCATCACTGACCGCTGACTGCCGACCGTTACAGAAAAAAAATATTCTTCATTACCAACAGTTTGTTGAACAATTTGTAATAAAAAAATTGTAGTGGTTGGGGCCTCCTGATGAAATTTGTTTGATATCTTTTCCATATCTCTAATGGAACATTTTTGTGTATGGGTAAGGGCACCAAGTAATGACATACCGTATTTTCTTGATTTAACGCCGGTCACCAATTAAACACTGGCCTCGAAAAAATGCTGTGTCAGAACTGCTGATTTTTAAATAATGATGCCTGGGGTGTTCAATTTGAGCCCTGGCAAGGTTACAAGAACCAGTTACAAGTAAATATAATCTCGTGAACAGCTATGAAATACAAAGTAGTGTACAGTATGTTGTTTTGGTATTTTAATAAAATAATGTTCTTAAAAGGAAAGATGTACCACTGTAACATAACTAGGATGGATACTGCACATCAAAATGTACAGTACCATAATACTGTAACTATGAGTAATGTACATACAGTTGTCATCCTTGAAGTTCCTGGGGCAGGACAAAGGGTAAAATCATCCCACCTGACAAACTGCTCCTGGGTCTCTGAGGATCAGTAATAATAAATCAACCTGAAAAAGTGACGGAGAATTGCATTTCATTAATAAACGCCGGACCCTGATTAAATTCCCAGCTTAAGAAAACTTGAAGGCTGGGTCAAAACTACCAATTTTTAAGCAAACGTCAGTAGTGTTTAATCGAGAGAATACAGTAAGCACAGAATTGACCAATGACAACAATATCCTCTTGACGTATAAGCCCCTTGAAAGTGGACGACTTAATAATCAGAAATGTTTTAGAGTGTTTTGCTTTTTCAGTTAACAGTAATGAGAAATAATAAGACATTACATAATTTTTATTCTTTGTAGGTCCTTACCTGGAAATTCTTGAACAACCTAAACAGGTAACAAAATAGAAAAATATAATATTATTTTTCTACATTTAGTCCAAGTGAGGTTTTGATGTTAGTTGTTAATGTGGTTCAATTTATTGTATTTGGTTTGAATATTATTTTATTTTCCTTTGTTTTCATACCCGACCATACCTTTCAATTTATACAATGGAAATTAAAACTTATCTGAAGATTAGACTTGAACCACAGCTTATGCATGCCACTTTAAATGTAATATTTTTTTCTTTGTTTTTTTTAGAGAGGCTTTCGTTTCCGGTATCCTTGCGAGGGCCCATCTCCTGGAGGCTTACCAGGCCAATATTCTGAGAAAGGCAATAAGTCATATCCCTCAGTTCTACTGAGTAACTATCATGGCCCTGCCCGTATTGTTGTGTCATTAGTAACAGTCACCGAGCCTTACCTGCCACATGCACACAGTCTAATTGGAAAGAATTCCAATGATGGGGTGGTGACAGTACCGACTGGCCCAGAGTATGGAATGACAGCAAGGTATTGTAACTTGGACATTGTAATTAAGGTTAAGTCATACCTGCCAGAAATATGCCTTTTGGAAAGAGTTTTTTGCAGCGTGCCACACAGAAATTCCTGTTTCTTTTTATGGGAGGTCAGAGTTCTCATTTATGTTCAGTTTTATAGATCTTTCCTCATTGATTCCCCCTTTTGAAAATGTCTCCACATTGCCATCCAACTCAGGCCTGTAGCCAGGATTTTTTACCAGGAGGTGTGATCTATCGCAGAGATGGACCAAACAATGACAGAGGTGCTAGTTTCTGGGTTGGGGGGAATTACGTTGCTTGAGACTGCATTTTGAGCATTTTGAATAACTTTGTTATTTTCAAACTTTTTATCTTCAAAAGTAACTTTTTTTTAAACAGAGTACCGGTACTTTATTTTTCAATTTTTAGAATGGAAATGTGGGATGTTTAAAAGAAAATTAAATGGGAGAAAGAAAGTTGTAAATCCTTATTATTTGCTAGGTTTGATGCATGATGTTTGCATCATGATCTTTCAATAGTGTACCAAGCTCAAGCTTCCTTGGTTGTTTCTTAGAAACAGATCAACCAAAGACTTCTTTCTTGTCAGTGTATGTTAGATAATGGATGTGTTCATTACCTAGTGAAGAGAGCCTCTCTTGTGCCATGAATACTACTTTTTGGCCACAGAAAACAACTTATATTTTAAACAACCCCCAAAGACAAAAGGGCCTTACAAAAAGGAACAATGCATACCACAATCTCCTTCAAGAGAAAAAAGATCTGAGATCCACCCCTTGTAATTGGAAGGAGTCCACCAGTAGCTCCGTAAGTAGCCTGTGTAGGATATGTTTCCGTGCAGTTTCAGGGCAAAGAACGAGGAATAAGAGTCAAAGACCGAGCGAAAAACCAGCTCTTGTAGGCAACCACCTCCCAGAAGCCATCACCTATTCAAAACACCAAAGTTTTCGCGGTCAAAGCCGTACAGTTGAAACCTTTCACAAATGACCACCTTCTGTAACTGACCGCAACCACTTTTGGGGCTGACTCTCTTCAATTATTTTCCTAATATTGTTTTTAACCTCCTGTAAGCTATATGTTCTTATCTCTATGTATGCTCCACGTACTGTCTTACTTAAAGGATATGAATCTGAACTTTTAATGACTGCAGGGAACTACACAATCATATAGACCATCAAGTGGGTGTGTCCAGACATGACTTCTCAGGAGGGACCACCTGTTGTTCGATTCTTGTAAAAGATCACCTATCATAAGCAACCACTTAGTTTTTGCATTTTGGGTCGTCACTTATCAGAGGTTCATTTTTAGAAGATCCTTGACAATCAATAGCTTATTACTGTGGTTATTTAATACATATGATTGTTAATAATATATTTTTTTATGATGATGATAATTTTTCAATTTTAGTTTTCCAAACCTTGGTATTCAACATGTAACAAGGAAGAGAGTGTCTAAAGTGCTGATGGATCGATACCTTAAACTTCGGACAACCATCAATGCACTAACAGTGGACAGCAAGGGGCTTGATGCGGATGCAGCGATGAGGGATCAAGGTTTGTTGAGAACTTTGCCCCGTTCACTAGGGTTTCCAGATCAACGAAAGCTACACTGAGACAATCAGTAGAGTCGATTGTATTTAATCACTTGGCTCACTTGTATTCACTCGTTACAGCAGTTGTGCAAGAGCTACTCTCTCAAACATGGAAAAGAACGCTCGATTTCATACTAGTATACATTAGATATGATTGGTTGTTGCTAGGCGGTAATCAGAAAAAGGTCAATCAATTCTTGCAGCTAAAGTGTTCATTGTCTCATAAAATCTAGACCTAATTTAAACATCCGTGTCACTATATTGTCACGTAACATGAAGTCTCCGACACACTCCCCCATGCAGCATTGCATACAAGGGTGCATTCAATACTCAGGAGACTGAAACATCTATTTTTACGATTCCGAAAATAATCAAAGGCTAGATCGAAAACTTCGCTAGTAATCACTCTGTTCAAGTTCAAAATTGTTCAATTTCTTCATTATAAGCAATCTCCTTTATTCTGGCAGCTGCCGCAGCCGCAGCGGTTCTTCTAGGTCTGAAAATTGGCGCGTTATGGTTCAACCGCCGTTCTGTTCCTGCTGGCACTGTGGGTTCGCACTGCAACTCCAACGGGTACAGGTGCTGAACAGGACGCTCTATAACTCCCTTACTGGTTCTCAGCTGCACTGCACGGATGTGGCCGTCACGTCCTGGGTAGGTCTGTTGGACAATAGCTAGTGGCCACTTCCCTCGATTCTTGCTGTCTGATCGTACTAGCACAGTGTCGCCAACTCTGACTCGATAATTTGCCGTTTTGTGTACCAGGTTGTGGCGCTCTCTCAGGGCGGTTAGGTACTCACGTTGCCATCGGTTCCACATGTGGTCTTTGCAGGTCTGCAAATATTTAGCTCGTCTGCGCAAATTCGGGTCTTGAATTCTCCAGGCCTGTTCCTCAGGAAGCTGGTTGGTTCGTTGGAACATAAGGCTAGCCGGCGTCAGGATGGGCAGCTCAACATCGTCTTCAACGTAACCGAGTGGGCGACGATTAACCTGAGTCTCTACGTCCAGGATTACTTCATTCAATTCGCTCCAGGACAGTGTAGCTCCCCCTATGACCTTGTACATCGCTGTCTTCACAATTCCGATCAGGCGTTCAAATTGGCCGCCCCACCAAGGGGCGCGACTTAGGTTGAATTTCCACTGTATGTCATGGGACTCCAGGAATCCTTGCAACTGCTCGTCGCTTCGTACTTGCTTCAACCACTTGGCAGCTTTGACAAACGTGCTACCATTATCAGAGTAAATGACAGCCGGACGTCCTCGTCTGGCTATGAGGCGTTTGAGACATGGCAGGAACGTACTAGTTTCCAGGTTGGGAACCAGCTCTAGGTGTGCTGCTCTCGACAGACTGCAAGAGAATATCACCAGGTATGCTTTCCCTTCTCGTTTCTGGCTCAGTCTGTAGTAGATTGGTCCCGCAAGGTCTGTTCCGATGACTTCAAAGGGAGCCCTGCCATGGGTACGGTCTGTAGGTAGCGGTCCAGGGGGTGGTACTGTTAAAGGTAAAGCTCTGAAACGTTTACAGCCCCAACACGCGGATCGCACAGACTTAACTAGCTGTCTCAGAGTTGGGATCCAGTATTCTTCACGGATTGCTGCCATGGTGAGGGATACACCTCCATGTAAGGTCTCGGCGTGCGTACGCTGTACAAGCTTTCTTGTAAATAGGCTACCAGCTGGCAAGTAGACTGGGTACTGTCCTTGAACTCTGCCATGGCATTCGAGCACCCCGTCAGCATTTGGAACGAGGTTGAGTTCACGCTTGGTCTGTTCAAAGTAAGGCTTTTTCGCGTCTTGGGACTGGACCCTTCTTATCCACCAATTCTTTGACTCTTGTATGTCTTCGCTAGTTAGTGGTCCTTTGCGCGCTCTGTGAGTTGTGAAACGTCGCACCCAAGCTTGGATGCGTAGTGTTCGACGGAGATCATGTCGCTCGAGGAGTTCGTCGAACACGTTTCGTTCTTGTTTAGGTTGTACGTTTGCTAGGCTAAGCACTTCTCTGATTACTTTCGCCTCTTCTTCAGAAGCTTGAGTTTTTTCTGTAACTGGGTTCTCTGGCCAATTTTCTGGATGACGCAGCCATGATGGACCATTCCACCAGAGCTCTGCATTAGTTACCTGGCCTCCTCGGCTCGCTAAGTCTGCTGGGTTATCGCTAGTAGGCACGTGTCTCCACTGAATCTGTGGGTGTTGTTTTATCTTCTGCACGCGGTTAGCGACGAACTGTCGGTACAGACCATTTCCTAGTATCCAGTGGAGGGCGACGGTGCTGTCCAGCCAACCGTAGACCGTGGGCTCAGGTAAGTCTTTCAGCGCGTTTCTCACGTTCACAACTAAATTGGTAGCCATATGGGCGCTGACCAACTCCAACCTTGATACGGTTAGGTTTCTTTTGGCCAATCTTGCTTTCGCCACTACAAGGGTTTGTGTGATTCCATCTTCTTGGCGTACGACCGAGTACACCGCTGCTCCGACTCCATGGGTCGATGCGTCTCCGAAGACATGTAACTCGAATGAGAGAACTGGTTGCTGATGTGGTGCAATAGGTCTTCGTATGGTTACTTCGTCTGGGAGTGAATGTTCCCACTTAAGCCATCGTACTCTGAGATTCTCTGGGATAGGTGCGTCCCATGCTGCTTTGTAGTCGCACACTTCGCGGTAGATTTGTTTGCCTTGCAATGTCACAGGGCTAACCAGGCCGAGAGGGTCATACACTTTCGATAGTTTGGCCAATACTTCGCGTTTTGATATTGCGCTACTTGTGTTTACGACGGGAAACTGTACAGCGATAGTGTCCTCAACCTTGTTCCACTTGACTCCTAATAGTTTTGATTCACTTGGCTTGACTTGCAACTGTTGCTTTGCGTACGACTGCTCTTCGGCTTCTGCGGGAGAGTTGGCGCTCTTTTCACGCGTTTTAAGCTGGGTACTTTGTATTTCTGTTTCTTGTTGGCGGCTATCTTCTTCAAGCTCTGGACAGTTGGAATGCCACTTGTGTAGCTTGAATGTGGCGTCACTCATGATCTCTTGCGCTATCTCTTTTCGCGCTTTAGTTTGCTGCTCGTTTTGACCGCCTGTTAACAAGTCGTCTACGTAGAAACTTCGGCGCAACCGTTCAGCCTCTTCTGGGTATCTCTGCGCCCAGCTATCGAAGTGGTATTCAAGCACACCGCCCAGCAGAAAAGGCGAAGGGCCAAGCCCAAAGAGCAAACGTGTGAACCTGTAAGTCTCCACTTCAGAGGTGCCGTCAGTCTGCCAATGGAATCGGAGTGCATCTCGTTCGCTCTCATGGATTCGAATCTGTAGGAAAGCTTTCTGTATATCTCCCGCTAAGACTACTGGGTAGGCTCTCTGTTGGACGAGCACGTCCCATAGTCTGTTCTGAAGTGGGGGTCCTGAGTATAAACAGTCGTTCAGGGACGGGGAATTGGGTGTCGCTCGGGCAGAGGCGTCATAAACAATTCTCATCTTTGTGGTTTCAGCGGACTTGCGAATTACGCACTTGTGAGGGATGTAGAACTCCTTTTCTGGCTGGGAAACAGGGGGTGCCTTTTCGATAACTCTTTCAGTCAGCTGCTCCTGAATAATACCATTGTATTTGACAGTAAGATCTTCACGTTGGAGTTTTCTGGTCAGGTTCTTAAGTCGCTTGAGGCTGCCTTCCTTGTTTGAGGGTAGTGGTGAGTGATTTGCCTTCCACGGCAAGGTAGTCTCGTACCAGCCCTCTTGCGAACGCGTTAGTTGCTCTTTAAATTCTTCGTACACCATTGCCTGGTCATGATCGGCCACGTCACGTAATCCCAAGACGTCTAGTTTGCACAAGTCTTCATAGTCGCTTTGACTTGTTTGGGTAAACAGCATGATGTTTTTGTCGAACTCCTTTCCAGGGGACATAAGGAACCATCCGAACCTGGTGAGTTCCGCTACGGGGTCATTTTCTCGTCCGATTCTCGGTTTCGTTTCAGTTTTGATTCTGGCATACTCTCCGCTGCCAAGCACCACGTGGACCGGAAGAGATGCTTTCGTGTCATCATCAAACAAACCCTCTCCGACTTGGTTTGTAGTCAAGGCGACCCCTCTCGTAGGTGTTGGCTGATTAGTTTCTTGCCTGGGTGCATCACAAATGGACGTGTGGTGACGCTTGCGGCATTGCTGACAGGCCGATTTGCTGGGACAATATGCGGCGCGATGGTTTCCGGCGGTGCAGTTGAAACACAGACGTTTGTTGAGGAGAATTTGTCTGCGATCAAAGACATCTGTCACTTTTGTACATTCGACGGCTTTGTGATCTTCGCCGCAGTACACGCAAGGCCAACAGCGGGGTTTTAAATTGGAGCCACGACGCGTGTGGTAAATTCTTGCCTGCTGGCGTAAGTTCTGTTTTGCTGTTTGTTGTTCTGTTTGTTCGCGCTGGTTTGTATCTGCCGGATTCCTCCTGGTCCACAATCGAACTGCCTCTGAAAGTTTCGCAAGGTCCCAGCTTTCCCAGCTTGGGTCGATCCGGACGAGATCTCCACGGATCGCTGGCAATTTGTCTAAAGTCATGGAGGCCGCTCCATTGACCTGTTCCAGTTTGTTTAATGTCTGTAGAGCTTGCACGCAATACGTTAGCTTTTCGCTAAATTCACCAATTTTCCTCGGGTTTGCGCTTGAAATTGAGGGAGATCCAGAATCTCTTTGATGTAGGCTTTGACGATTTCTGACTCCTTTCCGAACCTCTCGTTTAGGATACTCTTCGCCCGATTGTATCCCTCTGCTGTGAAGGGCAACGCCTCTATTGTTCTTTTTACTTTGAAGTCCAATAGTTCTCGAAGGTAGGAAAATTTCGTGATCGGTGGAACGCTCGTTTTATCGATTGTTTCAGTGAACTGTCCCCAAAATCGTGGCCAGTCTTTGTAGGTACCGTCGAACTTCGTTATCGTCAGTTTAGGCAGCTTAGCTTGTATGTCGCTTGGCGTCGTCATCGCTTCTTGGGGTGTGCCGTAGCTTGGATTTCTGCCTGCATCTGTATCTTCGCTTTGTGGAACTTAAGTTCTTCTTGTTTGACAACTGCTTCTGCTTTCTTTTTCGGTCATCGACCCATGTGCGCATTTTATCCACTTCGTAATCTGCCTTTTCCAGTTGTGCGTCAATCCCGCTATTCCGCGCCTCGATGTCGGCAATCTCTTCCTTCGCTGCTAGTTTTGTCGCCTCCACTTCTAGACGCATTCGATTAATTTCTGTAGTGAGGGACCGTAAGGTGGAAAGATGTCTCTCGATCGCTTCTGCCTTCCCTGCTTCTACGATGGTGTTCGTTTTTCCAATGCTCATTTTCAGCTGTGTGACCTTGATATCCAGATTTGCTTGGGTCGCTTCCATCTTCGCACGGGCAGAAAATCAGGACTAATTATACTTACAACAGTTGTTCTTATCCTTCTACAGTCCCGTCGGAGGTGCCACTTGTTGAGAACTTGCCCCGTTCACTAGGGTTTCCAGATCAACGAAAGCTACACTAAGACAATCAGTAGAGTCGATTGTATTTAATCACTTGGCTCACTTGTATTCACTCGTTACAGCAGTTGTGCAAGAGCTACTCTCTCAAACATGGAAAAGAACGCTCGATTTCATACTAGTATACATTAGATATGATTGGTTGTTGCTAGGCGATAATCAGAAAAAGGTCAATCAATTCTTGCAGCTAAAGTGTTCATTGTCTCATAAAATCTAGACCTAATTTAAACATCCGTGTCACTATATTGTCACGTAACATGAAGTCTCCGACAGGTTTAGCTGATGGTGATCTGTCAGAATTTAATAAAAATGTGGCTGAAGCAATAACAAGTGAGTTACAAAAATTTAAAATGAATAATTCTAATGTACAGTTTACTTCAACAGCTGTACCCTTAACAGTCTGCTCATGTAAAACAATTTAATTTATTACACAAATAGAAAATTGAAGAAAAATGCAAGTTTGTGATATTTTTTCACAGTCATTTTTCAGTTGGCATACATACATTTGTAACACTAGCATTTGACTTCTAATCAAAATGTCCGCTCTACAGACCCGAGCCCTGAAGTTGAAGTTTTGATGTTTTGTTTTTGGTCTTTTTTTAGTTAATGTGGGTTTTGACATCTAAAATAAATGTGACAAATGTATATATTGCTGGTAAAAATGAAATCCATGTGAAAATTTTTAACATAGGTAGATTCTCATCAAGTTCTTTTGTCTCCTAGGGCCAGGAACCCGTTTCTCGAAAGTCTTGGTAACTTTTTGGGCCCGAAATCAAATATTCAAATCGAAATATAAAGAATGAGAGCGCGGGTCCTGGCTAGCAGACTACTCCATTTTGTTTCACTTACTGATAGTTTTATCATGCTAGATGCAAAACTATTGAAACCTCGGTCTTTAATGTAAACGGAGACAGCTTACCAAGCCCGTTAATTATCGGGACTTTCGAGAAACGGGCCCCAGGAGTCTTAAAATGGCTGTATCTTGTTCATCTTAATTAGCCAATTAACACTAAACAGTTCCTGTCATTTTTAAATCAGACAGTCAGTGGGTGCAGGGTAACGGAGTTCTATTTATCTGATTTACAGAGGAGGAGTCGCGCAAAATCCGGCAGATGGTTGAGGAGCAGACGACTAACATGAATTTGAGTGCTGTGCGACTGTGCTTTCAAGCCTACCTTCCTGATGAGAGTGGCTGCTTTACTAAAGCATTGCCACCTTGTATCTCAGATCCAGTTTATGATTCAAGTACGATGGTTCTTAAGTGTTGAATACAAAAATTATTGTAAATCCAAACACTAACAATGTGCATAGATTTTTCATTTTCTTGTCTTCATATTTACATTAGCATGTGCATCGTTCTGGCTCAAAAATGTTCTGCCCTCCCCCTTCCCCCAGTGTTACGTACATGTACTTTGTGTATTTTACCCTCCTATTCTCACAGCCACCTCTTTACAGCAGCCATTATTCACTTTGTCCGCAAGGTTGAAAGGCCATTATAGAGGGATTTGACTGCAGTTGGGGGAATGCATTTATTTGAACATCAAGTGTAGATTGTCTCTGGTCTCTGTTGACTGTCTTTCAGAAGCCCCATCAGCTTCTAATCTGAAGATTTGTCGCATGGATCCCAACACTGGCTATGTTACAGGAAATGATGAGGTCTACTTACTTTGTGATAAGGTTCAGAAAGGTAAACTTCATGCGATTTTTTAATTGTGCATGTGTCTGTGGGGATCAGAAGCTGATGTCTAGTTAAACTTTCCGTGTACTCAGTTTTGAATCCACCAGCGAGAAGGGCATAGAAATTAGTCATTGGATGATGGTTTCTGTTATAGGTAGCAATTTAACTACCAGAGTTATAGGTATATATGGAGACATGAAATGTGTTTCAACTTTAATTAATTTTGAGCTTGTGAATCTACTAGTGCATGAAATCTTGTGGTGTGAATAATTAAACAACAGACCACACTTTCTATGGGCTTACCGCCGTGATAGCCCACGCAGGATGTTGGAAGAACACAAGAAAAGCTTTTATAAAATAACTTTAAGTTTCCTATGAGTTTACTGGCACAATTAACCAATCAGAATGCACGTGCTATCTTAGTTATTTCATAATCACTTATATCATCTTTAAAGTAGTCCATATTCTTGCAAATTTATTTTTCGAAGGGGTTGAAATATTCAACCTGTGTTACTGCTGTATCTTCCACCAAACCTTTTTTATAAAATATGTAGAACAAAAGTTGGTTGCCTCTTGAGTAGCTCTAGTAGCCTGCATAGCAGGCAGTTGTTGGTGTGGTTTTTGTTTTTTTGCTCATAAAGTAGATACAGCCATTTAAGCTGTACAGAGTACAAAGATAGGGTAGCCTGGGGCAAGGGAAAGTCAAGGCAGAAAACTAGGTTCTGCTTTCACGTGACTGTATATCTGTATATCTAACTTTATGAACTAGACCTAAAAATTTGCCAAAAAGCAGCCAGTTTAAAAAAGTTAGTAACAAAGAATATCAGAGCTAGTTTAGGAAAGTTGTAGTTATGGGTTTTATTCAGGGTCACACTTCTCCACAATAGACATTAACAATTACTAAGGCAAAAACTATGGATACTCTTCTCTGTTTTTTATATGCGGTACTGTACAATTAGACAAAAGACAAATAAGACAAATAATAGATGGCAAACGTACACAAACTTAACAAAAAACATGCAAACTTAATTAAGAGCATACAAACTTAATAATAAGCATGACAATGTAATTAAGAACATTCAGACTATCTTTACTGAGTATATGCATGCGTATTATCAAGTCTGCGTGATCTTTATTAAGTTTGCATGATTTTTGTCAAGTTTGCACGCGTTTTATTACGTTTGCATGCTTATTATTAAGTTTGCTTGTGTATTATTAATTTTGCATGTTTTTTGTTAAGTTTGTGTACGTTTTGCCATCTATTATTTGTGTCTAGTGTCCGTATCGGCCACCGTAGGTAAATGCACAGCAGCGAGAACTTTTTTTGGGTGTTGTTCCATATGGAATGAAAATAGCCTGATCCATTGCTAAAGGGTATGTATGCTCCATCCATCTTTAATAGCTTTGAACTTGTGAATCAGTTTTTTTTTTGTTTTAATTTATGCCTCTTGCGTTGTAGATGATATTGAAGTTGTGTTTTATGAGACTGAACCTTACACTGGCAAGAGGTCATGGGAAGCTCAAGGGATCTTTACTCCATCAGATGTTCATAGACAGGTGCGGTTTATAGGCAGTAATAATTACTTAAAATAACCCATTTGTTTAACCTCAATGAATTAAAGAAATTACGTGACATCTGTAATATGTGAACTGTTGTAGGTTGCCATCGTGTTCAAGACACCTGCATACTGGAATGTTGCGACTGAAAATCCTGTTAAGGTTCATCTTGAACTGAGGCGGAAGTCAGATCAGGAAACCAGTGATCCTGTGGAGTTTACTTATCAACCACACGTGTTCGGTATGTGGCTCTCTTTCTGAGAGACTGTTTGGTTAAAAACAACGATAGCTGTCGCTACAGTGTTGACAGAATCATCGAAAATTCGTTGTTTAAATTGTGTGATAAATATTAAATATGCAAGTACATAATTGTTGTAAAAACAAAGATGTTGATTTGAATCTATTTTGCATAAAAAGAATATGTGTGTTACAGGTCAAAAGTAAATTCAAAATAATTGTAAACACGTAAGAAGGATACAATCTGAAGTAAAGTAGTAAATGCATACAATGGAACTTCGATATAACGAACCTCCATATAACAAAGTCCTTGGTATAACAAACGATTTTTTTAACCCTAGTAATAGTCAAGTATATTAAAAAAGACCTCGATATAACGAAACCTCGTTATAGCAAACAAATTTTGCCAGTCCCTTGGCCCTTTGTTACATCGAGCTTCCACTGTATTTAACAGCTTTTTCTTCGTCAACGTTGTGTCATACTTTTAACCCTGTAGATTTCTTTGTTGTTTAATCATTATTTGTATTTTTTTGATTGGTGCACTGCTAAAAAATGAACGTTATTTTTAAATGAAGAGTGAAAAATTTTAAAGAGCCTTGGTCTAGCAATTTAATTTGATTGGTTAATTCATAATTGTGTGTTTGACATGTTCCACTGATTTGATAATATCAATAATGGAAATTAGATAGCCAAGGCTTGCCTGATAGCATTTACAGGAATAACACTAGAATTAATTGCAAGATTTGTTGTTTTATTGGGATATAAATATTGCCTTTTGTTCTTAGACATGGGTAGTGCTGGTGGAGGAGGTTTTGCTGATTTCGCTGGGTTTGGATTGTTTCCAACCTCTAACTTAATGGGATTACAGGGTCCCAGTAATCAAGGTGAGTTTAACAGAAGGTACTTGGCTCTTTCATGTTGCTCTCTTTAGGGTGGCTCGATACAGTTTTTCAGGGTCAATACCTCCCAAGTTTGAGCATAAACTACGTCTCCATAAACAAAGATTTGGAAAAATTGCCACCACAGTTGTATTAGGTAAAGATGAAAATTTGTTATGATGAGGGTTGCAATGACATCGGAGTTGTCTGGCAACGAAATGGCGCTATTAGCTATTTTACTTGCAGCAGTATTTCTCGGCACTGTGAACTGTTCTGCCAAAATCGTTCACGGGAGCTTTTTCGTCCAACAGCCGCCTCGATGTTCGCGAAGTTTAAGCGAAATCTGTAAGAGCGTTAACGAGATGTTTTGGGATAAAGTTTGTATGGTTAGAAATACGATTAAAAATGGACAATCTTGATGTTCGGTTTTTATCTATAGAAAACGAAGCGCTTTTGACACCTCATAGTATTTTCAGTCTTTTTAAAAACGTGTGTGAAAGATCATGCAAATAGCTCCAGCCGATTTCCAGAAAGAAGGATTTGATTAGTATGTAGCCAGGCGCTGTTGTTAGCGGTTTGTAAACATTTTGGTCTGCTTTAACAAACAAGACGCTATGGGAGCGTACACTTCGGCGCCTTGGTTGTGGATTAATTGTGAATGCGGAGGAATAGTAAGAAATGGTATTTTTCCAGATACCCTTCCTTACATATACCCCTACTTTTCTCCTTTTGTGTAACAGACGTCTTAACTTCTTCACCGGAAGTCTGCTAGGTTCATGGCTGTGACCCAATTCGATTATAATTTCTGTCATAAATAATTGCGCCGGCGTGATCTCAGTTCCACTTCCTTTATTTTCATTACAACAACACTTTCCTTATGTATAGTTATCTCCACACCTTCTCCTGCAGCGTAACTATAAACTAACGTCAGTACACTCCTTTAGAAAACTTGCTGGAAATGCACAATCTCCACACCGAGGATAATTCATGTACAACATCGCAACATAAACTAGAAATACGTATCTCGCAATAACCCTAGGGAAACTCGGTTTTTCAGTAGCGCCACTCAAGTTAAGCCCTGTCAGGCGGGGTTAGGAAACTATTTGGGTATCCCACTGCGAATATCGTCGTGAAGGTCCCTACTTTGCTCTTTGTTTTCTTCCTCTTCTTTTTTGCATTTTGTGTGTTGTTATTTTTAAAATTGTATTAAGAAACGGTCCAGATAAGAACGATAGCAACAACGGCAACGAACATGTTGGAATGCAAAAAAGGTGCTAACTTTTCTATTGTCTGTACTTACTTCTGATTGGCTTAACAGCAAAAGTTAACAAAACTTCATAAAGCAGTACATATATTCATCCTTACTTTCCAACCATCTTCCATAATACATAGATTTAGCCAGGGCTAAAAGCGAGGCTCCCATTAATAAATTTATAATTTAAATCAAACAATAAACTTGTATTCCACAATTCAGTTAACTTTAGAGCACATTCATGTGACTTTTCAGGGAAAGGCTAAGTGATTTTAGACAAAAATAATTTGCAAACAACCCCAGAGTGAACCAAATCTTACATCGAGTTGATGGCCGCATATGTACACCCAAAAACTGGCAATCGTCTTCGATCACATTTTTTAAGAGCCATATGGCTCTTGATCACCGTAGGTTAATTAGGCCTGGAAAAAAGTTCCGGCCGAATTTCTTGCGTTCGACAAGTTTACTTTAGAAAATATTGCCAACAAATCTGGGTTCGTGTAAACCAACCTTATAGCGGAGCTCTGGCGCGCGAAGCACGCCTGCGGAGCACCATGGGTAAGTAAATCTACCCATCCCAGAAAATTTGGTAGTCACGTGACCGTACACCGCCCGCCCGCTGCCCGTCCGTCCGCACCACAGGCATACTAATGTTTACTCTCACACTTCTAGCTACTTTGGGAGCCTAGGAGAAAGCTGATTGTACATCAATGTTGTCATCAATTGACAGCTGTCAAAACAGAGTATCCGCTGAGCAGTATCACCTGACCGTATCGCGGGCTCAGGTGTCGACCCATGAAGGTCGAGTATTTTTTGAAGTTACCCGCTGACAATTTACTCGTTTTCAAATGATCGCAGGCTCATGTTTACTTTTTTTAAAATTCATATCAAATATGTTTTGTTTATGTCAGTATCGCCACGCACTATTACGATTTTGATTTCAAACTTACCTCAAACGCAAAAAATTCAGCCAGTTTTTTTAAAATACAGGCGGAGAATAGCCTGAATTTCATCCGATTACTTCGAGTCGTTATTACTCCCTCAGTAACGACGTTGTTGAGAGGAGAAAACGACTCGAAGCAATCTGATGAATTTTAGGCTAGGCGGGGAAGACCTTTTCTAACCATGGTCACGTGTTGGTCACGCTCCACGTCCACTTTTTATGCTCTGATTGGTTAAAATTTGACAGGTGAGTTCATGCGTAAAATTTATGCAGCATCTTGAAAGTTGTTCACTTTGACAGCTGAAGCTGACAGAGTTTTGAGTCAACTTGTGATGTTTTTAACTGTCTTTTTCCACTGGATGTGAAAAATGAAATACAGCTGCTATCAAGAGTGTTCTCTTATTCATGGCTGGTTTGTTCATTGGGTTTTTGTTTGAGAAATGCGTCGCTTGTCAAAAGCCGATAAACCGATTTCGGGTGGCATCGTTTTTGTTTTTCACCTTGCTGGATGCGTACGAGAATTATAAAGGCTCAAGCGATCCTTGCCTTACTTGATAGCTTTCAGGAGCTGGATCTCGAAATATGGTGAGCCTGAGTAATTATTGTATTTATATCTAATTTCATGACGTCCAGCGGCGCAGTTTATGAAGCTAGTTTATGCACGTTTGTATTAAGATTTAACTGAGACACTGATCTGACCTAGTATGGGGTTTGATATAAGCCTTTAGTCGATATTAATTCACCGTAAATAGAAAGAAAAAACTTTCCGAAGAATATTTAGTTATAATTTTGGCTGCAGAAAGAAAGCTTTGAGCGATTTTCCTGTCGTGAGTTCATCTTTGAAAAAAGCAAACACCGGGAAACCGGCGGCTTAAAACATAAACTTAATCTTTAAGCTTACTAGTAAAGACTTGAGGATTCTTAGAGACACTTAAATACTCATTTGTTTTCGTGAATGAAAATTGTTGTCTCTGTAAATGTTCTACCGAATTATTGATTGTTGGTAGTTTCAAAAGTATAATTTTCATCGCTTTGCCGTTTGTTTTCAGGCGTTCAAAAACATCGCTTGCAGGAGTACTCAAAATGCCGAGCGTATCAAACGCTTTTTAAGATTACACATCGTTATAAAGCCATTAATAAAAAATAGACTCCATAAATTCTTTATCACGTTGAAGCGTAACTCTTTTAAAATTTCCTCGCAAACTTGGCGCTTGTCAAAAGTTAGAACCGGCTGGCCGTATAGGTGATTTTGGACATTTCTTGAATGGTTTCGCAAATTAAAAGTCCACGCGTGCGTCGATGGTCCTGAGTATTGAATGAATGCAATTTGTCTTGAAAAATTGTGAAATACTGCATTTTGTACGAGGTCTGTATGATAAGCGCCTCATAGTACTCTTTCCCCTCAGATGTGGTGTATAAAAAAAAAATAATAAAAGAACGGATTGCACGCACCCAGATTTATTGGCAAGAATTTTTAAACTTGTCGAACGCAAAAAATTCTGCCTGATTTGTTTTCCAAGAATTTGTTTTCCACGCCTTATCTACTGTAAGCAAGAGCCATTATTGCTCTTAAATGTGACCGAAGACTATTTTTTGGGTGTACATATAAAGCTATATCAACTCGATACAAGATTTGTTTTACTCCAAAATCACTTAGCTTTTCCCTCAAAAGTCACATGAATGTGCCCTTAAGTTAACTGATTTGTGGCATACAAAATTATTGTTTGATTTAAGTTATAAATTTATCAATGGGAGCTTCGCTTTTAGCTGTGGCTAAATCTCTATATTATATCATTCATCCATCACATCTGAGGTGAAACAGTACTATGAGGCACTGTTTTTATCATACAGACCTCGGACAACAGAATGCAGTATTTGACAGTTTTGCAATACAAATTGCTATCATTCAATATTCAGGACGATCGAAGCACGCGTGGGCTTTAGCTAAACCGTTAAAAAATTTCCAAAATCACCTATACGGCCAGCCGGTTCTGACTTTTGCAGTGCTTGCTGTGGCGAGTGTTTGAATGAACATTAACACAGTTAAGCTCCAATACAATAAAGAATTTATTATGTTTATTTTTTATTTTAAAATGGTTTAACGCGCAGCATTTTGAGTACTCTGGGAAGCTTTGTTCACTGAACGAATGAAAACAATCGGCACAGCGATTAAAATTACAAGAGAGACTACTAATAATCAATAAAAGAAATAAAATTCGGTGAAACATATACAGAGACGACAATTTTCATTCAGGAAGACAAGTATTAAAGTGTCTCTAAAAATCCTGAGTCTTCGAGCTTAAAGCTGAAGTTTTTGTTTTAAGCCGGCTTCCCGGTGTTTGCTTTTTTCAAAGACGAACTCGAGGCAAGAAAATCGCTCAAAGTTTCTTTTACAGCCAGAATTATAACTAAAATTCTTTGGAACGTGTCCCTTCTATTTGCGGTGAGAAAATGTCTAAAGGCTTGTTAAAGATCTGTAAGCTTATATAAACCTGATACTACAGTTTCCCTGTGCTCCGATCCAAACTAGCTAAAAAGTATGATTGAACATTTTTCGCGATTCGCGATCTAGTAAAACGATTAACTGGTCAGCGGACAGCTTCCAAATAAATTTACGTCACCTCGATGAGTTGACACATGAGCCCGCGATATGGTCATGGGATACTGGTCAGTGGCTATCCTGTTTTGACAGCTGTCAATTGACCATATTGTGAGTGTCATATATAAAAGATGAGGACTTGCCAAGACACGCCTGAGACACCCCTCCCTTTTGATAGTCTCCCCTACCCTACCCTTACAATCTGTAGACGCGTACGTACGTACGCTCGGTCAGTCACGTGACAACCAAACGAAAAGAGGTTGACCATATTCCATGAGTATGGGGCTCTGTCCCACGCGCGCTTCACGCGCGCGGGAGCCCCGCTATAACAAAATCTGGTCTCAGTTTGAATAACAAAGAAATCCTATGTGGGGAACATGTAAACTTGTAAACTTTTCTTGGCTATTGTTTTCAACTCTTGTGATTGGTCAAAATCTTTTAACACAAAAAAACACCCGAACAAAGTGGAGTGTAAATGCATTTTATTGCGTAAACGGCCTTCATGTAGGTTTATACATTCTCTGTGTAAAAATGAGAACATTCCTATGTGGGGAAAGCACCGTTGCCGCATAGCAAAAGAAATTGCTATCCACCTTACCCGGATCATTACTTAAAAAGCATACTTAGCATTACTTCGGCCGCTGGATTTAGAAAAACGAGAAGACGCCCAAAGGCGTTTACGCGGGATGTGTTGGTGTAAGAAAGAATTACCGGTATGTTGAATGGCAATGAAAAGTTGAGTAGTGTATCAACAACAAATGTGCGCAGGAAAGGCGTAAGATGAGTTACACACAAGGGTTCCTTTGCTACGTAAAACAAAAGTTACATCAATATTACCACCATTTATGTTAAGAGTATAGGGTAGTTCACTTAAATTTGCATTCCCTTTGGTAATTTCGTCAAAAAATGCACTCCCACATTCAACAATAGCGTGTAATGTATCATACTTCCAGTAACTAAAGGGCTGCAAGGCTGCGCTCTAGGGAAAATTTCGGGGAACCCTTTGGGCTCCCGAGCAATTTAACCTAAAAGATCTAGATAGCCGCCCAAGTAAAATTTTCAGGGAGCCTTTCGGTCTCCCAAACATTTTAGCTGGCGTGCCCGGGCCTCCAAGTTGTTAGCCCTAATTAATAAATCAGTGAGCTGTTAGTTAATTATTAGAAATTAAAAAAAATTATTTTCTGAACAAGTCATGCAGAATTTTGTTTTGCGTCGCCGACCGTACTTTACGCCTGTCAGAGCAAAAGTGACAATTTCCGTGGAAAAACTAACTAATGAACCATTCTAGTGTCAAGAAAAAATTGCAATGTCATTCTTAGTTTGTTGTTGGTTCTCTCCTTTGCTCCGAGAGGTTTTTCTCCGGGTACTCCTGTTTTCCACTTCCAAATTCCAATTCGACCAGGAATCAGGTAGACGAAGAACCACTATGTGGATGTGCTACCTGCAAATCGTTATTTATTTATTTATTTATTTTATTTATTTATTGAAAGCTGTGCAGCTTGTCACGTTAATAGTCAGGGATTATGTTACATGTGAATTCACGTGAAACGCCCTTTGAACATCAACGCGTGCCCGCTGCCCGATTTAACAACATTTTCTGAAAGCTTTTTGATAGACATGCTACATATTGCTACAACCAAGTCGACCTCAAGAGTTTCTTAGCCA